AGCCCATTTCTGGTGTCCCCTGCCATGATACTGCTGGAATATTGCTAAAAGTGTCGTAAAACTTAACTCACTCACTCACTTGAAATTATTGATCCTTATCACATGAACTTACAGCAAGTCATGATAAATCCACTTAAGGTATCTCTTGTTGTTAGGCAAATCATGTCAAGGGTACATGGTTTGGACTTCAGAGTGAGTGAGTGAGTGAGTTTAGTTTTATGCCGCACTCAGCAATATTCCAGCTAGATGGTAGCGGTCGGTACTTGGACGTGGAAGAGAAAAGGTGCTTGTAATACATGTCATGTCAATGGCTGGCGAGAAATTAATTAAAGCCCTGGTGTCTAATAGATGAAATTCCCTTGCCCAAGATATAACAAATTGGGTCTAGTTAAGCTGAGGGACAAGTTTAACTTTGACATCCATTAACAATCATAAACCCTCAAGTTTAGGTTTCAGGGTGGTCATACTACTAGACAAACTCAACACATACGAACAGCGAAAACAAGACAATTGATTCCCAAACAGACTTACCAAAAATGGGGCAAGCGAGTAGCTTATATTTTTCAGTTTAAAAATAACAACTATCCTGTTTTTATAACTTTCAACATTGTCTCAACAGAGACAGAAATGTTTGTAACAAGTATATCTGCACTTTTTTTAAACATGGGTCTATGGGTGAGCAAAATGTCGGGACAAAAAGACATTTCAGACTAAAACCTGTTATTGTGCAGTCACACATATTGTATGAAAATTCTTCCATGGTGTAAGGTTTGAACCCAGCGGAATAAAAATAATTCATCTTGTCATGAACATTTTTCTCCAAATTTCATCATTTTTAACAGGGTCGGGGATTCAGTGAACAAGTTACATTAAGAAACGTCTGACATACTTCCGTCATCATTGACTCCTGGCAAGAAGTGGATATCAGCAGATAAAATGGACACACAATTACAAAGTCAAGTGCTAAACTGAGTCAGAAAAGCATCTACACTGAAACTCTGACATTCAGAAGGTACCAGTCTGAAAGATATGACTTACACATCATGTGTATAGAGTAATTTCCCTTTAATAAACAATGTCTCCAAACAGCAAGGCATTTGTACCCATGGGAACAGATTCCATATATTTTTCACTATAAATGAAAAATTCAACCATTGATATTCATAATCACAGACATATTGTCACTGAAAAAGATAAATCATCTATAAATTGATTGGCATTCCATATGACGTCATGCTCGTGCTCTTTAATTCAACACATTTCACTTAAATGCAAATCTATCGACATAAGTCCTCCATCACGTATATACAGAGAGAAAAGTGTATCATTGGAAATATTCAGATCACCTTGGCAATTGGAGCATTTTCAGACATGTTGAATTACAATGGATTGCTAGTTTACATTATCTTGCATGGTTTGGGTTTGGTTTTCTTGTTGGTTTGTTTTGGTGCATAAAAGTACCAAAGTGCTCACACATAAAAACACACCAGATAAATGTATATTCTATATTAAAACTTATACAGATTTGTAGCTGAGGGTGTTTCTGTATCATAATTACATATACGTTGTATTCAAACATTGTATTGCGTGCATTTGATAAGCAGAATATATATTATCATTATAATTTAATATTTAAATTATTTGAAGTAATTTATGCTGAATATGTAATTTTACTCAGTGAAGAAACTTTGTTAAACTCCTACGTTTTTGAGGGAATAATCCCATTTATCATATAGTGCCAAAAGACTGGTAGCCATGTGTCTTCGTAACCAACCACACATTGGACAACACCTAAACTTCTCAGGCGAATTCGTCAGTAGTCTAAAGAGAATGTAGGTGTCGATATATGGAGTTTGAAAGTAGTTCCTGTTTGGTGACCTCAGTTGCATATTCATCAGAAAGAGGTACCAAGTATGTTAGACCGGTTTATTGCATATTTCACACTGTCTACCTCATGATAACACCCTCTATCATAAAACACTCCCTATCATATGCCAACACTCCATATAACATGATAACTCTATCATATGATAACATTTGCTATTGTATGATAACACCCTCCACCCTATGATAACAATTGTTATCATATAATAACATCCTCTCAAATAAAACTCTCTATCATATATTCATCTTTTCTCCATCTTGCAGTCCAACCAATGGAAGTAAACGCTAAACCAATAAGGTAGAAATACACAACTAAACATCCTAAACAAAATCTTCAGTTAAAAATGGCCAAGTAGTAACTACTTTGGTAATAAATAACAAATATTGCAAACACACACCAGCACTACAACACAGAACTCAAGAATACACGACTGCTTGCTAGCTTTCATACACAGCATAGCCGCAACAGAAGCTAGTTCTATATCTCCTTATACATATATATACATACACACAGTACATGAATACATACACTAGAAGTCGGTTCAGCTGTGCAGTACTTTCTCAACATGTTCATCACTTAGTATGTTACAATTTATTCAATTCATCATGTACACACATATAAAAAAATCTCTCAATCTAGAGTTATAATTGTGTAAATATTAATAGAAAACATCCATTAGTTTTAACATTGTCATAAACCACTTGTACAAACAGTGTCATAAACTAATAAATGCACATAACATATCTATAATTTTATGGAATATAATTGATATATTTCTTATATATTAATCATATCATACAGTTGATGTTGCGAACATGGTAGATTAAGGGTGGATCGGGGAACCAGACATGTTTCCTGTTAACTGCACACTTGACCAAATCACAGTGTGGCCTCCCTTCTCCCGAATACTTTATCTTACCCGGTTCATCAACATGTCAACTGGACATGACGTTCTGACTAGTGTTACGGTCATTATCCACTTAACAGCGATTTATTGCATCACTCATAACTTTCAAATTTGTTCCTACACATCAACTGTAGAAAAGTCACAGTTGTCTAAGTTAAGACTTATCATATTCACTGATAATAATACTAAAATATTTGATTATAGATTCTTAAAATACGAACTTTGGACAGGTTATGATTATGACAAATGTAATACTGTATGAGTTTCGAACTTCATAGTGACAACATTTAGGTGACCTTACGAAACACAAACAAAATATACAATGTTTAACCTGTTCCATGTTTTGCATAAATCGTGGTTGATTGCTATAGATCCGGCTCGTAAGAACCTATAAGAGGTGTCAAAAACATACATTATGCAGAAAACATCAAGGGGGGACAACTCTCCAAAAATGGTAAAATCTCATAACTCTTACAGTTTTGTAAATATTTTGAGCATTATAAAACCTTTGCTTAAAATGTTATGTAAACATCCGTAGAAAAGTAACTTTGCTGTATTAATTTGAACCAAGTTTTATCTAAAGGTTGCATTATACACCGTTTGATTTTGTTCCAAAGGCAGATTTACTATTCAGAACCTCGCAAAACAACTATCACAGACACTATTTATACAACTATCACTGAACTTACATACAAAATATTAGAACTATGTGGTTTAGTCTTACAAAGCGGAAAACACACAGTATCTGCACCACAAGAGATCAACCATTTTATCTTCTTCCATGTTTGGTTCCTGTCCTTCTCATATTTGATTCTTCTATCTGTAATGAACTTCTGACTCAGTACAATTCCAAGTAGCCCATGTTGGTCACAACAGCTGATTAGAATGGGGATCAGGTGGCTAGGCTCTGCCCTAAGTGGATCAGGTGGCTAGGCTCTGCCCTAAGTGGATCAGGTGGCTAGACTCTGCCCTAAGTGGATCAGGTGGCTAGACTCTGCCCTAAGTGGATCAGGTGGCTAGGCTCTGCCCTAAGTGGATCAGGTGGCTAGGCTCTGCCCTAAGTGGATCAGGTCTTAGGCTTCACATTTAAGGGTTTGCTTAGCTAGACTCTGTGCTTTCGGGATCGACTGACTCGGGTCTGTGCTTTGTAATCGAGTGGCTAGTCTGTGATTTGGGGAATGGGCAGCTATGCTCTTTGACTGAGTGATAGTGTAGTTAGACTCTTTGTTTTGGGTGACCCTGACGTCGAGGGACATGGACCATGCTGTCAACCTACAGCCTGTGTGGCCACAACATTACTCTCATATAGGCCACCCTGATGTTGGTGGAATATTGCTATAACAACCTATCATAACACAGAGAATTGTTTACATTTATCAAATACGAACTTTCTCCCATTATGAATTACCTTGCCGATGTACCCATGAAGGTCCAGGTCAGAATGAACCTTCAGTAACCCATGCATGTCGGTTGGCTTGGTTGACACATGTCATCGGTTCCCAATTGCGCAGATCGATGCTCATGCTGTTGATCACTGGATTGTCTAAGTCCAGACTCAATTATTTACAGACTGCCGCCATATAGCTGGAATATTGCTGAGTGTGGCGTAAAACTAAACTCACTCACTCACTCACCTTGCCTATGTAAACAGAGAATACACCTTTAATTTGCTGTTTTCTGCATAGAAAATTCAAGGTTGATGCATAAGCTCTCAAGTCAAGTGTTTTCAAGTCATCACAGGCCAACAGGATCCTTGATGTAAAGCAAACCAAAAACTGTTACTGAAAATATCAATTGTGTTCTTGACAGAAGTATGTACCAGTGACAGTGCTGTGTAAATTCAACTTCAGAACAATGCTTCTCTTACAGAGAAAGGAGAACAATTTGAGGAATGGTAAACAACACTACAACCTGGTAATGTATAAAAGACAGAGTTAGAAGTCAGGTCACAATTTATCAGCCATAACAGCTAGAGGTCAGAGTCATAGGGGATGACAAGTCTTTATGGAGGATCAACTTCTTTATTGGGCAACAGCGACATTTCGGTAAAGATACTTATACCATTTTCAAGCATGCTTGAACTGACTGACTGACTGAGTTTGGTTTTACGCCGCTTTTAGCAATACTCCAGCAACATCACGGCGGGGGACACCAGAAATGAGCTTCACACATTGTACCCATGTGGGAATTCGAACCCGGGTCTTCAGCGTGACGAGCCAATGCTTTAACCATTAGGCTACCCCACCGCCTCCAAGCATGCTTGAAAATGGTATAAGTATCTATACCGAATACGTCTCTGTTGTACAATAAAGAATTTGGTCATCCATAAGACTTGTCATTCCTATTACTTCTAGAATGCCTCTCAAACAGGTCAGAGTCATTTCCTTGCCCCAGTGAACATGATCTGGCCATTCGTTAGTTACTTTCATCACTGAAAACTGATCAGGTCAGCTTTGTTCTCCAGTGTCACAAACACTGACTTAATACAGTGTGTCTTTTAAAATGGAAACGTGTCAAGAAATAATGAGTCTTACTTAATCTACATCACTAACTGAAGACCTGAACATTGAAGGTGACACCAGGTGAGCTTTTTACTGTGATGAACCTAGGTACCAAATATGAAAAGAATCCAGTTAACGGTTCTTAAGATATTCCAATTCGTACGTACGGACGGACGGAGCCTAATACTATATCCCCCGCTTTGCGCTAAACGCGCGGCGGGGGATAATAATAAATGCCAAGCCAGTATCATTTCTCAATGCCCCAACATCTACTTCCAAAAGGGATTGTCAAAGGGATATCTGTGTTCTCTGATTATTCTTTCGATAAAAACTAAAATTTCCAAACATGAAGAAATTAAGGCAAACCAGAAAGACTTATGTCTAACGGACTCAAGAACCCATACATAGTTCGTTTAGATTGGTCGGTCAAAGGTTACACTTGGCTCACCGGATGCAACCTTCTTCAGGCGAGGAGGAGCTATTGGAATTAAAGATCTTATTTCAATTAATTTCTAACACTGACAACCAAACCGAAATGAATCAGGATCTAGCTAAATGTCACATCATAAAAGAAAATGGAAAAGATTTGTTACTTAACGTGTTGCCTTTTCATTTCGAATATAGTGTCAATTGGTTATACTGACAGGATCCAACGCTATCTCTATCACAGAATGATATCATCTTGTTCAACTAGATCAGATTACAACATGGCTGCATACATTGGCCAATCAAGATAGCCCATGGTTGTTTACGCTTCGGACTCGGCTCCCTCCAAGTCAGCATTTCCATCACCACAGGACTGTGCTACTGGTGGGTTTGGGTCAGATGGCATCTGGCTGACCTCTGATTGGTCAGGGCTGGACAGAATAAGGAATTTCCCATCTGGACTGAGTGGAGGTTGGCTTGAGTCAATGTCATCCATTCGCTGTATGTTTTCAAGTAGTAGACGCTGAAAGCCAGAAGAAAACTCATTTTAATCTTATCATCAATCAACAACAATAAATACAACAAAGTTTAAAGCCATCATGAACATCCGTCCACAAAATCTTTAATATACATGAACATCATTATATCTAACATATTACAATATTTATCATAATATTCCAATTTCTCATGTCCAGATGTTTTATACCAACTAAAATGCATTGAGGCTGTAATAAACGTAAATGAAACTTGATGATAAAATATTAGACATGTATGAATTAAATATCATGTTATCAGACTCAGTTATACTGTATATTATTATATTTGTCTTAACAAAAACAGGATGCATGGAGAACAGCACTTTTATCATATATGATATTATACTTTTTAATGATTATTTGATGCAATGGCTAAATGGAACAAGTATAAAAATGGAGTCGTTTCAGTATTGATACTGATGGTTGGTTATTTGAAGTGTGAAATTTTAGTTTCATGCATACACTGTGAAATACAGAAATATTCTAGAGGTTTCACTAACAAGCTATCATGTTCAAAGCTTGCCATGCTTTGTATTTCATGTCATGCTTTAAAGAGGCAATTCAAAGAAATATTTCCTTATGAACTCTTTCTTCAAATACTACAGGGTACAATTTACAATGTGTACCGATATGATCATAACAAGGAAAAAGAAAGTACATCTTATGAAAAAGTGTTTAAATAATCCCCAAAACAAACTGGTAATACATTTGCCAAATACAGTACTGGTAAAAAATATTTTGCAACATTATCAATGAATAACACCATCACAAATATGCAGGCATCCCCCAAGAAAATTACTGAGTTGTACTTCCAAAAGCAATACCACTTGTTCATTGAACAAATATAAACGTATTTTCCACAGTATAGAGCATTTTTTTTACCAAAAACACAGTTGTGTAGAGGGGAGGGTGCCTTTTACATGCGATAATGAACTTTGATGCTTTTATCATATTGTTGAGCATGTTATATCTGATATAGCATGCCTAGAAATACAAAATCTAATACATAATTTATTCATGTAATAACACTGATAGGTTATGAAAGTGTGCATGGTATATCTGGACTCACATTTTCAATCTGTTTCATTAATGTTATTCAAAATTCTATTCAATATGGTTTACATAATATTCAGCAAAACCATGTGTGAAGTAATGGCAGTGCACCAACTCATCGTTATTTACAGCAACCAAATTAAAGAAAAAGTATCCTGAGGACTATTACTATTATTCCATATGATCAAGTTAATCACCAGTAAATAAACACTATGTATGGTATATATTTCCCGACCAGGCGGAGGTGGATATCTGTATTAGGACTATAACATGGATATTTTCATGAATATACACCAACACCAATTAGGGTATAGTTGGTACTCCATGGGTTTGATCACACTTCCTTCCTCCATAACCCAAGAATACACAGACAGCTCTCCCTGTTTAACGACTCCTGAGGTTCCAGCAAGAAGAAACCAGTAAGTGTTCTAACCAATTATCATTAGGCCAAATAAAACATATGTTGTGTTCCGATTACACCTCTTAAAAAATTAGGGTAGGTAGGTAGGTGTTTTTTTCATATTTGTTTAGAAGTAAAGTACAAACTAATAACACTTTTATCTATGTGTATGTGTTTATTCAATCAAACTTGTGGCCATCATATCGACTTTCTCTATCAGAATGACCAATGTCTGTCGGTGCCAGGAAAAAACAATGGTATCTGAAAGCATACTTTATTCATTTTGCTGAAAAAGAATAGGGTAGGCACAAGAATTCAAGTGTTGGCTGGGTAATCGGAACCACAACATATTTTTTTAGGCCTTATCATCACACAAACAGCGTTTATTTCTCGCACAACATATACCCAACCATGTGGATATCTACTTGAAATGTTGACTATCAAACGATGGAATTTTTCACAAAAATGTCATTCACGCCCAAACGCGCCAGATGAGTTTCCGGGTGTGACGTGTTGAAAAACACACCTCATTTGCAGACCATCAGTTTCCCAGTTATTGGACAGAATCACAAAGTAGATCTCTTAATAGGAATTGATTACCTACAGTTTCATTGTTTACTTGACGTCAATGGGTTATGAACCTATTTGTTTCATTTGCTGCGTGAACAAAAAAAAAGGCGCTATAACATGCAAGTCAGCCGCAGGTATTCGCAGTTAGTGGAGGAAGATACTGTAAACATCCCAATCAAGCACCAGGGACATTCCACAGATATATCCTCGATTCTAAAAAATGGGGTGTACGTAATACCAAAGGTAAAAGTTACATTGAAGGGTGCAGGTAACAAGGTGTTTGACAAAAGAAGGGTGCGTGACCATATTCATCACAACCTTCCTGGACAGGTTCCACTTAGGGTTCGATTACCAGTACAGGGTGTTCCAGAGGTAGTCTAATGGTTGAAGCGTTCACTAGTCACAACAAACAAATGAGTTTGATTTCCGTGTGTGAAGCTCATTTATGGTGTTCCCCATTGTGACATTTCTTACAAAGCCTTTGTCCATCACATTTATGTACAGTTGGACAGTCTTCATTAATCACAGTGAGTGAGTGAGTGAGTTTGGTTTTACGCCGCTTTTAGCAATATTCCAGCAATATCACGGCGGGGGACACCAGAAATCGGTTTCACACAATGTACCCATGTGGGGATTCGAACCCGGGTCTTCGGCGTGACGAGCGAACGCTTTAACCACTAGGCTACCCAACCGCCCCTTAATCACAGTGAACACACCTTGAAGGATAAAAGATATATGGGCAAGACCTGATTTTGATTCATCACATGGGTACAAATTGTGAAGCCCATTTCTGGTGTCTCCAGCCATGATATTGCTGGAATATTGCTAAAATCAGTGTAAACTCACTGACTCACTCACAACATATGGCTCCCATATGATCAAGAAAACAAGACATTAAAAAGAAAAAAGGAAAATTAATTTAATTATTCATGCATGTAAGTATTATTCATAATCCAGGGGTTCACAGTGAGTGAGTGAGTTTAGTTTTATGCCGCACTCAGCTATATGGCGGTGGTCTGTAAATAATCAGGTCTGGAATAGACAATCAAGGGATCATCAGCATGAGCATCAATCTACGCAATAGGGATACGATGACATGTGTCAACCAAATCAGTGAGCCTGACCACCCGATCCCAATAGTCGCCTCTTACGACCAATTCTAAACCGATAGTCGCCTCTGATGACCAGTTCTAAACCGGATCTTCAGAGGTACCAGGGGTCAACAATAAATTAACCATCTAATTCAGTGAATCAAGTAACACTAGACAAGGCGAAACAGTTAAGGCACATGTCAAAACAAAGTTGAGGTAAATTTAAGAAAATGACTGCGATGTTTGAAATTCTGTACAATGAGATGGATCTGCTTCTAACATCCACTTCTGTATTAAGCAAAAGTGTTGTTTGTAGTTAGAGAAACAGCAGGATGATCTTGGTATCATGTCAATGAAATATCTGTTCCAAATTTAAATAAACAATAAAATGACTCTTGTTTATCTCAAAATAACTGTAACTGGACTGGAATGAGTGTTTCGATGGTGTTAGGTTTCTCAAGTTTAATATTATATTGTTGACAGAGAAGGACATCCTGAGTACTTGGGGATGTTGGCTATATTGCTTGAATGATGGCAGACCCTCACCTTTCTTCCTTTAACAGTACGGTAATGTCCATTGTCACGATAACATCCATGCACGCTTCCAAACAATGCTTTACAGTAAGTAGACTGAGTGTTTACTGTGGTATGTAATCTGGAGTTGTTATCGGTAACACACCGACTAGGTCATGCAGCCCTGCCATGTAATAAAGCCTTGTAGAGGTATTGTATGTGAGGGGAGGTACTTTGGTGGTCAAAAAAAGGCAATTGTACTCAAAATATATTCCCCAATGAAGCCTATTCTGAAGTTGTTGAGGTTAGAAAGTCCCCACCAAGTTTTGTGTGTTGTTGAACACCACCCACCTCTGTGACAGTGGTCTGTAAACAACTGTGATTTAAATCAGAACCATCAACCTGTGAATCACAATCCAGCAATTCATATCACAAGTATCAAGCTCTGAATCACAATCCAGCAATTCATATCACAAGTATCAAGCTATGAATCACAATCCAGCAATTCCCATCACAAGCATCAACCTGTGAATCACAATCCAGCAATTCCAGCATCACAAGTATCAACCTGTGAATCACAATTCAGCAATTCATCACATATCACTGTGAATCACAATCCAGCAATTCATCAAACATCAAGCTGTGAATGTGAATCACAATCCAGCAATTCATCACATCAAGCTGTGAATCACAATCCAGCAATTCACATCAAGCTGTGAATCACAATCCAGCAATTCCCATCACAAATCACAATCCAGTATCAACCTGTGAATCACAATCCAGCAATTCACATCATGAACACCACCCTGTGATTCACAATCCAGCAATTCACATCATGAACATCACCCTGTGAATCACAATCCAGCAATTCACATCATGAACATCACCCTGTGAATCACAATCCAGCAATTCACATCATGAACACCACCCTGTGAATCACAATCCAGCAATTCACATCACATCACCCTGAACATCACCCTGTCACAATCCAGCAATTCACATCATGAACATCACCCTGTGAATCACAATCCAGCAATTCACATCATGAACATCACCCTGTGAATCACAATCCAGCAATTCACATCATGAACATCACCCTGTGAATCACAATCCAGCAATTCACATCATGAACATCACCCTAGGCTATGGAGAAAGAAGTCTGACCACCCAATCCTTGTTAGTCATGACAATCATGGGTTGCTGAAAACATACTTTACTCCAGGTCCTAGATTTTCGAAGCTCTCCTAGCGCTAAGATAGTCGTAAGTTAATGTTAATGTATGGCACTTACGACTATCTTAGCTCTAAGAGAGCTTCGAAAATCTAGGCCCAGATCTTCAAGGGGGAGTTCTATAGTGAGACTGTTACATACACAGCATCTACAGCACCAGCAGCACATGCTACATCACCTACCGGGTACATCAGCTACAGCGAGTACATGTCTCACTACGTACCAACACCATCATCTCAGACATAACACCAGTCAGTTATCTGACTACAAGATCTCACGTACACTGAATGAACAAAACATGGATCGTATGTTCTGGGATATTTAAAAAAAAAAAAATGCTAAACTGTGCACTCTGTCTTCACTGTAATAAATATATTAACTTGCAGTGAATAAACTATGAGGCTAATATGATATGTTTATGAATTTATAGTAAGAAATACAAATATTTTTCATGAATACTTTAGGGTTAATATCAAGGAATTAAAATAACAAACATGTCTAGTAATTGCTTAGGTTGAAACATTTTGGCAAAGCAAAAAAGATATACATTGTGAACAACGCAGCATTTGGCCTTACTGAATCACCTTATGGCCTTACTGAATCACCTTATGGCCTTACTATTGTAAGAGGCCTTGGCAAAATGACACAAGTTAAGTTACAGTATCGCTTGGGTACCTTCCATTTTGCAAACCTCACTTAGAAAAACAGGTAAAAAATACAAAATATTCATAAATAATTGATTCTAGTGTCCATGAATAATGAATTGAATTCATGAGGGGAAACAGAATCTTTTATCATATACGCAAGTGAATCGCAAAAGGACTAATAAATATCCAAAATATATGTATTAGGGGTGATGATTCACCCGTGCATTCAGAGAATCAATTCGTTATTCCTGGTCATTAGCATCAAATAATCATGAGTTTTTAAAGAAAGGGTGTTTTTTACTTGAAATCATATGTTATTTACCAAAGCAAGATATGCAAAATGAACAAATACAAGCCATGCAGTAACAACACTTGAGTTATGTCACCAAGGTCCTTTCGGTTCACCAAAACATTAAGGTAAGTGGTTAGTCGTGATATTGCCATAATAAATTAACATTGTCAACAGTAAAATTTATTTATTTAATTTATGAGCTGCAGTGTCGCTGGGTATAATAAATAAAAACTTAAAAAGCTGATATTGTATTCATGAATAGATATTCATATTCATTACCCTTAATTCATGATACATATCATATTCACCTGGGCCCTTATTCTCGAAACGTTCGTAGCCCTAAGAATTCTTAACTTTGATCGTAGCCAATGTGTTAAGAATGGGCTTAAGAAGTTCGTAGGGCTTACGAAGTTTCGAGAATAGTTAGCCTGATCCCCAACATTCATTGTTCCACATGCTATTCAAAAACGTAAAAAACCCAGAAATAATGTGAACGAAAGTTAAAGATAAGAGACTATTATAGAGGAAAGGGAACAACACCAGTTAATAAGGTGAGGGAGACGATTGTTAGAGACAGGTATATGTAGAATATTTCCTGTAAAAGGTGTGCAAGCAAAGTACCACTGATCCAGTGCGTCTCCATGGTATCACTCAATATCACTCTGGAAATAGGAAGTGAAAGTCAGTGATATCCATCCAGTGACCCCTACATACGACATGGTATGACCCACATCACAGAGTTATAATTGAAAGTCGAGGTATCATCGGGTGATACCATTAGAAGGGGTGTATTGTACATAGCCCCACACCACTATCATGTAAGCGGAGTGGATGGTATAAGATACACAAAACAACCACTGGAAAACCCTCTATTGAGAGTTAAACTAGATTCTTAACAGAGATGGGATTATCGCGTTCTTAAAAGCTTTTAAAACATTTGAATTATTTAGAAAGTGGTCAAATGAAACATATATTACATTGGGATTTCGCTTCCTTAGTAAAGGGAAGATTCTATTACCTTTTGGGGTTGAGTCCCAAAAGAGATTCAAACCCACACTCCCACAGTGAGGCATCTTATCACCAGTACACAAAGTCTGCAATCTAACCCACTCAGCCACCGGGGCTTCCACAAAATGGAAGTGTGGCAACTGGTAGTCTACATAACATACTTTGTGGCCATCAGGTGCTTTACTCTGAGAGTGTGGTCAAATAAGAGATAGTATTCAACCCAAAACATACCCCTGTACTAGAATTTATACTTTACTTGGATGTGCAATCCCAAATATAACATGTTTTTTGTTGTTTTTAAATCCCATCCCTGATGAAAAGAAAAACATTATCACCTCAGTCTCATCAAGCTAGAAAAAGATAAAAGTACCATAGTGATGGAAACAGAAAATATGAAAAATATAGAAAGAACAAAGTTTTAAATAAAAAGAGTCTTCAATAATTGAGAGAGACACTAAGTGCAACTAGCCAGCTGCATCATCAGCGAGGACACAATTCACAGCTTGAAAGCTATCTGATAGCATGGCAAATCTAGTGATAATTCTACTCCATCTTAGGACTAACGACAGAATTAGAGGAAAAATATAAGAACAGTTTGGCTTCTCCTTTGACAGAGAAAAATACATATCTTGAACCAGGGACTAACAAAGATAAACATGTCAACCCTAAACTAAGCTTCAGAGTAATCAGAGGAATAGAGAAATCTCAATTGTCCATTAAAAAGATTAATGTTTGATTGGTTTTGTTGTCTTGTACAAGAGAAACATGAGATCGAAGCTACACACATTCATAAAATTCATCAGGTGACTCTACCTAACTATTTTGTAAGAGACTGTGGTGTTTTAAGTCCAGAAGAAAAGATGGATCGATAAACTGTGTGATTTAACAACACAACCAATCAGAGACCACGTATCACTAAGCCATGGATATTTTTTCACTTTGAGAATTCAAAGCACTACCACCATTGTTCAGCAGAGTCGTGATGTAGAATGTTTCTTATCATTTATGAAGTGACAACTTGCTCACGCAAAAATTTTAAGTGTGTGTATGATATGTAAAAAATGCACAATAATTTCCACCTTGCAGGAAAACAAGTACATCAGTATCATTTTCAGTACAATATGTCATGGTAGGCATATTGTAAAGTTCCACGCCCCTTGTTCCAGAATGCTAAATGGCTTTGCGTTGTGACTCTCTGTACGACATTGCTAGTTACGAGTGTGATGTATTACTGTAAACACATCTACAAGTAGACACACGTGAGTTACAAACACACAAGTGTGACGTGAGTCACGTGACTCACCTTTTCCTTATCCTTGTCTACTTCCTTGCTAACGGAGGGCTTCTTGCCACTCCTCTTCTCCTGAAAATCACAAACACACCATCAGTTAAAACTCTTGTCAGCTGGAAGTTTGCATTAAATAATATACTTCGTTTCAAAAAGTTTAGACTCACTTAAAACACTCACTATATGTTATGTATGTATATATATGGTTACATCGAAGATTAATTTCTCCACTAACGTGGGGAATCAACTGCAACCATGCAGATGAATTGCACAAGGATCATGCATCAAATTGCTGAAAAGCAAGTGCAAATATCATGCATGTGAACGGCTGCATTCTGGTGTTAAGTTTTGTTAAGAATTCGCCAATTTTCACTGATTTTGATCATTTATTGAACTCATGACAATAATCTTTTCAACGTTATGAATTTGTTTTACAGTACATCAGTTCATGTGTAAACAGCACCTTTAAACAGTATGGAATATCTAGTTGAGAACAGTTGCCTGAAGTAAGAGGCCATTATTTACACTAGTGAGTTTAAACATTTGAAACAAAGTATATTATGAAACAGAAACTACAGTATCTAGTATGTATGTGTGTTTCTCTGTGAGTGTCTGTATGTTTGTTTGTCTGTGTCTGTATGTATGTCTGAGTGTCTGCATGTCTGTGTTTGAGTGTGTATGTCTGTTTGTCTGTGAGTGTCTGTATGTCTGTGTGTTTGTATGTATGTCTGTGAGTGTCTGTATGTATGTCTGTATGTATGCCTGTGAGTGTCTGTATGTATGTAAAACAAAGTATATTATGAAACAGAAACTACAGTATCTAGTATGTATGTGTGTTTGTCTGTGAGTGTCTGTATGTTTGTTTGTCTGTGTCTGTATGTATGTCTGTGAGTGTCTGTATGTCTGTATGTATGTCTGAGTGTCTGCATGTCTGTGTTTGTCTGAGTGTGTGTCTGTTTGTTTGTCTGTGAGTGTCTGTATGTCTGTGTGTTTGTCTGTATGTATGTCTGTGAGTGTCTGTATGTATGTCTGTATGTATGTCTGTGAGTGTCTGTATGTATGTAAAACAAAGTATATTATGAAACAGAAACTACAGTATCTAGTATGTATGTGTGTTTGTGAGTGTCTGTATGTTTGTTTGTCTGTGTCTGTATGTATGTCTGTTTGTGAGTGTCTGTATGTATGTCTGAGTGTCTGCATGTCTGTGTTTGTTTGTCTGTATGTATGTATGTCTGTGAGTGTCTGTATGTGATTGTCTGTATGTCTGTGTGTTTGTCTGTATGTATGTGAGTGTCTGTATGTATGTATGTGAGTGTGTATGTCTGTATATATGTCTGTATGTATGTCTGTGAGTGTGTATGTATATGTCTGTGTGTCTGTATGTATGCCTGTGAGTGTCTGTATGTATGTCTGTGTGTTTGTCTGTGAGTGTCTGTATGTATGTATGTATGTATGTGAGTATCTGTCTGTGTGTTTGTCTGTATGTCTGTATGTGAATGTCTGTGAGTGTCTGTATGCCTGTATGTATGTCTATGAGTGTCTGTATGTTTGTCTGTGAGTGTCTGTATGTATGTTTGTTTGTCTGTGTCTGTGAGTGTCTGTATGCCTGTATGCCTGTATGTATGTCTATGAGTGTCTGTATGTATGTTTGTGAGTGTCTGTATGTATGTATGTATGTTTGTTTGTCTGTCTGTGAGTGTCTGTATGTCTGTATGTAGTGTCTGCATGTCTGTGTTTGTCTGTGATCGTGTATGTCTGTTTGTTTGTCTGTGAGTGTCTGTATGTCTGTGTGTTTGTCTGTATGTATGTCTGTGAGTGTCTGTATGTATGTCTGTGAGTGTCTGTATGTATGTAAACCAAGTATATTATGAAACAGAAACTACAGTATCTAGTATGTATGTGTGTTTGTCTGTGAGTGTCTGTATGTTTGTTTGTCTGTGTCTGTATGTATGTCTGTGAGTGTCTGTATGTATGTCTGAGTGTCTGCATGTCTGTGTTTGTTTGTCTGTATGTATGTCTGTGAGTGTCTGTATGTGAGTGTCTGTATGTCTGTTTGTATGTATGTCTGTGAGTGTCTGTATGTATGTGAGTGTCTGTATGTATGTATGTGAGTGTGTAAGTCTGTATATGTCTGTGAGTGTCTATGTATGTCTGTGAGTGTCTGTATGTATGTATGTGAGTGTCTGTATGTCTGTATATGTTTGTGTGTGTCTGTATGTATGTCTGTGAGTGTGTGTTTGTATGTATGTATGTGAGTGTCTGTCTGTGTGTTTGTCTGTATGTGAATGTCTGTATGTGAGTGTCTGTATGCCTGTATGTATGTGTATGTGTCTGTATGTCTATGTATGTCTGTATGTATGTCTGTGTGTGAGTGTCTGTATGTATGTCTGTGAGGTATGTTTGTGAGTGTCTGTATGTATGTGTTTGTCTGTGAGTGTCTGTATGTCTGTATGTATGTCTGAGTGTCTGTGTTTGTATGTCTGTATGTGAATGTCTGTATGATAGTGTCTATGCCTGTATGTATGTCTATGAGTGTCTATATGTATGTCTGTGAGTGTCTGTATGTATGTATGTCTGTATGTAGTGTCTGTATGTCTGTGAGTGTCTGTATGTCTGTGAGTGTCTGTATATATGTCTGTGTGTCTGCGTGTCTGTGTGTTTGTATGTATGTCTGAGTATGTGTGTTTGTGTTTGTCTGTATGTATGTCTGAGTGTCTGTGTTTGTATGTCTGTATGTGAATGTCTGTATGATAGTGTCTATGCCTGTATGTATATCTATGAGTGTCTGTATGTATGTCTATGAGTGTCTGTATGTATGTCTGTGAGTGTCTGTATGTATGTCTGTGAGTGTCTGTATGTCTGTGAGTGTCTGTATGTCTATATATATGTCTGTGTGTCTGTATGTATGTCTGCGTGTCTGTGTGTTTGTATGTATGTCTGAGTATGTGTGTTTGTGTGTTTGTCTGTATGTATGTCTGTGTCTGAATGTCTGTCTATGAGCGTCTGTATGTCTGTATGTCTGTATGTATGTCTGGGCATTGGTCTGTGTTTGTGGATGTCAAGTCAAGTCAAAGAGGTTTTTGTACAATGGCCTCCAGCCCATATACAAGACAGTGTTAATATGTTTAATAACATAGATTTAATATAGAAGACACCCACCATGATAGCTTGGAATGCAATCTTAGTTGCCGTACTGATTGCCTGACATATCTGAAACAAACACAACCCAGTAAGTATATTGTATTGTCATGTATTGTGTGCGTGAGATGGATTGATTAACCAATACAAACCACTCACCTTAAACAGAAATAAGCAACATAACAAAAAAAACATAAAAATTAAATCATAATTTATTATTTAAAATCAACTGTCATTGGAATTACGTTTTAATATACAGTCCACACGGTGATCTCCATGATTTATTGGCATTCTAGAAGTTGAGGAGATGAAGAATGAGGACAGTTTTTATGGATATACAACTTCTTTACTGTGTAGAGGGGACGTTTCGACATAGATTCTAATGTCGATGTCAAGCAAGTCACTTGCTTGCTTTATGATTGTTGTATATTCATGTATAATCACAGTGTATGAAATATGGCCTGTCCGACCGTCAGATTTCTGACGGGCGGTCTAATATTTTACAGCTAGCCAGCCCGATGGACGGGTGAAATAAAATATTCAGATAACGTGTCCACTGGCACTGCCTATTTAGGATTTCTTCAGGACTGGTTAAATCTCTTCTGGGCTGCTAAGTTTTTGAAGTTACCAGCCCATATGTCTGGCTGGGTTTTTGGCTTATTTCATACACTGATAATCAGCTTATGACATGGCTTGAATGGGCTTATACGAACTGAAAACATACACAGGGATTAAATCTTTTTATTTTTGTCTACAGGTATGTAATGGAAAAATCATGAGCATCGGCTGATTCTGCTTCTGGAATTAAGAGATAAGAGTGATTTGTCCAACGTAAACAATGTTATGGCTCATAATTCCTACACAAGTTTTGCAAAAAAGTTGCATCTGTTTCACTGGTGTAAAATATACATCAGAGTGACCAGTGAATCCAGGTTTACAACAAAAAACAATAGCAGGACATCATCATAATGGTGCAAAACCTGAAGTTTAGTTTTAGTTACACAAATATATGTGGACGTCATCTAATTTTCGTAAAAGTGGGGCAAAGGAACTTAACAGTCAACTATCTGACAAAACCACCCCTTACAATTTATACCTGAAAAGCTTGTTTGTAACAGGCAAGAAGGTGAGTGAGTGATTAAGTATGGTTTTACACCCCTCTTACAATTTTGCAAAAATATTATGGGGGTACAACCAGGAATGTTCACACATTGTACCCATGAAGGCAATCGAACCCGGGTCTTCAGGGTGATGGGCAAATGCTTTAACCATTAGGCTACCAACCTACTAATAGGCAAGTAGGGTTTGCTTGACAAAAAATCATGTCATCATTTTCACATTTCTGTAATTGGGAATCTCAAAAGTTACACATGCGTTTCAACATCAAATGTTTGACTGTTCCCTAGCTAGCACAAAATACCTCTTCTGCAGAGTTGTTGCTTTCGAACACGTGACAGGCAAACGTCACACCTCCGCCTTCAGATCGATTCCGCGTGATAAACCCAAACAACCTGCAAAACATGAATCACGTGGTACTCACAACAAAATGTCACAACCAGAAGTGAATCAGAGTTGTATTATGCAAACTTATCAATAATACAGCAACTCATAGGTACATTACTGCCAGTCCAACCTATCAACAATTGTATGAGTGAGTGAGTGAGTGCAGTTTTACCCCTCTTTTAGCAATAATCGAGCAATATCAAAGCAGGGGACACCAGAAATGGGCTTCACATATTGTACCCATGTGAGAAAACGAACCCAAATTTTCGGCGTGACGAGCGAACGCTTTAACCACTAGGCTACACCACCACCCCCAGTTGAATGAAGACATGGTACCTTCCAGCTCACACATTATGGCCTTCATTCACATTTGTTGGCTCATCACAAGTGTTGAGTGTTGTTTCACGCCACACACAAATCAGGGTTACTGAAGACCAATTCTAACCCAGATCTTCACGTGAGAGCCTTAGCCCAGGACTAGAAGGAGCTGTTTACCTGGGATTATCTTGATGGACAGACCAGAATGATATGTCTGGGAGAGCAAACTCCACCCGAATTGTGTTGTTGGAGGGATCAATTAATCTGAAACACATTATCAAACAGTCTGAACAGTCTGTACATGCAAGATCAAGTTTTTTCAGGATAACATTCTCTCCTAAACAGTTGCTATGGTAACGAAACTTTAAAAGGAGATGATGATTAACAAACTTCAGATACACTCAGTATTATCACCCTTTCAAACAGCTGAAGCAGGAATCTAATTTCTGCAGAAACAAAATGGCTACTCTACCTCATGCACTCGTTTGTAACAAGCAGCCTGGATTCTGTCATCTTGAAGACGTTGTGTATTGCCCCGGGCTGCCAATATCTGCCTCATGGTACCATGAACCAGCTGTTCCCCTGGCAACAAGACATGATGATAATACATAAAACAGGCTGGAGTGTCTCAGACACAGGCAGGAGTTTTGTTCCTCTTTTCAAGACAACGTTTGTCCGACATATTGTCTAAAACTGTAGTCAGTAGTGTAGTGTTTCTGCTTATTGTCCGGTATGGCTCGGTTTATGTTGTATTCTCCGGCTATTAAAATAGCAGCGGAAATGTATCTGCACATGGGTAGACATATAGGATATTATACGAGTACCCATGTCATACTATGTTTACGACACAAATGCCTAAATGTTGGTATTTCCCGAGCGAGAGCGAGGGATATACCGATATTTAGGCACGAGTATGGTTTTATGCAGCTTTTAGCAATATTCCAGCAATATCACAGGGGGGGACATCAAAATTGGGCTTCACATATTGTACCCATGTGGGGGAATCGAACCCGAGTCTTTGGTGTGACAAGCAAATGATATATCCACTAGGCTACACCACCGCCCCTCATTTCTTGAAAAAAAGGAGGGATGTAGTGTTTCTGCTTATAGTCTGGTATGGCCCGGTTTATGTTGTATTCTCCGGCTATGAAAATACCAGCGGAAATGTATCTGCACATGGGCAGACAGAATGTTCTGGCAAGTAAAGTGTGGGAGCTTTGAACACGTGCTGTTGTTGATTCAACATTATGGGCCTTAAATGGGAACACACTTAGTGGTAACACCACAAGTAGGTGGAAAGAAAATGTCCAAACGACAAATCAGATTATTACTTTGTCCAATGTTCACATGGCACCATATTCACTTTATGGTGCCATGTAAACAGCATCAGCTTGTCTCATTGGTTTTATAGTTTAACCATTTATGCCACCCCTATTCTTTATTATCTATCATCCAACAGTAGCCCATTAGAGTGCTTGCACCAATAAACTTCAGTTTATAGAGACACAAATGCAAAAAATTGCTTGCAAGCAAAGGAGACGACACAAAATCACTGATAACGTAAACTCTTAACTCAGAAATAAGGATTATGAATGTATTCTGCAAATTTAAGGTGTCATTGTTTTGGTTGTTTAATGCCACTAAGCAATATGCCAGCTTTACTTCGGCAGTCTGTAAATAATCGAGTCAGGGTCTGACTGAGAATCTAGTGAACGATATCATGAGAATCAGTCTTCACTATTGGGCCAAGGCTCATGCTGGAAACCATTCATTTACAGAGGAGTGAGTGATTGAGTTTAGTTTTACGTGGCTTTGAGCAATATTCCAGCAATATCACGGCGGGGGACACCAGAAATGGGCTTCACATATTGTACCCATGTGGGGAATCGAACCAGGGTCTTCAGCGTGACAAGCGAACGCTTTAACCACTAGGCTACCCCACCGCCCCCATTTAGAGAGGAGAGTACTCCAGGTTTTATCAGCACTCATTACTCTAAAACCATCTTTCTGTGCCGTCTCTCAGGCGGATATTACCTCTGTCTGACTTTACTTCCATTGATCCAAGAAAACGGACAGTGAAGGATTGAGAGAAAGCTGCATTGTCCACTGGAGAGTCTAACACATCCACTGATGACTGGTCAAATGGGTTGATTCTTCTGGAAAAGAAAAGCAGACACTAATAATTACACAGCCCAAAATAAAAAAAAGCTGTTTTGAAAATTCTACAAGTATTATCAAGATTCTTCCCCAAGTAAAAACAGGTTGACTTTTTCAGGACTAGCACAGTGATGATCCCACACCAAAAGGCAAGGCTCTTCACATTATGTAGTTTCTCAGACCTCATCAAAGTGTTGCAGTGAGTGAGTGAGCGAGTTTAGTTTTATGCCGCACTCTGCAATATTCCAACTATATGCCGGCTGTCTGTAAATAATCGGATTTGGACAGGCAATCCAGGGATCGTCAGCATGAACATCAATCTACACAGTTGGGATACGATGACATGTGTCAACCCAGTCAGTGAGCCTGACCACCCAATCCTGTAAGTCGCCTCTTATGACAAGCATGGGTTGTTGAAGATCAATTCCAAGCCAGACCTTCATGGGTCTCAAAGTGTTGGAGATGCATACACAGCATGTTGAAACAGAATTACACCAAGTTGAACAGATGTGGAAGATAACTTAGTCCGTCTCATTAGTTTCCCTTCCGCCCAACCCTTTCTGTAATGCTAAAGCCCTAAATGGGCTAAAAGCCCTGTTCAGGTTCTGAATCTCCCATCTCACTGATGCTCCTTTTCAATTTCCCCCGGCAAAAGGAATTATTTGTTTCTATCCAAATTATTTCTTCAGAGACTACTCAGTAAGTGTTAGTCTAGATATAAGCTTAAAGTGCCTGGATCATAGACCTATAACCAGTAATCAGACCAGTGAGTATGGGTGAATGTTATGGGGCACCTCAAGGGTTCTACTGCTTAAAACAACTAAAGCAAACATCATAAATGGAATAAGAATAAAATCATGGCAATATGTGCAAACGAAAACTGTTTAGCTTAAATAAAGAAAACACTACTGTTTATTGCAGTTCAGAATTATTCCAGCAATATCGCTGCAGGGGACACAAGACATTGGACTTCAGACATTCTATCCATGTGGGAAATCGAACTCGAAACATTTCAAGGACTCCTCTCAGTTCCTCTGTAAGAACATTAACAACTGGAGGCATTTCTAAGAAGCAAGCCACATGAGGACAGCCATGCTGTCAATCAGTTGTGATCAGGAAGTTGTCTCCCCCCTGTGTATGGGACAGCTAAACCATAAACATTGTGGTTGTTTCTGTGCATGTTGTCAATCAGTTCTGATCAGGAGGTTGTCTCCCCTGCATACAGGACAGCTAAACCTTAAACATTGTGGTTGTTGCTGTGCATAATACGCTTGTCAACTCAGTGCGCCTAGTGGCTGCAAGAGTTGTATACTCCCTAAGGAGTTGAGACTGACAATATGATGTGCCATTGAGATTGACATCAAACGATCGAGGGGGAAAAAATACCAGTGCCTTGAGCATGCACTAGTTGCGTGGATATGTGCACTATATAAATACAATAATCAATCTTCACATCCAACTTCTTACTGCTCCTGACCACTCTAGTTCCATTAATGACACAGCAGATGATATCCACCACCCTGAATACTGCAGCTCTTGTTGTCCAGTCCATTCCACAGAGTGATTACAGCCCTAACCAGATTGTTTGTTTGTTGTTTACGGCCCCACACAGCAATATTTTAACTATATGGCAGGAGTCAACATCAAGAGTAACCAAGAGCCCCCAGTCCCGTAAGTCATCTCTTATAACAAGCATGTGTTGCTGAAGACCAATTCTAACGTGGAGGTGATGGTGACTCCCATACATTAACATAGACTGTCATAACAACACAACTGTCCGTTGGAACAATAGTCACATAATTCATGAAATACTTGGATATCCTCACTGAACATTATTGACCGACTTACCTTTTCAAAATTTCTATCTGAGCCTCAAAATTAACACAAAACTTAACCATGCATAGTATTGTAAGTCATGATTCAACATAAAAGATAAGACTGTTTATATCACAATACCAGTTGATATAGACATCTATTACCCTTATGGGAAAAGGACACAGGGTAGGATTTTTCCTGTAAGTCCTTAAGAAGATTACACTTCTTGGTGAACGTTGATTGGCTGTTTCAGAAAATATATGATTTCATTGGTTAAAAACAATATGCCCGGAACTACTTCATTCATCTTTTCAGTTCATTCACTGTTTTACCCACAAATGTCTGCTCAAGAATTACATAATTAATATAACTCAGGAAAGATAATCTGTCATTCCCCATCACTTAGTTATTGTCTAAATCTGTTCACTGACTCAAGCTCTGACGTATTTCAATCTACATAAATGTATTTCATGAATGATGTCAGATTCATCCCATTGACAAATATCAAATTATATTACAATTACAGTCGAGCACCGTTGTGTCGAACTCTGATAACTCAATATCTCAGTTGTCTCGATATAACATCTCGGTCCCGGCAAAATCATTCATAATTTATCATTAATCAAGCTCTTTTAACTCGATACAGATGTCTCGATATTTCGGATATCTCGACATAACATCATGGTCCCAACAAGCAAAATTACCCTTTTAACCGATATTTGCAAAGAAACAAGATATTCACCTCCTTTTCATGGGCAAGTATCCCTCTGAACTGAGGTTGTTTCCACACGTTTACACACGTTGCGGCATGAATCAAAGGGATGCGGTAGTGTAAACTAATTAGAGCTAATTGAGTTGAAGGTGTCACTTGTTCCTTATTTAATTAGGATTAATTTGGAAAGAATTAATTAGGAAGTACTCACTGTTACGACTAAACACTACCGATAACAGATCATAGTTTCGAATCAAAACATACTGAGAAGTGTTTTGTTTTCTTTCATAGTGATATGTGATGATATGCCCTGGTCGGATGTCTTGAAGTTTGGATAACTCGAGATTTGTTCTTAGTCCCATGAATATCAAGACAACAGTGCTCAACTGTATATAGATGAGCCTGTGTTGTCTTGTTAAACATAATATTATAAACATTGTATAAAAAATTATTCAATATACTAAACATCGCACAAATGAAATTCTGGGTATATAAAATTTTTGCTTTTTTGGTATCATGCTAATCATCCTTGAAAATTGTGCATCTACATCACAGCTCTAATAACTGTGCAACTTTATATCTAACCATGACATAAGTAAAAAGAAACATCCCATTTGTACCATCAAAAGCACAGTTTCACAGCATGTAGGCACTTACAGACATATAAACTCCACACAACAAGACCACTACACACATACAGTACAGTACAAGTAGACATGTCCTGCAACAACCTCCAGTATCATGGACGAAACCCACCTCAAGGTCAAGGATCCTTCCAAGATTATCAAGAAACCACATGATCCGAGGATGACCACGAAAACATTGCAATCACCCTTTAATAATTAATGTATTTACATGAATTAACTTTAAATATATACAAGAATATTTATTCTCTGGTAATTCAAACACTAAATACACTATTAAAAAAGTATAAGATAGTGTTCTTAAGATAAGAAGTGAGACTGAAATGTGTGAAAATGATTAGTTAAATTGTGGGTTATGTTCTTCAGCCTGGTGTCTATTTGAAGACTTGAGTCTATTTGTAGACTGAAATGTACTCTCAGAAATTAAGTTATCTTATCTAAAACAATGCATTTACAAACTTAAAAACATTTATCCAAATGGAGGCAAGAAAAATGCTTAATTCCACACCTGAGGCAATAAGGACCAGTTTGGACAACTTTTTAATTCTCTTGGGACTGGGTGATAGATAGCCTGGAGTTAATTATAAGCTGGTCTAAAGATAACTAGTGCCCTGCGTGAAATAGAGACATTGTCACTGTGTAGGTGACTTACTGCTGAATACATCCACTCCATACATAATACATGGACAATGCAGTGAAACCAAATCTAATCCCCCAATAAAACTTTTTGATTAGTCAGTTAAAGCTTTCTAACTACAAAGAAATCTTTAGCCCATGTGATTTTTTCAGGACATTAAGATGCACTCAGTTGGTGAAAATTTAACCAGTGAACAAAGATTAACTTAAAGCATTTAGAAATAAGTTTAATATACTTTTACATTTTCTTATACAAAAGTGTTTGTGAGCTATGTGAACACTTGCAATATTCTTGGTTTCAATGTTTAAAGTTTGCTCTACATTTTCCAATTGTAGTCAGAACGGGTGCGTATAACACTTCATTCTACAAAATAAACAGATGTGATAATTCTGAGACAATACAAACATGAGGTGGCAACACAGACATTGTCAGATAAACAATGTTAAAATACAAACCATACCGATGTGTGAGAAGTAAGTCATTAACAGTACTAACTTTGGTGGACCGGTTTGGGGCGACGTAACTTGGCGATTCTCATCAGAAGGTGATACCAGGTCAAACTGTATGGGAGTGTCGATTACAAAATTGTCCGTCGGGGTGGCAGCGGGTGTTGATGATTGGGAATGATTGGCACTGATTGGCAGAAATGAAATAAAAGACTAAAATCAGCACTACAATTACAACACAAAACAAAAGAATACATGCAGTTAGTCCTCTGGTAACTATGGTAACAAACAATATAAATATTAGTTCACACAATACCAGCCATGAATCCACTGGTTTGGTTGCATTTGCAAAAGTTCAACACAAAATTTCAGTTGTCAGATTTAATTTGAAAAATGTTTAAATTTCAGAAAATTATGCCAAAGATATTCAAACAGGGTGAACATAAAGCATCTAATAAAATGGCATGATGTTGAATATGATTGAAATTGATTACATGTTAAATAAAACTTGGTATATATATGATATATGAAAGTAGAATTTGATGATGAAATAATATTTTCCTGAAAACATTACCAACCTAACAAAGACACATATTTGACACCACACATGCAAAGAGAAGTCTAGCTATAATTCCCAATAACATTCACGTATTCCACGATAACACTCTTTACTCCCAGCAATGACACAGCTTACAATAGAACCACAATAGACAAACCAGGACAATCATCACACAGTTTGCATCTCATTGCTTGTTGTACATGTGATAATGGTGTAACGATACGGTATTGTATTATGGTAGAACACTTAAAGCTGTACTGTTATACAAATAAGTGTGAATGAACACAGATTCAAAATGATAAATAAAACAACCTGTTATACAGATTCACATGTATTTCCAGTTGACTAAAAATAACATCTCATTCACACTGGCCTCATGTTTTGCGCAAAATAAAAAATATATTCTTGAAATATAATCTATAGCTTACAGTATTTAAGTATAAGACTTGACAATCGTAAGTCTATATTTAAGTATAAGACTTGACAGGTGTAAGTCTATATTTAAGTATAAGACTTGACAATCATAAGTCTATATTTAAGTATAAGATTTGACAGTCGCAAGTCTATATTTAAGTATAAGACTTGACAATCGTGAGTCTATATTTAAGTATAAGACTTGACAATCGTAAGTCTATATTTAAGTATAAGACTTGACAGGTGTAAGTCTATATTTAAGTATAAGATTTGACAGTTGCAAGTCTATATTTAAGTATAAGACTTGACAGGTGTAAGTTTATGTTTAAGTATAGGAGTTACGATCACCTTAGTGCTATAAATGCTTTGTGGAATGTACCTCAACCTTCACAGCACCCCTGAAATTTAACGGATCTCCAAAATTTAAAACAAATAGTTCAGGGTACTTACAACTTGAACCATGAAAGAATATCAATATATCAAACATAAGTACTGTATCACACAATACTGGAGTACATATTCTTTCATGTCCCTTCCGTATCGTTACACCTAGTGTATCACGTCAACTTGGATAACTTATGCATCCCGAGCACGTCAACAATGAACCATCAAAATGTGTGCATGGCTGCAGCTGTGTGGAATATAAAAATATGAAACTTTGGACAAAAATCTTCAGAAGAATGTCTTGTAATTACTCATACCGAACAGGACTTGCTTTCTCTGGAGCCGGAGCCGAAGCGGAATCTGTGGACTGATTCTTCATCAATACAGCTTGCTGCTCCTGAGATGGAGGTAACAAACAGAATGGAATTGTGAAACGAATGGAATGTATGCAGCAATGTGATTGGTTGAAATATACTGATATATTGGATCTGAGGGCCAAATACACAGACACATAGCCTGACTTCTTCAAATTATTACTGAGAGTCCCAAGTTCCCAAACATCTATAGACAACAGTAAATTAATATTGCATGGAACCACATGGGCCCCTTGGAGAAAGTTAACTAAGTGTCAAGGTGATCATAACTTTAACACAGAATCAAATGTATGCAGCAATGTGATTGGATGAAAAACATTGACCTGGCCTATTCACAGATAACTATTCAATTATTATATCACAAATTTGAGAAGCATGACTACACCTATTTGAACAAGAATACTGCATCCATTACATATTGCATTTGATTACCGCTTGTGAAAATTGTTTTGGTTATTTATTTTCTCAGCTTCTGCTGGTAACACACATGTAGAGCTCTTGAAAGCATGTGATGTCAAGACGACATAATATCCAGCATTATGTCGTGTTTTATAGTTGATACATATTCTACATTTGAGTACATGATAAGAGAGGATAACTACTGATAATTTGTTCTCATTTACAAAGTTATATTTCAATGTAACACTCCTGATTTCACTGGTGTCTTTCTGTCGGCAATATTAAGGGTTCGAATTTTGCAATGCTGTAAATCTCACTAGAATAAACATTGAGTAAACATTTTACTGGTGTTGTTCCTGGCTTGGAGCTTGTATTTAAGCAGGAATTCGGACAGCTCACAATGTGAGTCTGATGAAACAGAGCCTATGTCACAGTATCAATCAGTTATGAAGAATAAATCAATGTTGTCAAAAGACTATAATCCTTACTTTCTTCTTTGAAGTAGCTTTGCCTCGAACATATCCACTGTCCTTCACAATGTTGTTAATTGTCGCAATCCACTGAAACAAATGAGGAACATGGTCTTCATATGATCATATCCAGGCAGCTTTGAAAGAACTGTCACATCAACATCAAGGAACAGCAGACGCAAACAAGGGAGATAATTCAGTGTACTTTCATTACGTTCAAATCCAACTTCAGAACTTTGATCATATTCATGTGTCCATATACCCAACTCATAAATTAAAGAACACACAGATGACAGATTGGCTTTGAATGTGAACAAGGTACTCTGAATTATCTCCCCTTATCATAGTCTGCTGTTCAGGCTTTAGAATGAAAGTCATCCTTGAGCTCTACTTTTCTTGTATTTGAGTCAAAAGACCTCTTTAGTGTTTTTACATTTGGTCATGACAAGGAACACTTCCTCTCATTTCAAACACTGCATACACAGAAATTATCTAGTTCTGATGCAATACCTAGTTTCAATTCCAAACCATAATGAAGCTTATATTTCCAAAGGCTTTATAACACATCGAAAGAGACACAGAACACACATCTATTTAAGTTCAGCAAAGATGGACACATCTTCGTCTCTGTACCCACCTCATCCCTCTCCCGGTAGTTCTCAGCTTGAAGTAAACAAGCTCTGTGAAACAAGTACATGCATTAAAACACAGGTCAATCTGGTTACCAACAGACAGGTGCCACAGGTAACATTACACTTACATTGGTATCATTTGTCCCAAAAGACAACAAAAACACTCATTTCTGTATTCATTACAATGTTGTGCTCACAGCTAAAATACAACAAACCTGTGGAACAGAAATAATCAAACTTTGTGAAAGTTCTTATATTTCTAACTCCATTAACTGTCCTTTTAAGACAATATATCCTCAAAATCCATCAAACTCAAGGTTAAGAAGGTTGCATCATGTTAAACATTATATATGTCATACAGGTTTATTTATATCTGGCAATTTTACACCACTTTAAAAAAATTCCCAACAATTCAATGAAGTGAATACACAATGCCATTAGAGAGTGGTCAAATGTAACATATGTTATATTTGGGATTACACTTTCTCAGTATAGTATGGATTCTAGTACTTTTGATGGGTTGAGTCATATCTGGGATTCGAACCCATAAGCTCAGAGTCAGCCACCTACCAGCTCAGCCACCACACCTTCCACGAAAATGGAAGTCAGACAACTGACAGCCTAGACCACAGACTTTGTGCACCCCTCTGATAAGTGTAAACAGCCAAAAGCTTTATGGAAGGCACGCTGGCTGAGCGGATTAGGCGGCTGACTTTGGCGATTAGTTGAGACTCTGAAGGTGTGAGTTCAAATCCCAGATTAGTACTAGAATTGGTACTTTACTGAGAAAGTGTAATCCCAAATATGACATGTGTTAAATTCAATGGAGTTGAGGAGAGGCAAAGTGGGGTAACCCACTGAGATTTCATGGTACAGTTTTAACATGAACACCCCTCAGTATACTGCCTCCAAGCCGACCTGACCTTGTTTTTCATCCTGTTAATGTTCAACTTTCAACTATCCGCTCCCTTGGCAAACACTTTAGACCACTGTGGTAATGTCTTTAAGAGGGTACACACGACATGGCCACAACGTGAAACAAACTCACAATATACCAACAAGGCTCTGTTCCATTATGAACAGGATTGCTTTTGTTTAAAAATCAAATTTTACTCCTGACAATGTATCCCTTGAGCTATCACAAATGTCACTCACTTCTTGTTTCCCGGAGAGACAACTTGAAATACAAATCTGCGATCGTCTGCAGTCCCTGGCTCGGCAATCACACCCTCCTCATTGAGATCGATCACCAGACTACCAGCAAACTGAAACACAACCCTTCCAGTAAGTCGGAGGTAGAGCTGTAGTCATTCATCGATACCTAGAATATCATCAATACTTACTAATCATACTTGAATTATCTGTTTGTGAGATCACTATAAACAGAGTAAGAACTGACAGAGTTATCTGCCAACATGGCTGGAGGTGCGTCACACGAGGACATGGTGGTAAAGGGTGTGCCCAATAACTATTACAATTAATGACCATCCCTTAATTCAAAACATATTTATTCTTGGTTTTTCAGAAACAAATTATAATTTGTTTTAGAGACATTAATAAAACAGGACAAATATACAAATAAATAAATGTATGAAGCAAGAAATTTAAGGGTCGTATTTCAAATATTTCGTCATTTATTAATATTTGTTGCAGTATATCACGAAAGCAATATTATTGTCATTCCTGAATAATCAAATCACTAGTTGTAGGCAGAGACGACCAGAGTTTCATTTTACAATACTGGAAACAAAATCAGTATTTAAGATTGACATCGGCAGCAATTTCTTCATTCCTTCAATGCAACATTTCATGCATTACTAGTTACAATGTTGCATTAAAAGAATAAAGAAACCTTTTAGGGTCATTAACAAGATATGCAAACACAATTTTCAATCTACCAAACACTTGGAGCCTGACATGGCCCAGCTGTCTGAGGCGCACCAGTGTAGAGTTGTGTCCCTTGGTCGGAAACCTACAAATGTGGATTCAAACCAGTGTTCACGCTAATTCCAGGTGTGTCAGCATCCTTCATATGCTCGTGGATGTCACTAAAGCAGGAAACATCCAAGACATGCATCATTTTGGGATTTCCTCCCTCCCTGAGCTGATACATCGTGATATCAGTGGGATGATATCAGTAGAATGATATCAGTGGAATGATATCAGTGGAATGATATCAGTGAAATACTGGCCAACGTGACCTTAAACACAACTTACTCATTCCCTCATAACATACCTTGAATTTTATACAAGAAGACAAAGTCATCAATATCCCCCGCAATGGCAAAATACTCTTCATGATTATGTCTACGAGTTATGATTATGTCAAATATTTAGGTGCGTATATAGAAAAGTGGAAGGAGAGTATTGAAAGTTCTGCTCCAGAAAGGAACACTATCACCGATTTCAGTCTATGTCAAACTTGTTGCCATGGAAATGCCAAAAATATTTTATTAAGAATTCCAAAACTACCAAAAGGCACCAGTACACCACCAGATCTATGTATGTGACAAGTTTGGTGAAGAAATATTGAACGGTTTTAGAGTTCTGCTCCGGAAAAGACAAATGTGCACGGATGGACGGACGCACGGACGCACGCACGCACGGAGTCCATTTTAATACCCCCCGCAAAACGCGTTGCAGGGGATAATAATTCTTTGAAACAGTTTGCATTATGACAAATTACCATGGTTACCCTATATTTTCTAGCATTAAATGTGAAGCAAACAGACACTAAAAGAAAGCCCTCTAAACTATTTCAGAAATATCATATTGCATAATTACAGATGTATTAATCTTTCTCAGTTACTCTTTATTTTGATGCACAGACAAATGTTGAAATATTTCAGTAAACAAATACACTCATGGTATCTACTGGCAAACAAACTTTGAAAAAAACCTGTCATTATAACTTTACCAAAATATACAGACATGATACAGTTCACGCAGACATTTTATATTACTTTCAGAATCTCCACAATTTGATCGGTCTGGGACTGCTTTTCAGCTTGATCTCACTTTATCAAATGAATAGACATAATGGACTGTTCTACATCTGATCTCCCCATGCCAACAAAATGGACTGTTCGACGTCTGATCTCCCCATGCCAACATAATGGACTGTTCTACATCTGATCTCCCCAGATCAACATAATGGACTGTTCTACATCTGATCTCTCCAGATTAACATAACGGACTGTTCTACATCTGATCTATCCAGATCAACATAACGGACTGTTCTACATCTGATCTCCCCACATCAACATAATGGACTGTTCTACATCTGATCTATCCAGATCAACATAACGGACTGTTCTACATCTGATCTATCCAGATCAACATAACGGACTGTTCTACATCTGATCTATCCAGATCAACATAACGGACTGTTCTACATCTGATCTATCCAGATCAACATAACGGACTGTTCTACATCTGATCTCCCCATGCCAACATAATGGACTGTTCTACATCGGATCTCCCCATGCCAACATAATGGACTGTTCTACATCTGATCTCCCCACATCAACATAACAGACTGTTCTACATCTGATCTATCCAGATCAACATAACGGACTGTTCTACATCTGATCTCCCCATGCCAACATAATGGACTGTTCTACATCGGATCTCCCCATGCCAACATAATGGACTGTTCTACATCGGATCTCCCCATGCCAACATAATGGACTGTTCTACATCTGATCTATCCAGATCAACATAACGGACTGTTCTACATCTGATCTCCCCATGCCAACATAACGGACTGTTCTACATCTGATCTCCCCATGCCAACATAATGGACTGTTCTACATCGGATCTCCCCATGCCAACATAATGGACTGTTCTACGTCTGATCTCCCCATGCCAACATAATGGACTGTTCTACATCTGATCTCCCCATGTCAACATAATGGACTGTCTACATCTGATCTCCCCACATCAACATAATGGACTGTTCTCCATCTTGATCTCCCCATGTCAACATAATGGACTGTTCTACCTCTTGATCTCCCCATGTCAACATATGGACTGTTCTACCTCTTGATCTCCTATGTCAACATAATGGACTGTTCTCCATCTTGATCTCCCCATGTCAACATAATGGACTGTTCTACCTCTTGATCTCCTCATGTCAACATATGGACTGTTCTACCTCTTGATCTCCCATGTCAACATAATGGACTGTTCTCCATCTTGATCTCCCATGTCAACATAATGGACTGTTCTACCTCTTGATCTCCCATGTCAACATAATGGACTGTTCTACCTCTTGATCTCCCATGTCAACATAATGGACTGTTCTCCATCTTGATCTCCCCATGTCAACATATGGACTGTTCTCCATCTTGATCTCCCATGTCAACATAATGAGTCACATATGGACTGTTCTATTCTACCTCTTGATCTCCTATGTCAACATAATGGACTGTTCTCCATCTTGATCTCCCCATGTCAACATATGGACTGTTCTCCATCTTGATCTCCCCATGTCAACATATGGACTGTTCTACCTCTTGATCTCCCATGTCAACATAATGGACTGTTCTACATCTTGATCTCCCATGTCAACATAATGGACTGTTCTTCCTCTTGATCTCCCATGTCAAAATAATGGACTGTTCTACCTCTTGATCTCATAATGTCAACATAATGGACTATTCTACCTCTGATCTCCTTGTGTCAACATAATGGACTGTTCTACATCTTGATCTCTCCATGTCAACATAATGGACTGTTCTACCTCTTGATCTCCTAGTGTCAACATAATGGACTGTTCTACCGCTTGAGCTCCTAGTGTCAACATAATAGACTGTTCCACCTCTGTCATTTACACTGATCAGGTGATAGTATTCCGCCTGTTTCCCTGTGTATACAGGGACTGCACCGACCCAGGTAAGGACCCCCCAATGGAAGCCTCCACTGGACAACAAACATGGCAGACATGTATATACTATAGAAAAACCCGAGAATAGATGGTTCAAAACTGTTATGTATTTTCATCAATACTGAAGCAATGCATAAATCATGAGAATGATGTCTTTTGTGAGTGAGTGAGTGAGTGAGTTTAGTTTTACGCCGCACTCAGCAATTTTCCAGCTATATGGCAGCGGTCTGTAAATAATCGAGTCTGGGCCAGACAATCCAGTGACCAACAGCATGAGCATCGATATGCGCAACTGGGAACCGATGACATGTGTCAACCAAGTCAGCAAGCCTGACCACCCGATCACGTTAGTCGCCTCTTACGACAAGCTTAGTCATCTTTTGTGGCAAGCATCGGATGCTGAAGACCTATTCTACACCGGATCTTCACGGTTATGTCTTTTGTTACTTTCAGTGAGGAAAAAACGTTAATATAATTATTTCGAGAGACCCAAGTCATCGATACACGGGCAACTGTAGACAATGATGGATACACCATTTTCAACAGTGACATAAGCACTAATATTTCACAAAATTGTATACATAATACCTGGAATGGAGAGGCCATCAATTGCATCTTTCTTTTATCACATCTGCAATAATAATAGGCTATTTTCTCCCACTGCTAAATCCTCCTTTAATACAATGTTAAATATGTAAGATCAGTCATTGGTCACTTTTTAATACACAACAAAATTAGTCATAAAAAGATCAATAATTTGGAAGACATAACTGATCAATTTCAATCAAGTGTTTTTGAACTATAGGTGTGCTTGTAAACGTGCCGGGTCTGCAGGGATAATGATAAGAAAAATGTTTGTCTTTGATGTCGAAAGCGTGGTGGCTGAGCAGGTTAGATCTCTGACTTTGTGTGCTGGCGATTAGGTGCCTGACTCGGAGAGTGTGGGTTCAAATCCCGAATGAGACTCAACCAAACAAAAGAACTGGAATCTGTTCTTTACTGAGAAAGTGTAATCCCAGACCACGTTCTAAATGGAATTGTGTATTCATAGCTTTGATGTTTTCAGACTGTTTTAAATTATAGTTAGAAAATAGATGCAATTCCTTGAGATGTCTGATTGCTAAAAACAAGATGGAGGTATCATGAATGATGACTAATTTTTAGATTACAAGTATTTTTAATTTGCAAGAAAGAAATGGTTTCTTGTCATTTGCAAGTGTGTTTCTTAGAATTCATTATTTGAAATGTATTAAAAAATGGCATATATCAGAAAGATTTGGGTTAACAATATTCTATGACATGTAACCACAGTTATCATGGGTACACAGTAGAGAAAGTGGAGCATTGTATATGTGAATAGCTGTTTTGTGATTTGTTGTATCCATTAGGTTGAATGGTGTGTTTTGTAATACACTTTTTTATTACCACACGATGACGTTGTTGCACCTTGACTACTGTTATATTTTTAATGATTATCCTGAGCTAAAAAGAATTTACAGATGTTATGTTCAACTGATATTTGACATTGTACCAAATTGATTAAAAAAAGGTGAATATATTCTTCTTTATCAATATTCCATGTAGCCCTGACATTTTCACAAGCACATACATTTTGTAAAATTACAAGGCTGATTTAATGAATTATGTCTCTCTAATAATCAAATCTATTTGTGATTAATATCAAAATTTTATGAAAAATGTCTCTGAATGTGAATAAATCGATCATTGTTTCTCCTCATAATGGTCTACAAGTTCTATTGCTTGTAATTATAATAGAGTTCATGCATTTCTGGGTCATAATTGTCATGATTAGTGCCATTCAACTTGTCTAACTAAATATTATTGGGGCTGTTCAATTTCATGTTTTTAAGTATATGTGTACATGACAAAAACATTCCCGCTATCTGTTCTTGTGTTATTCTATAGTCATTGTGGTGTCCCCTAGTCCGGAAGCGATTGGTCAGTCAACTGATCTCACTTTCTTCAACAATTATTGATGGGCTTGGTGACTAATCGATATTCATAAAAAACTAAACATCAAATTTAACGTTAGGTTGTACGTTTCTTATTGCTATGTTTGTTAAGTTGAGACAGTAACAAGTGATCCAGTTTCCTGACTTGTAAAACTAGTCCCTAGTATGGTGATCTACCTTCAGTTGCTGGTGATCAGTAGCCCGTTTCTATATTGCATTGCTCTCTATAGTGATATCCCTTCTACATAACATCTCTAAATACATTTAATTTCTAACTGTGATATTCTGGTTGTTTTCCTGTTTTTTGGCGACAGACTTTATCATATAATATTACTTATTATCAACATATGGCCTGTTTTACTCACAATATGGTTAAAATATTGCCAATATATGACTTTAAATTTTAACTCACTCACTCATTTGCACAATGTTATGATTGTTTTGAGATGGGGTTTATGATTACAATGGATCGAATGCTGATCTCCGATTATTGATCTGTGTATTGTGAGCGATAACCAGCACTTGTGTCCACCATGTTTTACTACCTGGTTTCGGCTTCCACCGTGTAGCTATTACCTGGATTGGTGTAGCACCACACTGCTTCATTCACATGGGACAGGCTGGATAACATTGTGCACCTTGCAATTAGTCGTTCCATCATATGAGACAAGTGTTCTATACGTCATGTGTAAAGACGTCACCAAGTATAGTGGAGTAATTCTCATAGGTTTTACAGCTTGTTTACCAGTTTACCAGTTGCCATGGTTTTACTATGTGCATCTTGGGGGAAATGGGGCAAACACTTGCAAGAACACAGCACACAATATTGCTGACAACTCACTGATGACAAGAAAACTGACATGCTAACATACATGTCCTCAGGTATTATATTGATCAAAATAGTTAATCAATTACACATTTTTAAACAGTGAAATAATTTTCCAATATGCATGCATCTATGAAATTATCAAGAACAAAGTTCAATACAAAGAAACATCACTGAAATTTAGAATAATTACGCATTCAGACAAAAATATAAACTATGATTATTGATTATAGGAAATCATATTGAAATGAACGATGTTTGGTCTGACTGTGGGACAGTCATTAAGAGTTGAACTGCGAAAAATATACACATCTAAAGATATCAAAAGATGTAATGGCATTGACTATGAAAAGGACAATATCTTAATATTAAAACATGCACAAAGACATTTGAGTAACAAAAGGGAGATAACTCTATCAAACAAGTCAGTCTCTCCATCTTTGGAAAGGCATTTAGATGTTGGAAGAGTATTAGTTTATGGATAAAAGAATATATTTTTTATTGTTTGTACTGATATTTCAGAGATACTTCTTGCCTCTTATTTCAGTGAATGAATAGCAATAGAGATGTTACTTTTTGAACAATAACAATGAAGGTTTCATGTCTGACACATTCGTCATTCTTCTGAACATATGCAGGGATTACAGTACATGTTTCGGTTACCGGAGAAATAAGACTTCATACAATTTCTTTACAAAAATTATGTTGGACAGAGAAGTTATATTTTTTCAAAGTGCAGTTCAGCTTTTAATGTTCAGGAAGCACAGGAAGGGTTGAAATGAAATCCTAGATGAGAACATGTACTTACATCGACTGAGCCTACGCTACTGACCTAGAGAGGTCAACAGAGCAAGAGAAGGTGAAGGTTATATCGGAAACTGCAACCTCAGACAAGCAAAGTTCAAGGTCAAACAGAATCTGCAACCTCTGACAAACAGTAATATATACTGGTGGAAACGCATGAGGTCAAACATGAGAGAACAAGTGTTCATTTAGTTCCAGATTTTCCCCCAGTGCAATACAAAGCATACACAGAAACCTCGAATGGAATATAGGAACACTTATACTTGCATGTGTTCCCTTATTTGTTTCCTTCAGTATATATAACATACTTTCAACAACAAAGTAACAACCTTTTTAAGATGTCTTAACAGAGTAACATATGACAAAATCTTCATACATTGAATTATTAGGAAAGCAGGTTTAGAAATCACAATAAGGTCAGAGATTAATCTAAGCACCTATCATAAAATATCAACAAAGTCAATGACAGTCATGCTTTGTTACAGATATAGCACTTCACGAGGTGTTAGTCAGTTCAAGTAGTTAGAAAGTGAAATTTACCAAAGCAACAACACCAGGGTCAGTGATTAGTGTTTTTTAGATGATGGAGTGTTGCCATCACCATGAAATGTACAACACTGTGTCTGGTACACCTACCTCCTCCTTGGCCTGACTCATCAGGTTGCCCCCTTGTGTGAAGAAATACACCCGTTCCCACTTAGTGGTGATGAGGGCTTGTTTACTGAAATAGACAATGTAAGATCAGTTACAAACAAGAGTCATCAGAAGATGACAAATTCCCCCGGCCAAAAATGCCAAAAATCTGCAATAGCAAAAGGCACCACTTCAAGATCTGTTTGATATATCTGCCATGTCTTGTAGAAAGATATTGAAAGGTTCATCTGTTGTTTAATGTGTGGCAGTGGGAATGGTTAAAGCATCCACTTGTCATACTGAAGACTGACTGACTGAGTATGATTTTACACCGTTTTTTAGCAATATTCCAGCAATATCACTTCTGGGAAGACGAGAAATGGGCTTCACACGTGGGGAATCGAACCCAGGTTTGTGGCATGCTAAGCAAACACTTTAACCACTTGGCTACCCTACGGCCTGATCAGTAGGACACAGGGTACATACATTCGTTGAAAGAGATATCCTGCCTTCTGAGTGAGTGCTGTGTTGGGCGGAATAAACGGCATGTCTATAGGTGGCTCTGCATTGTACAAGTGGGCGCTCTGTTTCTCTATTGTGTCTATCAGTTCAACCGTCTTCTGAGTCTCCGTTGACAGTTCCTGGTGCACACTGAAATAACATGAACACACCCACTTTTTGAGAACTCAACAAATATCAGCATGTGAATTAAACAATTCAGTTACAAATACCAATTTCATTAAAATTTAGCAACTAAATACACAAATGTTCATGACTTTCAAGTTCTTGTTTTTGCACTAGGATGTATAATTATATTGAACATAGAGATTTTTTCTGGGTTACATCTTTTTATTCTCGAGTACAACGTTTCAGGGCTTGTTCTGGACCCATCATCAGTCATCATCAGTTACTGTTCAGTTTTACCTGATGATGGGGCCAGAACAAGCCCTGAAACGTTGTACTCGAGAATAAAAAGAAGATGTAACCCAGAAAAAATCTCTATGTTCATCAAATATCATCTTCTAAAATGCCAATCAAGCATATAATTATATTATTAATAACATATAATATAATTATGTTATATAGCGCGCTAAGTTCATCATCATATTTATTGGCCAAGAAGTGTACTTTACTAAGAAAGTGTAATCCCAAATATAACATATGTTACATTTGAACACTTTCTAAAATGGCATTGGGTATTTCATGGCCTTTAACTGACAGTATATGTACTGACATGGGTTACTAAAAATAGAATGGAAATACCCAGAAGTTGTAGTCCCCAAACCTAAGCCAATCAAAGGTCTCCATTTCTTGGCACTTACTATAATTGTTGATGCTTCAAGATATGCTGAATCTGCTCTTGTCTCTTTCTTACATGACAAAACTTTTAAAACTTCATATTGAAGTCAATACCTGTTTTTATTACCCACGTGGTCAACGTGTATGGGTAGTTGCATACTAATCTCGTACGTCACACGAGTGTCGTATCGCGTTGACCTGTGTCGTAATGACTTGACCTGAGATACTAACGATTTGATTGGATAACCGATGACCTCTCAGTTAGGTCACGTTGTGACGACGGAACTACTTGTTCATTCATAACAAACACGTGAATTCATTCATTCTACAACTTAGATGCATTGTGGGAATGTAAACATTGCGAACGTCGCCGTGTCGCTGTTTAATTGTGAGTCGAACTGAGACATTATATCCGTCAAAAAACATAAACACAATGTTTCCACCAATGATGTTAGCCGAGTGAAGCAGTTGCAAACCAAGAAATGGGGTGCTACTGAGTAGTTTACTGAAGGAGGCTGTACGAGAGGAGGTGATAACTGACATGCATCGTGACGTCGGTTACCAAGGGGACAGACGAGAAAAGGCGTAGTGACGTCAATACAGTGTGACGTCATGCAAAAGTGTACGTCAGAACAAAATTCTTCCGCAACCTCTTTATGAAACCAGTTTCAGTTTGAAACCACAAACCAAAACTACGCTATTTTGTCAATTTAATGCATGTAAGACGTGGGTAGTAAATAAAATACCACATGAGGTCTCATTACATACGAATTATACGAAACCATGATCTTCCTATGGTTACCATAGGAAGGACACTCGTTTCGTATAATTCGTATGTAATGAGACCTCGTGTAGTATTATATATATATTAACCTCTGACAAAACCCCTAAAAGATATTTCAACCTCAGACTTTGTCCTTAGTCAATAGAGTATGACCAAAAATTATTGAGAATTTTAGGAATATGTTTAATTGGATTTCAAGTATAAACAACCTTGACCAGTACTTGGTTTCATTCAAGAGAGACAACTCCGTTGATCCTTTTTCATTAGTTTGTGAAGAGTTATCCCCCTTTGTTTACTTGGTAGCAGACGACATTTTCAGTGATCCTCAGTATGAATGATTTAGAGAAGAGGAAGTTGATTTTAGAGTATTATAACAAGGACATCAGATCAGCTTAAGTGATTTCAAGTAGAACAGGCATTCCTTTGTCCACTGTTTATCGTGTTTTGAAAATTATTGCAAATGGATATGGCATTGAGCACCAGGGAGGCGCAAAGTAGGCCCAGAAAATTGACTGTCGGTGACAGGAGGCGGCTTGGTATTCTTGTTTCTAAAAACAAACGAAGGAGTTTAGAAATCTTAAGGCTGGATATGATTGATAGAGGAACTGTGGCTGTCTGTAAGGAGACAATCAGAACTGAGCTGCATGCAATGGGTTGGCAGAAAAGTCGAGGAATTCCATCACTGATCATGAAACCTGAACAAAAGGAGCGAAGGTTGAACTGGTGCTTACAGCATAGGACTTTTAACTGAGACAATGTGATTTTCTCAGATGAAAGTTCTGTGTGGCTGTTTCCTAATACACTGAAATTCTGGACCAAACAAACTGAAAAACCTTTGTATCAACGCCCAAAGTACAGTCCGAAATTTAACGTGTGGGGTGGCATATCTGTGTTAGGGGCAACGCCCCTCTGTGTATTTGAAGGGAATATGAACAGTGAGCGGTACACAGATGTTCTCGAGGGACATTTACGTCCATCTGCTCACGTGTTCTATGGATATTTTTGGATTTTCCAGCAGGACAACGACCCAAAACATCGTTCAAAGCATTCACAGGCCTGGTTTCGGACCCAACATATGACATTATTAGATTGGCCAAGCTATAGCCCTGACCTAAATCCAATAGTAAATGTTTGGGGACTTATGAAGGAAAGTGTCAATAAGAAAAATCTGACAAATATTGCTGAAATGAAAGAAGAGGTGGTCCGATATTGGGACAGCATGGACCACAACTTTCTAACTTCTTTGATCAGTAGTATGCCCCGCCGCATTGAAGCCTGCATTGCTGCCCATGGTGACTTGACAAAATACTAACTGTTCACCTGTCTTTGAATCTGGAGTTATTTTCTGCTAATATTCACTATAAATACGTGAGTAATGAGTGAAAAAAATATATAAAATTACAATCTTTAAATTCTCAGTAATTTCTGGTTGTACTGTACAAAGCAGGTTCAACAGGACGTCCTGTTGTTGTATAGAACAAATAAAGACCTTTCACAATACGTGTTCAGAAAAAAAAGAATTTCAAGGCACCAACAGCTAGGCCACAGAATTTGTTAAATTTGGCTCCTTGCATTACATACAACCCTTGAGAGTAGACGTCTACCCAATGCTGTACAATCATCGTCAGTTCAAATTGCCACACAGGATAATGGATACAGTACCTCTGAACGCTTGCTGCTATGTTTGTGAGGAAGTTTTCAATCTCCGGCTTGCAGACGGCATCCTGACCCATCTGAAAGAAGGACCTCTGGGCATGGAGGTACCCCATGATGGGCTCGAGGAGGAAACATCTCCGCTTGTACTGCACAGCATTCAGACTTGAGTAGTAGTGAAGTGAGGTCTGCAACAGACAATTCACAAATTGTAACAAAACAGGTCCTAGGTTTTACTACCTTGTCTGTCTGTCTGTCTGTCTGTCTGTCTGTCTGTCTGTCTGTCTGTCTGTCTGTTTGTTTGTTTGTTTGTTTGTTTGTTTGTTTGTTTGTTTGTTCATGACGCCCTCAGCAATTATCCTCTTTTAAATGACTGTTCTCTATTAATAATTGAGTCTGGACCAGATAATCAAGTAATTGTCATCATGAGCATCAATATACGCCAACGGACATGCATCTACTGGAGGGCCTGACCTCTCAGTCGGTTTGGGCATTGTGCCAGGTCCTGTGTGAATGAATGCGCGAGTTGGTTGGGTTGATGAATCTTTGAACAGTTTTCAATCAGGAAGATTCAGTATGAATATAATGCATCATGATGACTTTGAAAATGCTCTCAATCCACCACATACTTGGAGACTCAAGTGGTCTAGATTTCTAAGGCCAACAGTGTAGAGTTATGTCCCTTGGGCAGAACCCTATGACTGTGGATTCAAACCTCAGACTGATGATGTTTCTGAGTTTGTCAGCACAGTTCAAGAGCTCAAGGCTTTCACTAAAGCACTAAACATCTAAGGCATGCATCATTTCAGGCTGTTCTCTCTCTTTAGGTGACACACTATATCAGTGGAATAATAACCAAATGACTCACTCCCACACAACATACGAAGACTTTATAATTTGACAAATTACCATGCTTACCCTATGTTTTCCAGCTTTACATGCAAAGTAAATAGCACACTAAAAGGAAGCCCTGTCAACTATTTCAAACATTACATATCACACAATTACAAATCTATTAATCTTCCCGGTAACTCTTTATCATGACACTTAAAAACATTTTGAAATATTTCATTTGCAATCAGTGAACAAATGCACTCATGGTATATACTGGCAAACAAACTGCGAGAAAAACAGTCATTTTAATCCATGGTGCCTGACCAACGAGAAGCTTTGGACATTGTGTCAGGTGCTGTGTGAATGAATGAGATAGTGGTTGGATTGATGATGTTTTGAACAGTATTATTCATATCATAATGTTGGGAAAGTGTTAAGGAAAACCTGCTGGTAGAGGTTAACCAATATTAACCACTTAGTATGCTTAAGTGTGGTTATGGTGCTGGCCAAGGATCATTTCAGCCAGTTTCAAAATCAGTGTAAGCAGATTCTGGCATGACCAAGGGAAGTAACTGAATGAAAATTCATGTCATGGCCTGGTCATGTGTGATCAGTGTGAAATTGAGATATTGTTTGCATATGATCTAACTTCACTTGGGTCATGCTCCGTAACATGAGTGAGTGAGTGTGGTTTAACCTGCAATATTAATTCCATATATCATAGTAGCTTGTACAAAATCACACATCAGCAAGCTCGATAGTAAGTTTGACAGACATTCTGTAAAGTTGAATATTCAGTCATCTGCTCTTACCCCTGGGACAGTGAGTGTGTGAGTGAGTGAGTGTGGTTTCATGCCTCATTTTGAAATATTTCAGCAACATCACAGTGGAGTACTCCAGAAATTGGCTTCTTGCATTGTACCCATGAGGGCAATCGAAACTGGGTCTGCAACGTGACAAGCGATCACTTTAACTACTAGGCCCCACCACCGCCCCTACCCTGGGAGCACAACACAATGAAACTACATGAAAAATTAAGGGAAAAACTCATTATTTTGGGAAAACAAATTCTAAAACCTATTTTGCTAGTTAATTCAAAGACTACAAACAGCACATATCTAATTTTCATCATGTACATACACTCAGGTGAACAAGATTACTGAAAACAGGGTGACAAGTATAATTGCCAGACTGACACAACTCCTACTGAACATGAGTATCAAGGCTGCTCAAAGGTCTAACAATACAACAATACAATAACCATGCAGGGGTATTTCAAATCCCCCGGGCAAAGGTCCTTGCCGATACAGCCAGTTATAGGTCAGGTACACAATTTACTCAGCATTTACACATTGATCAGTTTCTGGCTGTTGAAGGATCCCCATTGGCTCAGTTAACTACACTGGTGCGGAGGCCAGTCAGCTGACCTACCAGGAAGTATATAATCCTGTACTTCTAGAACTGACTACACTCCATCCCAGTGTTAGGATGCACGCTATGTTGACTGTTTCGGTGTATCTGGGACTTGTCTTGCTGGGGAGCCTCGTCAGCTCATCCCAGGGCAGATACAGCCACCCCAAGTATCACCCCAGAGCTCTCAACAAACATGACACACAGCTCTATGGAGGTAAGAACTGTGTGGTACATAATGCTGTGCTCAGCAGTGTTATATAGATCTAATGGTGGGTGTACGGGTAAATAAACATGTCTGGACCCGGTGATCCATGATGGTTAGGTGACACTCAGTTAAACATGTGACGAGTGTACCCACCTCATGCTACCAGCAGAGGCTACACACAATTCCTGAATACCTGCATGCTATGAAGATAATTAAAGTACGTACAGCAACTTTATTCAACCCAGGACTGGTTTCCATGTGCAGAAGTTTAATACTCTGTCACACAGTGCTTCTGGGCATCTCCATATTATTATGGATTTTGAATTGTTTACTTTGTTTGTTTTTGGTTTTTTTAAATCCATTTTCATTTTTTCTATTTTTATTGCAATTGTTATCAGCAGAAACTCTCATGTTGACTGTAGTCAAATGTTTTGTGCTGGTCAAATAGATTGTCTCTAAAGCTCATGGAAAGGCATTCCTCCCTCACCATAGCTCGGGTCTCGGGGTCTGAGTTTCTTCGGGGGGGGGGGAGGGAGGGGAGAGATTACGCAAGCCACCCACCTTATACACAACAGTGAATGTAGGTCAGATAATATTGTACTTCCCTTGTGCATAGTGTAACTACTATTTCAAGCACTATGCCAGTCAATACTATGTTATATCATCCAAGGTGAACAAACAATAGTGACTGTGTAACAAACAATAGTGACTGTGTAAGTGAAAACAGGAAACTAACACTTAAACATCGCTAGACATGATAATTTACCATCCCAGCTGTAGTTCCTGATAAGCTTGTCATTGTTGTCCCAACGTACTGGTGATTCAATCAAAAACCAGTACGGGGATATAATTTCAAAGAATTTCTATTCCATGACTTGAAATCAGTATCGTAAGCAATTATTTCAACAGGGATAATTTATCCTTAAATTGTATTATGTTAATGCATTTTACCTATGTGCAATTATTTAAAATAATAATTAACACAAGTTTTTTACACTTTGGTACACTATGGATTCATTTTATGTACAAGAGAGTTTTATTAGTCACTGTTAAACTTCTTGTGATACATGTAATTTGATAGTCAAACAACAACAAATATCACTACAGTATTTATTCAAAATGAGGGATTGATTGAGATGAGTTTATCATAAGTATTAAAGTAACATGACATGTCAGCAAATTAACGAATGAAAAACACACATTGTCAGTGTTAGCCCTGGGCATAAAAATTTAGGAGTCATAATTACTCCCTGGTGTCATGAGAGGGAGTCATGGACATGTTTTAGGGAGTCACCTTCAGTTTGGAACTTTCATCCAGGCAACTGGGATTGTTTAAAAACGACACAAAACAAGGTAAGGTAGGTCAGGTGTTCAATCAGCACTGAGCAGTTAACTGGCAAACATTAAACTAAGAAGTTTTAAACAACAGCAAATTACAATATGTACTCAAACATAAACTAAAATACATGAGAAGTTTAGATTATGTGAACTAAGGGCCCAGTAGCTTTGAGTCAACAATGATGCAAACTTCTAAATTCACTGCATATTAGAGATAATTTTTGTGTCAAATACGCAGGTTTTCTGTATCATTCATAGCAAACATTGATTGTAGAAGATTCTCTAACTAGCAAAACCCATAAATATACACATTATTCTGTCATATCTCACACAAATCTTTGATTCAAGCCCAAGACCAGCAACTCCTGGCACATGCAAGGGATGCAACTCAGTACAATGAGCCTCATCTACATGACTCACATATATCCTACTATGAGGGAAGGACCATCAATCCTTTAATAATTCCTATAATTAATCCATCATGCATTGACATATTAAGTGTGGCAATATGGAAGAACTGCGCATTCCATGACATTTTTTTAGTAGTATATAATCTTGTACGAAGATGCTACAGCTAGCTGTTGGTTTCAGACTGTCATGAGGTACGGAAGGTGGGAGGCTACAATGTATCTGGTGTGTACACACTACACATGAACAAGACCACACCCTTCCAGGTACGACTAAACAACGTGTGCACAGGTCATTTATTGTGAAGGATAACCATATTCTGTTACAACTTCCCTGCTTCAAATTTGTAAGTTTCCTCAAGGAGAACAATATTCATGTTCTTTCATTCATTAAAATTAGCTTCCTTTTACAAAATAATAGGAAGACACAATATTTGTTATCATAGCTTTAAATGTTTATACATTTATCAGACTGATTGCAAAGAAGTTACTGTTTATTCTTGAAAATATTTCTTCACTGCAGTAAAAAAAGATATTATTACAATATGTCATTCTCAGGGACCGGATTTTATCAATGGAAAATTGGAAATGTGTCCTTTCACTATCGTCAATGCTATGTCCCTTCAGCATCATCAATACTGTGTCCCTTCAGCATCGTCAATACTATGTCCCTTCAGCATCGTCAATACTATGTCCTTCAGCATCATCAATACTGTGTCCCTTCAGCATCCTTCAGCTTCATCAATACTGTGTCCCTTCAGCATCGTCAATACTATGTCCCTTCAGCATCGTCAATCAATCATCAATACTATGTCCCTTCAGCATCATCAATACTATGTCCCTTCAGCATCATCAATACTATGTCCCTTCAGCATCGTCAATACTATGTCCCTTCAGCATCATCAATACTGTGTCCCTTCAGCATCATCAATACTGTGTCCCTTCAGCATCCCTTCAGCATCGCTAATAATACTGTGTCCCTTCAGCATCATCAATACTGTGTCCCTTCAGCATCATCAATACTGTGTCCCTTCAGCATCATCAATACTGTGTCCCTTCAGCATCGTCAATACTATGTCCCTTCAGCTTCATCAATACTGTGTCCCTTCAGCATCATCAATACTGTGTCCCTTCAGCATCGTCAATACTGTGTCCCTTCAGCATCATCAATACTGTGTCCCTTCAGCATCGTCAATACTGTGTCCCTTCAGCATCGTCAATACTTTGTCCCTTCAGCATCGTTAATACTATGTATGTCTACAGGTATATTGTGAGCACACGGCAGACAACTCATTCACAGTCATACAGAGACGGATGTCCCCAGCCGTCACTTTCATCCGATCGTGGCCGGAGTACGTCAGCGGATTCGGCAATGTTCAGGACAGCTACTGGGCAGGGCTCAATCATATCTTCTATCTCACATCTACAGGTAATGGTGGACTAGAAGATTATAACCCCAGATTTATCCAGAATTCTAAACTAAGTGCTCTTAGCAGAAAACAATGGAAAGAGCATTACATTGTTCAAATATTTGTATTTTCTATTATTAAAATATCTATTAATTCAGAGGTGTGTACTTTCATATAGCTTTCAATGCAGTGATGAAACACTAAGCAGTACAGACTATCACTTTATTTGAATACAGGGTTACACCTGACTTAATTATGAGAAATTGTTTTAATGTGAACAATTCAAACAAACTTGCATACCTGTAAATAGGGAAATTACATAGAGGGCTGCCACTGCCAGCATGGTGTGTGCCCGGCACATGGCACATGCAGCTTTTATATCACCTGAGTGCACAGACTGCAGGAGCAGCATGTGCCAGAGCCAAGGATGTACCTGCCGGCAGCCAGCTCATCTGTATGGCATGCTGTTAGGGACAAAACTTGTAACATGTGCCAGGGGTGCTGTGCTGTACATTGTATGAACAATTGAACCTGTGACATGTCAATGATCCAGTTATTGCTGTAATTCAAGTTTTAACAATACTGCTGGCACAAAATAGGAAAATGTTCATTCCAATTTGGCAATTATTGTCCGACAGTTGCTGCTTGTTCCAAACACTGGCCTCTGAGGAGGTCTAGATTAATCCCTGTTATAATGCAGGTAGTTCTGAAACAATACCATGGAATTGGGAATTCCTTTTAACCTGCCAAAACCACATATGCCTTTCTGTGGGTGCATGTGGAGTCTGACGGGGTGATGAATGAAAAGAGTAAGTGAGTGAGCGAATCCTTCAGACGCTGTTATCAAAATTCCAGCAACATAATGGCAGGTGTAATGGCAAAATCCACAAATCTGTTTAAGAGAATTGAACCTGGCCTTGGTGTGACAATCAAATGCTTCAACCACATTGCTATCCCTATTGTCCCTAGAAAGGTAACCTACCCTTGAAGTTTACCTTTTTGAAAAAGTTAAATACCCTTTAAAGTGTTTAACACAAGCCAGAAATCAATGCTAATCTGAACCTATCAGCACAAGCCTGGCCCATCTCTTCATGAATCATGCAGTTACATAAACTGCCACCCATGAGGATCCAGGTTAGAACTGGTCTTCAGCAACCCATGCTTGTCGTAAAAGGTGACTAACATGATTGAGTGGTCAGGCTTGCAGACTTAGCTGACACATGTCATCATATCCCAGTTGTGTAGATTGATGCTCATGATGTTGATCACTGGACTGTCTGGTCCATATGTGAGGCAGATCCCAAAGTGGTCACAAAGCCCCCACATATTTGAAAGAACAAATCATCTGACAGTTACTTAAAGTCCAGCTTGATTTTAGACTAAGTGCAAATCGTTTCCATGGAAATCATGAAACACATAAATGACAAATATCTGCAAATAGCAAAAGGCACCATTTCAAGATCTGCCCCACATATCTGCCAAGTTTTGCTGAAAGATATTACGAAGTTTTCGCATTGTGCTCCGGAAACAAAACCTACCCCTCCCTTTTGAGACTACTAGTAAATCCGAATCGTTTCCATGGAAACTGAGAAAATAATAAACCACAAAATCTGCAAATAGCAAAAGGGACCACTTTGGGATCTGCCTCACATATCTGCCAAGTTTTGTTCAAAAATATTGAACTGTTCTTGAGTTATACTCCGGAAATGAAGCCCACCCTTCCTTTTGGGATTAAGTCCAAATCATTTCCATGGAAACCGAGAAAATAATAAATCATAAATATCTGCAAAAAAGCAAAAGGCACCACTTTGGGATCTGCCTCACATATCTGCCAAGTTTTGCTGAAAGATATTAAGAAGTTTTCGAGTTGTGCTTCGAAACAAAACCTACCCCTCCCTTTTGAGACTAAGTCCAAATCGTTTCCATGGAAACCAGGAAAAATAAAATTTCAAAACCTGCAAATAGCAAAAGGCACCAATTCAAGTTCTGTTTGATATATTTACCAAGTTCTGTTGAAAAATATTGGACGGTTCTTGAGTTATGCTCCGAAACGGCCCACACACCCCACCCCCCCCCTTTAAGACTAAGTCCAAAACGTTTCCATGGAAACCGAGAAATATAAAAATGACAAAAATCTGTAAATAGCAAGAGGCACCACCTTAGGTTCTGTTTGATATATCTACCAATTTTTTTGGAAAAATATTTAACAGTTTTTGAGTTATGCTCTGGAAACAAAATGATTACATGCCGGGGGGATAACAAACCAACCAACTTAAACTGCCATTTTCATCCATGAATTTCTTACTTGTATATTTCAACCTGCCTCATAATTTATCATAACTTATCAAACAACAAACTCTTGCAAATGTTTTTTCTTCAGGAAATAATGTGTTAACAATCAACATGCAGACGTGGAATGGCGAAGCTCAAAATGTGCGTTATTCATATTTCCGTCTACAAGACTCGACCTATTTCACACTGAACATCGGAGGGTTTTTTGGTTCAATCCCCGATGATCTCTCCTTCAACAACAACATGCCCTTCGCAACCTACGACCGCCCTGACTTGAAAGGCTGCGCCTCCCAACAGATGGCAGGATGGTGGTACAACTACTGCAGCTACGCACTCCTAAATGGAGTCTACTACAACGGCGGCAGCTACACACCGACCGGCTCGTACTACAACGGCATCTACTGGAAAGACTGGCGGGGATATGGATACTCCTTGAAATTCGTGTCAATGACTCTGTCCCATATTTAATACACTGTCAGTATATTTTTCAATAAATAGGTGTAACAAGATATGTTTTTGTTTCTTTAAGGCTGCAGATAGCTATATTCCTGTGATATAATTACCTGTAAGTCATCAGGATCTGGGCAAGATAAACAAGACTGATATTATGAGAGTTTCTCCAACTGTTGGAGTATAATAGCATTATGTCGACCTGGACACCTTGCCTGAGAAGTCAACTGATTCATCCCTGACAGCAAGTTTGTAGTACAAACCCAGCGTCCCACTAATTGGTTGGAGTGGAGAGCAGTCTAAGTAAACTTAGGCTCAGTATTATTCGTTACACTGCTATACTGAGTCTAACAAAACCTAGTAGAAGGTCTCGTCAGCTAACCTTTTGGACTGACCAATAAGAACACAGCTTACCAAATCGCGAAAGTTAACATTCGCACACACCGTTTGAACCTTTACCTCAAAAAGCCGAACGATTCCGAATGCTATTTTCCGCACGATCGCTTCCGAGTTATACACACTATGAGTAAACAGTCACTGAAAATAGCGTTTTTGTCAATATTCAAGGATGTCATCTTGCGAAAATATAAGCAAATAGTAACCATGTCATTAGAAACCCATAAGCGTTTATACTGCAGGTCAAATATCTGTGTTTTATGCTTTTCATTTGTTGATAGATCAGTGTCAGCAACCAGGAAAGAGAAAATCCAAAAAACGTTTTGTAAGTCCCGCCGAACCCTAACAAGTAGTCGTTGTCTGATTGGTTAAATCCGTTCGGCTATCTCGCATTTGATTGGACGGTCATAGGTCGCTCAAAGATTAGCTGACGCGACCTTCAGCTAGGTTTTGTTAGACTCAGTATGGCAGTGTAACCAATAATACTGAGTCTAAGTTTACTTAGACTGGAGTGGAGAGAGTGACACACTTGATTTATTTTTAGACAAATTAGGACAGAAGGGTTTCACTCTGGTGTTAGAAAAGAGGTGAGAAATACACTTCAACATCATGATGCAATAAACCCAGCTACTAATTCTGAGCATCCTACTGATCACCTTCACAAACAAGCAATCAGGTGATGGTAAAACTACATGTGGACAGTATAATATTGATGAAAAACCCTGACAAATGCTATACCATTATTATACTGTCCAAATGTAGTTTTATTCTGATTAACTATATTAGAAAAGACTTATTTCCATTTTGCAAGAAAATCACACATGACACTATTAAACACAGCATTAAAATTGCCCCCGGAAAACATGAAATAAAATGAAAGTTGTAAATATCCTACTTTGTCTATTATCAAAAGATTTTAAACAGAGTATATCTTTCCCACTGGAACCAGTGCAGCTGAATGATTTCAAAAGCCTATTTCTGGTATACCCTGCAATTGGATTCTATCAAATTGCAAAACAACCAAAACATCTATCATTGACTGCCACAAATCTCTAAAGCAAAAATTATAAGCATTGTTTTTCAAGTTAACACTCACTAAGGTGTTCGAAGCACTGATTTCTAACACAAATATAGTGTTAGATAATTCAGTTTAAAGTCTCTGAGAACAGATACTGGTGTTTTAGTGTCCAACAAACTGCCTTGCGTAGTCGAAGTCTCGCTCACATATATCTTAACATTAAGATTTGATTTTTCGAGCTGGGATTTTTTCTTTTCTTTTCTTATTCTTAAAGAAATATGACCAGCAGATTCATAAAACAAGAAATAAAATTGGTCTTGCCTTACATGATGATGTCTGGAATACATAAATAATGAGAACAAGCTGACCACATAAAAGACTGGCATCCTTGTACTGTTCTCTTAGCTGGACTTACCACTAAAGGACAGATTTACTGTACAACCATGGGATCAAAGCTACAGATATCACAAACAAATAACCTGCAAAGCTTAGACTGTAGAATGACATCTACTAACTGACGAAATATTCTTCAGAAAAAAACAGTTCATGCATTATAATCATAAATATGATGAAAAGCGTCCAGAGACTTTCTTCATTCAATTCCTGAAACTATGGTAATCTAGACTTGCCACATCTTCTCGATTTGCATGGGCTGCATTGAGTGTATTTGTTCAGGGCCTGTGTGACAGACTATAGTACTTGTTGGAAATAGAAAAAAACTGTTTTTTTCGCATTGATATCTACAATTTATGTAGTTAATATGTGTAAGTGTGAAATATCTGTTAAACTAAGTTCGGCCTAACTACAGTCTCAGTGGTAGGGAGATAGGAAACGTAGAAAAAGGACTTTACTGAGGAGAGATGAGTGCAGAAATGAGAAATGGCGGGTTTTTCTAGTCCAAAGCGACTTATTTGGAACAGGCCATGGCTTTATGCAAATTAGTGTGCGATGATATTATATTACAAAAGACAATTTTTAAATGTCCATTTTAAAGTTAAACCTAGCTTCATTATAAACGATAGCTGACATAAAAAATAATAACTTTAATACTGAAACTATGAAGGATGCAGCTGCCATGGAGTCTCACTATCACTATAAAAAGAAACAGGTGGAAGGGGTCGTCTCAAAAGCAAATCCAGGACGGGTGTCACTGACGGTGGTTGGGGTCGGGCTGGGGGATAGAGATATAAGCTGAGATAAGATAATCCTTTAGGGGAATTAAACTGGGAAGCAAATGGCATGTCATAACAATTTACAAATAATATCCAGTCCTGTCGATCTTCGGGTGGTCATGCCACCTATATATTTTGAGACATTTAATACGATGGCTGATTTAAGCTTTTCCATGGGTATCATACCCTTTTACGTATTTCAACATAAACTCAATAGATGAGACATATTCAACACACATGAAAACTGAAAAATATATCCACATAAAATATCTTTGATATGACCCCTTGTGCTTAGAGGCAGGACGTGCATTTCATGCCAGGTGAGTCGACGGTCTGTCGTCATACCTGGCTGAGCGACCTAATTGCCATCTATAGTCCGATCTATTGTTTTGAGCAGCTATTCGTATTTTTTCTAAGTTTTGCCCGATTTTACGAGTAAACATGCTTTTCTGGATATACTTTTACTCATCCAACTGAACGCCCAGTTAGGCCGATGTGGGTTATTTCGACACATGCTATTCGTAAATTTGTCAATTTGTCAATTTTAGGTACTTTATAACTAAAAAACAGTTTTTATTTATAGCCCATGTGAAGCTATTTCCACATTGACAGTACTTCTAAATTATATTCATAAAAATATTGTTTAAAAAAGAAAAAGATCCCAGAGACTATATTCTCAATAGTTATTTTGTCTTACCACATGTTCTATACTCATGCTTGGGCATATTTGTTTCAGGGTCTGTAGTTGATTGGGTATAATCATTTCAGGGTCTGTATGTGATTGGGAATATTTGTTTCAGGGTCTGTATGTGATTGGGTATAATCATTTCAGGGTCTGTATGTGATTGGGTATAATCATTTCAGGGTCTGTATGTGATTGGGAATATTTGTTTCAGGGTCTGTATGTGATTGGGTATAATCATTTCAGGGTCTGTATGTGATTGGGTATAATCATTTCAGGGTCTGTATGTGATTGGGAATATTTGTTTCAGGGTCTGTATGAGATTGGGTATAATCATTTCAGGGTCTGTATGTGATTGGGAATATTTGTTTCAGGGTCTGTATGTGATTGGGAATATTTGTTTCAGGGTCTGTATGTGATTGGGTATAATCATTTCAGGGTCTGTATGTGATTGGGAATATTTGTTTCAGGGTCTGTATGTGATTGGGTATAATCATTTCAGGGTCTGTATGTGATTGGGTATAATCATTTCAGGGTCTGTATGTGATTGGGAATATTTGTTTCAGGGTCTGTATGTGATTGGGTATAATCATTTCAGGGTCTGTATGTGATTGGGAATATTTGTTTCAGGGTCTGTAGTTGATTGGGTATAATCATTTCAGGGTCTGTATGTGATTGGGAATATTTGTTTCAGGGTCTGTAGTTGATTGGGTATAATCATTTCAGGGTCTGTATGTGATTGGGAATATTTGTTTCAGGGTCTGTAGTTGATTGGGTATAATCATTTCAGGGTCTGTATGTGATTGGGTATATTAGTTTCAAGGTTTCAGGGTCTGTATGTGATTGGGTATATTAGTTTCAGGGTCTGTATGTGATTGGGTATATTAGTTTCAGGGTCTGTATGTGATTGGATATATTAGTTTCAGGGTCTGTATGTGATTGGGTATATTCGTTTCAGGGTCTGTATGTGATTGGGTATATTAGTCTCAGGGTCTGTATGTGATTGGGTATATTCGTTTCAGGGTCTGTATGTGGTTGGGTATATTAATTTCAGGGTCTGTATGTGATTGGGTATTTTAGTTTCAGGGTCTGTATGTGATTGGGTATATTAATTTCAGGGTCTGTATGTGGTTGGATATATTAGTTTAAGGGTCTGTATGAGGTTGGACATATTAGTTTCAGGGTCTGTATGTGGTTGGGTATATTAGTTTCAGGGTCTGTATGTTAAGCCCATTTCTGGTGTCCCCCGCCGTGATATTGCTGGAATATTGCTAAAAGCGGCGTAAAACTAAACTCAGTCAGTCAGTCAGTCAGGGTCTGTATGTGGTTGGATATATTAGTTTCAGGGTCTGTATGAGGTTGGACATATTAGTTTCAGGGTATGTATGTGGTTGGGTATATTAGTTTCAGGGTCTGTATGTGGTTGGATATATTTGTTTCAGCGTCTGTAAGTGGTTGGATATATTTGTTTCAGCGTCTGTATGTGGTTGGATATATATTTGTTTCAGCATCTGTATGTGGTTGGATATATAAATTTCAGGATCTGTATGTGATTGGGTACATTTGTTTCAGCATCTGTATGTGGTTGGATATATTTGTTTCAGCGTCTGTATGTGGTTGGATATATAAGTTTCAGGGTCTGTATGTGATTGGGTACATTTGTTTCAGCGTCTGTATGTGGTTGGATATATTTGTTTCAGCGTCTGTATGTGGTTGGATATATTTGTTTCAACGTCTGTATGACAGACTAGGCTACTGACAACCTCACACACACACTGTCTGCTCCTTGCCCTGTGGAGGCTTGAGTACAGTATCTTCTGACAGACAGCTCCAATTGAAGTATGACAACCATGAGGCACCCAACAAACATTGCAAAACAGAGAACTATAGTGAGACAGGACCTTGATAAAGGCTTGTTTATTTCAACATAGGTCAGAGGACTTTGATATCAGCTGAAATCAATGTCTGAGTATGAAATTACAATGTCATGGGAGTGGAAAGAGCCCAGATATTTCAACATAGGACAGATCAGACGGTATGACGGGAGGTTCGCCAACAAATCAGACAATATATAGGGCAGCCTCACATAAATGACACACATTAAGAGACAGTCATTAAAAATATGTACATTTGCTAAAATAAATAATAAATGCTGGGAGGTTCATGAAAAAATTCTACGGGAATTGCAGTCAGCATCAGGATAGGATCACAATTTCCGGTACATTAGAGCATCAAAAACCTAGTCTAAGATGACACACAATCTCCAGGACAAACACAGTTTTCATTTACTGGCTATTATGAGAAGCATGGCATATCGAGGACCTATTCTTTCCTTGATAGCCCATTGGGATGTAATCCATGACATGCTTTCAAATTCTGTCAGACTTTGATAAGAGTGAGTGAGTGAGTAGGGTTGTACGCCGTTTTTTAGCAATATTCCACCAACATCACGGCGGGGGACACCATAAATGGGCTTCACATATTGTGCCCATGTGGGGATTCAAACCCGGGTCGTCAGCGCAACGGATGGACGCTTTAACCATTAGGCTACCCCACCGCCCCAACTTTGATAAGAACAGCATTTTCAAACATGACATCTTGATACATGCACACATTAAATGTACGTCAGAAACCTTGGGATTATGATGATACTACTTTGAATCCTATTAAGCTTGTGATGGACTGGTGTCTGCAGTTTGTCAGTGTCCTCTGTCAACATGATCTTGGTCTGATTCTCTTCAACAAGCATGTTTCCGTCACTACGAGTGTAAGGAAACAACCTCATCAATAACAACTCCTTGTGGTTTTCATTAAGCCTCATTTGGATGTCGATTCTTCCACCTCTATCTAGCTACATTTATCATCACTTCAACAGTCTAAGAATCTCCCTTGAAACATTGCTAGATCAAGTAAAGAAGTTGTAATCCATAATGTTGTAGGTTTTGTTATTAACTCGCTAACTAGAATGTCAACAGATACTAAGACAGCAACACCTGTTTGGAAGTGCAGCTGAACAGTTTGTGATTCCTTCTTGTATTAATGATTCAGATCAGGATAAATTTTGTGTGAATTTATAATTCCAAAGACTAATTAACTTCCACCTAGCCATGTATTTGTGTAGAATTATTCATAGCATTACCAGGGCTCGATTTAGTGCTTTGTTACTTGCACTGGTGCAGCCCAATATTACAAAGTGCAACCTAGTTATTAGTCTTACTTGCACCAGGTGCAAGTTAACTTTTGAGAAATAAATCAACAATAAGTCTAACATTATATGAGCAGTATATAACTGTCAGCTCATTTTTCTTCTAAACTTTGAGTAAGTCAATAGCATATTTCTTTCTTCACATATTGCAAAAACAGCAGTGCAACTGGAATTTGGCTGGTGCAACTGGGTTTTTATCTCAGGCTGCACCTGGTGCAAGTGGGTTAAAATCTCTAAAATCGAGCCCTGATTACTTATTAGAAACTAATCACCACAATTAATCTTCATCATCAGTGTATCATACCCCTTGTGGGGGTTGTCATTCACATTGTACATGCTTCTCCATAAAAACATCATCAACCACCTAGCCATAAATTATGAACAATCCCTAGTATCAAATAAATTTGAACAAGGGTCATCAGAAGATGACATATGCCCCCGGCCCCCAAATCTATCATTAAAATATTGACACAGTTCACTGTTTGTTACGAGGGAGGAGTGCAGAGAAAGGGACAGCCAGGTGTTCGAGAACGAATGGAGACGGCACAGCACAGGTTAATGAATAAATAACTTTGTCTGTGAACTTGCTTCTCGAACACCTGGCTGTCCCTGTCTCTGCACTCCTCCCTCGTAACAAACAGTGAACTGTGTCACTATTTTAATGATAGTTTGTTAAACAACTTTTTTATTTTTAGGACAAAATTCTGCAAAAACCTCACAGAGTGGGTATGATTTTTGATTATCATCAGCGTTTCATTGAGTATGTTATGTTTTTTAGTTTTTGAGTTAGACTGCAATTCATCGGTCCACTTTTGAGCCAAACGGACTGTAAGTGAGGAAACAAACCCTTGCCCAAAGCATAAGGAGCAAAGTCTTCAACTACCTGGTCAACTCACCATCCCTAATTATCAAGAACAGTGGGCTTATTTTTCTAAAACTAACTTGACTTGAGGCACGTTCAAACAGACTTCTCAATTACCAAAATAAAATGCCTCAAATTTCATGATTGTCAAATCCCTATGGCCACCGCAGGAAAGGTAGTTAACTGCCCTGACAAACTTACATGCAAAATTGGCAGCTTCTAGCACTTTTCCAGCTATATAAAGGCAGCTGGACCAGGCAATCCAGTGACTAACGCTTCACTCGCAACAATCTACTAAATCTATGTGTGATGACAAGCAATCAACTGTGTCATCAAGTCACCGATCCTGCCCGCACAACTCATGTTGTTGCCCATTTTGAAAGCATAGGTTGATGGGGATTTATATTCTCACCTGGAAACCTAATGTGGGAAAAGTACTGGTCATAAAAGAAAAAGTATTCTCCGATCAATAAATGCTGATGAAAATAACAGTTTGAACATTGCTGTGAACACTATTCCATACCCACAGCTGTCCAGTGTTTTCTATCTTGGAGAGACCCAAGAGCACAGACATGGTGTCAACATACCTAGAAACGTGATCGAAATGATTCAGGATTCATTCAAGGGATGCAAGTCTATAAAGCAAATTGGGACCCTCAGATGACTTGATCATCCCTGAATCTAAATGTTGATGAGAGATACAGGGTAAAGAGGTTATAGTTGAGTGACCACTGACTCACCTGATGGAACTTTTTCCTCATTGCATAGAGCTCCTCGTTAACCTCAACCCTGGCTTTCTCGTTGTCCTTCTTGCTGGGAAGTTTCATGTATTTTGTTAAAGCCTGCTCGTGTTCTGAAATAGATAGACAGGCATCATCATGATATACATATGATCAGTTTAACAGTGAGGGAGTTAGTTAAACATCTATGTTCTGGAAAATCTAGACTGGTGTTAATAGGATCCACTATGCCCAGATTAAGATTTATTAGTGAGTCTGGCTCAACAAAGCCTTAAATGTATCACAACAAGCCAGCTGGTGTGTGAGGAAAGTTCTAATTGATGTAGGTGTAGGCATTGACTACATTATAGTGTCAGGCACAGGCAAACTTAGAGACAGAATCAGGCAAACTTGGATTCCAGTCCATGGTCATAGATTATAGGCTGGCCCAAGGGACACAACTCTGCAAGCAAAGTATGACACCTCCACTGATGAACCATCATGTCCAGTTTTAAGAAGTTGACTGAGACATTTGGATAGATGATTGACAAAACACACACTGACCACTAAGAGAAAAAAATGAATGAAGAAATTATCTTCTTCAGTTTATGTCATATATGCAAGAAAAATATAGACAAAACCAGGGCTTGAGTTAAGGAAATGAAACATACTTCCACTCTGTGTATCCTTAGGTAATAACATTGTTACACCAGTACAAAACAGGTTGCATGTGTGACTCTAAAATAAACTTACATATAATGCTTGAGTTTGGGTAAATATGATTCAGAACATCCAGGGCTCCAGATAATTTTCCAACATCAGGAGTACGTACTCCTTATTTTTTTCAATATAGGAGTACTGGAAAACCTTAAGAGTACATTTAAAGTACTGAATGGAATTTAATGGAGTATCAGTAATCTTGTGTTTCATTTCATATATGCACCACAACATTGCTACTCTAGTGTAAACAGGTCAATAAACAATAAAACAATACTTTTTCAGATAAATATGTCTGTAAATGATTCTAAGACCATACACCATTGCCGTGGTGCTTATCTGCTACGTTTTCTAAATTATTTCCTACCGTATCGTGCATATTTGTTATCAGTACATACGCCAATACGGCCCTTATCTGGAGCCCTGGAACATCATTATAACCAAAAAGTTCTGTCTGATAAGATCACCATCCTACTTCATAATATTTCAAGAGAAGAACAGTAAAAGTCATAGTCAACAGGCCTACCAAAGAAAACCTTCCCACTGTTACTTAAAGTCCAACTGTGCAGAACAAGAGTCATCAGAAGATGACATATCCCCCCGGCACCCACATATTTGAAAGAACAAATCATCTGACAGTTATTTAAAGTCCAGCTTGATTTTTATCCAGCTTGATTATTTTTTAGACTAAGTCCAAATGGTTTCCATGGAAATCATGAGTAATATAAATGCCCAAAATTCTGTAAATAGCAAAAGGCACCATTTCAAAATTTGCCAAATATATCTGCCAAGTTCTGTTGAGAGATATTGAACGCTTTTCAAGTTGTGCTCCGGAAATGAAGCCAACCCCTCCTTTTTTGGACTAAGTCCGAATCGTTTCCATGGAAACCGGGAAAAATAAATATGCCAAAAATCTGCCAAATAGCAAAAGGCACCACTTTGGCATCAGCCTCACATATCTGCCAAGTTTTGCTGAAAGACATTAAGAAGTTTTCAAGTTGTGCTCCAGAAACAAATCCCGCCCCTCCCTTTTGAGACTAAGTCCGAATCATTTCCATTGAAACTGAAAAAAATATAAATGACAAAAATCTGTAAATAGCAAAAGGCACCACCTTAGGTTCTGTTTGATATATCTACCAATTTTTGTTGAAAAATATTGAACAGTTTTTGAGTTATGCTCCAGAAACAAAATGATTACGGACGCACGGACGTCGATTATATCCCCCGCGGATTACATGCCGGGGAAAGCGAAAAGCCAACTAATCATGGAAATAGCAGCATAAACAGTAAAAACAGCAACTTTAAATCGCTAAAACTGGATAAAAAAACGAAGAGACTGCAACTTCGATTTTGCGCATGTGCACATGGCAGAGGAAGTCTCGACCACATGTTGACATTTTCCAGCTTGGACAAAACATGAGTGCTTAGATTCCCTTTTTAAAGTATTTGTATTGTTTATTTGGCATTCATCATCATCATACTTGTGTGCACACTTGTTTAGCTTACCTTCCATTCATATGAAATGATTGACAGCAATTATTTCGACATATTCAATACTTTTTCTGCGTGAGGCAATTCACAGTTGCTCGAAAATAGTTTTCCAGTTCAGATCGTAACGCGCATGGGCAGTAGAGGTCAATGTTCGCTGACATAAAAATGTTGCAGTTTCATAGTCTTTTGTTGCCATTTTTACTGTTTCAGTAGTGAGGTAATATGTTTCTGTTGGTATTTCCACGATTAATGTGGACTTTTCTGCATTTTTCTGCACAGTGGGAAAGTTTTCTTCAGTAGGCTTGGTCATGAGAGTCACTACTCAAAGCCAGTTCCTCATCATTCTGTTTTCCTGGTGATGTTTGTGTTCTTTGAAAGGCACAATGCACACAGTTAAACTCACAATGACATACACAGCAATAATACTTTGCCCCCAAACTATAATGTTTGATCTCTTTGTCAACTTGAATTCTATTTCCTTTCAAATCCTTTCAATTCCTTTGAAATAAGTTGACTAAGCAATCAAACATAAATTTATCTCAGAGACAGTCAGAAGAATATATTTGAAATATATATGATTCAAGTGGTGACCTGAAGTTTCAAGGTGCAGATATTAAACTACTGATTTGATGTTGCGTTGATGTTAATGTAAGGGAGATAACTCTCATTCCATACTCACCATGAGATGCAATCTGGAACATTTCAAACATTGTGCTGATTTCTGAAAAACAAACCCAAACATAGAAATAAAGAATAAAGACACACACATTCATAATGGTACTGGACTAAGGCTACAAAGAAATCCAAAAAACATCCTTGGTTGTGTGAGACAGGGCTTAGTCTTGCTGCCATATTCCTTACCATAAATTACAATATGTAAATTGATAAAAATCTTGTTTTTGCTATTATTTCAAATTTCTCTGAGATATGTTTGAGGTAATCTGTGGTTTGAAATCAGCAGAACTGATTTGACCAAAGTGGATTAAGGCGGGAATGTTGTTGTCAACAATATGAACTAATGAACATGGTTCCACAGTAATTTATTTCAGATAATGGATTTCAGAGCTCCAATTATCGATATAATGTACTTTATAGCTTAAAATATGGAAATAATGGACTGAGATTTAGAGTTATGAAAATAATGGATTCAAGAGCTCCCCTTACCAAACTAATGTTGGGAGCTCTAATAATCAAAATAATGGATTTGAAGGCCCCAATATCAAAACAACAGATTTGAATGCTCCAATTATCAAAATATAGGACTCGAAAGTTCCAATTATTGACATAATGACAGCTTCAGTTATTTACAAAATTGACTTGAAAGCGGTAAAATATCAAAATAATGGACTTAAAAGCTCCAATTAGAGAGCTGTAAAATGTGAGATACCTACCATCCATGTCAGCCTGAAGGAACTTGCTAAGTGGGTACATCATTGTCTCCGAGAACTGAGATGCTAAGACCTGCTGGACCGAACTGATCTGAACACAAAAACACACCAGTTACACCTCTCATGAAACACAGGAAATGATATATAGAAATATACACACAAAAACAGCAAGTCACTGAACATTTGATCCTGTCCATTTGATCATTGTTTTGGAATCCTAAATATTTTCAGAACCTATTCTGTATGTATTTCTTCACTATTGAAGGATGTGCTAAAACAGCGACTTGTATTCTTTTAAACTTACATCATCAAGGTAGCTTGCAAACTGATTGAGAGTTGTGGTTAAAATACTGTTTTCACTTTCCAGGGGGAATTTCTGAAACATAAAACTCAAATATACACATATGAAGTATACATATACATAATACACAGCCATGCAAGAAATAAATTTGTGTGAGTGAGTAAATTGGTTTGGTTTATTCATTGATTGAAACATATTTTATTCAATTAAGAAACGGATTGGGCACAAGTTATCCAACTTAAATAAGCCCTCTCCACATAGTTATAAGTGTATATTACAAAAATGTTCAACAAGAGGCAGACAAAGGGTATAGATATGTACAGACAGAGTTATTTAAATCGTTTAGTGTCATGGATGTAGATATGTACAGATTTAAAAACATTCTGATTTTCACTAAGCGAGAGACCTGCATTGCCATATAAGATGAGATTAATATCAATACATGCTCTATTATTCACTATATTTTCTAAAGAGGTTAACATTTGTTATCTTTGAATTATATATAATGGACATTCAAGAAAATAATGAAAAGCATTTTCACAATTATGGCCACACTGACAAAGTGCATTTTTTCTAACATTAATTCTGAATAAATCATAATTAAGTGTACATGTCATATATCTTAATCTTGTATGCAAAACATTTAGTTTCCTTTTCCCATATGAGAAATATACGGGTGCACATTTTTGTTTCACATGAACTGCAGTTTTAAAAGACACAACAGATTTACAGTTTCTGATAGCTAAGGGGATGTTATTCCACAGTTTAATTGTTGATGGAAAAAAGGATAGAGTCGAATAAGGTAGTCTTGTACAGGGTTGAGTGTAATTACTGGAGTTTCTTAATTCATAATTTGTTCGACTACCTACTACAGGAGGGAGTAAATCATAAAGAAAACTTGGAGCAAGGCCTGTATGTATCTCATAAAATAACGATAATTTTGTCACCCTTCTTCTTTCAGATAGTAAATTATTATAGTTTATTAAAACACACTGGCCAGTATTTCAGATATATGAAGAAAGTAAACTTCACTGCAAGGAAAGTCTGATGTAAAGCAGGTCTTACATATGGAAGAAACCAATAAACAAAGATGTTATGGGTATGGTGCTGACAGACCTCACAAATGAATGAGATTTAATCGGGGATTTGAACCGTCATAGGTTCCTGGCACCTCAAAGACAGGCAACTCTGCACAACTATATGCAGCAAATCACAGATGACTGGGACACCCCTTTCCACTTGCAGTTTTTTCAAAGAACAAACATGGCATATTTCATGGAGTTTTCTTTGGTAATTTGATGAGGATAAATTTCGTATACAACAAAAATATACAATAAAAATTAAACAAAGAAATATTACTTAAATGTTTTAGTATACTGATAAAATAATCTCTGGCAACTCATAACACATGTACAGTGAAACCTGTCTAAACCGGCACCCCACGGGACCGAAATAAAATGCTGGCATAGACAGGGTGCCGGATTAGACAGTGACGATCATTTTCCAACATGGCTGCCATTTACACTCATCATTCTCTTTATGTCTGTAATGCCTTTGATCTTTTGTAATTGTGCAACCAATTAAAACAATGTTGATGACAGAACCAATGCCTATTTATATACTCTGACACGGGTCATTCTCACTTACCCACCACCCTAAAGTTATGATAAGGGATTAAAGAGGATTAGTGTACACGGGTTAGTGATTACACTGCTCACCGTGAAATTCGGTCCTGGTGGGACACACTAATTAGTCTCATCCAGGTGAACGGTGTTCACCGTTCATGAACTGAGGTTATTGATTTGTTGTTGATGCTGATTTTTTAATATATTTAGTGAACACTCTTTCCCATCACCATCAGTATATGGTTTAAACATATTTATTTCTGATACATTGTTCAGAAGCTGGATCGGCAAACAAGCAGGACACTGATATTAATGCCTCTCCAGACAAAACAACATTTATGCGACTTACATTTCATAACAATATTACAAAAATACATGGTATCATAAATAACTATAAGCATACAATATACATGAATATGAACATCCACACAGCCACAAATACTTTTAGTTCTGCAAAGGGACAGATGAAAACTTAAGACAGATTAAATCTTTTTGAACTGGTAATAAAGGTATGTACAGATTTGATAATATCATGATTTATAGATCTAGGTAATTCTAAGTTACCATACAGAACGTCATTTATGTTATATCCATGTTTGAAATAAAATAAATTGTTTCTTATGGAATCATAATTGGGACATATAAAAAGATACTGAAGGGTGTCCTCGAAGGCGGCACCACAAATACACGATGGGTTATCAGATATAAATCTACTTACTTTATGGGCATTTAAATCGCTGCATTCTAATCGGAGTCTACAGTGGATTATTTGACAGAACCTGTTTCCAATGTTGATATCAAATCCGAATGAAGTATTACAATATAGTGTAATTTTGTTTTTAAATTCACTTGGTGACTGTATAAGTCTGAGTTCTTCAGATAAAGAATTCCAAAGATCAATAGTACTGGGCAAAAATGATTTAGCATATGAAGTAGTTCTTATAGGGATTTTCTGCAAATTTGAAGAGTTTCTTAAGTTATATGGGTTTGCAACAGAGACAGATTCTGTCACGAGACTGCTTAAGTAATCTGGTGTTTTGTTATGTATCATTTTATGGAATATATAATGATACATATGGTCGCTTATCCAGTCAGCCAAACCTCCATGCAAAAAAGATTACATATGTACATTTGAATTCACGATTGTGTAATCTTAAACAGCTGTTTTTGGCTGGCAACATGAATGTTTATGCATATTGTGACCAATTTCCCATTTAACTGGGTATTGAATTGTGTAATTATTGTCAAGTAGTGATGATGACCGACAGTGGCAATGATACATATAAGATGTAAATTTTAAATGACAGTAATGTTGTATTATCTGCGAGAATGACCAGTTTGATTGATGTTGTATCATCTGAGAGAATATGTCTATTAGGAACAGGAACGGTAGCAGAGAATATGTTACGTGTCGAAACATGTTATTTGTACTGCATTGAACAATCAAATAAATTGATAATTGTCACCCCTTATGGGAATCACATTTATGGGGGGGGTCTTATTTCATGGGGAGCAAAATTTAAGAGACATCTATTGTCTAGCGGATTATTCTGCTTCAGTGATTTGCCCACCTAGAACAATAGGTGGTGGGTAAACGAGAAGACCCCTCTGACACACGCCCCTCACTTGAAAACAATTAATGCAATCCCCCAGTGTTTATAAAGCATAACCACAGTAATCCTACGAGCGTTTGATTCACCGCGCAATCACTACTTCCTGATTATCTAGCGTGCCAAGAGGATTAATTAGTGTATTGGGTTATGGTTCCTTGATTGGACTGCTCATACCCATGCCAGTTTAGACAGTGTTATTTACAGTTCAAATTGCTTGTTGGGACCAGAAAGTCGTGCCTGAATACGGAATTGACATGTTGTAAAATGGGGGGACCAAAATTTTATGCCAGTTATGACAGTGTGCCAGATTAGACAATGTTTAATGATCATAATATCATTGTAAAATGGCTGGACCAAACTTTTATGCTAGTTTTGACAGTGTGCCGGATTAGACAGGTACCAGTGTTGGCAGGTTCCACTGTATAGTATAGTCATTAACATCCTGTACACCTGCTCCAGAATCATCAGTATCTTTTCCCAATAAGCATAAAACATTAATACATCCTCGGAGGCTCCACATACCAAAACCATCCCCATGTTTACATACTCTAATTTATTTCCACATTAAATTTGTCAGCTGAAAATCCATAAACCATTAAAGTGTGGCCTCAGTATTTGACTTACCTGCACTTCATATGTTCGGAGCTGCTGGGCTAGGGCCTGAGTTGCTGCACACAGCTCATTCTGCAGAGATAAGACTTGGTCAGTGAATGGGTAGTACCATAGCACATCAGTTCGATGTGGGAGAAGTAAATGAGTTGGGTTTTACGCCTCTTTTAGCAATATTTAAACAATATCACAGTGAGGAACACAAGAAATGGGCTTGACACTTCACACATTGTACCTATGTGGGAAATAGAACCCGGGCGTGATGTTCAAAACGCTTTAACTACTGGGCTAGTATGGCTGAGACAGGTAACCGGATACCTGGGACGGGTGAGTAATGAGATGGACCAGGGTACACATCTCAATATCCAGACCAGTTATGATCATGTGACTAATAGATTAAACAATGTAATACGTTATTCTTTATGCTTAAAAGCTTGTATTGTCTTTGAAGATTTAGACATTACTTACAGTCACCTGTTTTGAATATGATACATGATTAAGATATTGAAAAACTCAAAATGTTAGCCCCTGAGCTGAAGAAGATATTGCCATTTCTTACAAACTTGATGTCAGGAATTAACATATCGGGTATCAACATTAACATATAGGGTAGGGTAATAGAGGGTGGGGTACCCAGGTAGAACATTTGGACCTGTCCCAGCCCTATAGCCCAGCACCCATGATGTTAAAGATCACATATACTCTAAGGGGGTACAAATACATAAATCACTAATTGGCATCGCTATAAATGAAACCCCGTCATTAAAACTACTCACTTCGATCTTTAATCAACTTAAATCGACCTTTTTGACAACAGTGCACAATTCTCCCCCACGAACGAAATTTCAACCAATCAGAGCGGTTGTAATGCATTGTAATATTCTAACCATGATGCAATGATATCAGTCTTTGACACACATAAAATGTATCGTGTACTATGTCTGAAAAGCTCTCTATGCTGTCCCAGACAAGTGATCAATATTGACATTTCTTATCATTGACAACACTAATAGTAAGGCCCCACAGGAATAACATCAGTCTTATAACTGGGTAATGATTACCTGAGTCAACATGTTAGATTCCACATGTTGAGAGGGAAGTGTACCATAAAGTATACAAATAACACACGGACACGCCCAGGCTAGTCCAGTAGTTGGCTCCAACCTTATTACCAGATCAGCGTAAGAGGTGATGTGAAGTGAGGGTTAATGTTGCGTTCAAGGCTATTATACTTACGCTGAGGTAAATGTGTGTGTGTGCGTGTGAGTGTGTGTGTGGCTGCGTATATAAAGAATACTAAACAATGTCCCGCGTAATACCATATTTATGAAACGAGTGAATGGTTCGGTATCTAACAAGCGAGTAAAGAGGCTAGTGAGTTTCCACAATGCCTTAAACAGTATTTCAGTAGTGTAGTGATGCAAGTTTCAAACGTTTACCATTTTGGCGAAGTCCACTGGTACAATGCTGGCAAACATTATTATAAGGAACCTGAGATTTCATCCCCTGATCACAGGTTTCTGGCACACCCAAGGGACATAACTCTGCACATTACATTACAGTGCCTAAGTCAACTGGGCCTCCTTAATCAGAAATGAGAATAAAACAGAAAGAACTGGTTTACAAATTAAGTGAAGAAGCTCACCTGAGCAGACATGACTCTCTGGCAACAGCTGTGCAGGTTGCTGGTGTACTTCTTCAGAATCAAAGCATCCTTCTCAAACACCGACAGGAGACTCCGCGTCTGCAACAGTATACATAACACTGGTAGCTGAATCATCAATAAACATGTACCAATTTTATCACAGCAATCTTAACACAGGAAGTGAAATATTCAATAAACAGTACTACCACAGTAAACTGAACAGAGGTAGCCAAGTCATGAACAAACACATACTGATAGTACCACAGTAAACTAAACATGGGTACCCAAACCATATAAACATGAACAAGTACTACCACATTAAACTACACAAGATTTACTAAGTCATTGATAAACAGGTTTGTTTGTTTGTTTGTTTGTTTGTTTGTTTGTTTGTTTGTTTGTTTGTTTGTTTGTTTAACACAGCACACAGCAATATTCCAGCTATATGGCAATGGTCTATAAACATCAAATCTGGACCAGACAATCCAGTGATCAACAGCATGAGCATCAATCTACGCAATAAGGATATAATGACATGTGTCCACCAAGTCAGCGAGCCTGACCAACCGATCCCGGGAGTCGCCTCTTCAATAACCTTGCACTGGCATTACCACAATATAAGATTTACAGAGTTGGACAAGGCCACCAAGTCAGCGAGCCTGACCAACCGATCCCGGGAGTCGCCTCTTCAATAACCTTGCACTGGCATGACCACAATATAAGATTTACAGAGTTGGACAAGGCCACCAAGTCAGTGAGCCTGACCAACCGATCCCGGGAGTCGCATCTTCAATAACCTTGCACTGGCATTACCACAATATAAGATTTACAGAGTTGGACAAGGCCACCAAGTCAGTGAGCCTGACCAACCGATCCCGGGAGTCGCCTGTTCAATAACCTTGCACAGGCATTACCACAATATAAGATTTACAGAGTTGGACAAGGCCACTAGTGTGTTAGCCTCAGTAAAGATAATGTTCATATTTAGTGATTGTCAGGGGAAGCAACTGATTGAAGCCTCTCATTGATTTTGTACATGACCTGCAGGGGGGTCACCTACTTTGTACAGACATTTTGGGGTAGTCATTCCCACTGTGCATGCTCCTCCATAAAAATCATCATCACTCCACCTAGCCATAAATTATGACCGGTCCCTAACCACCATTTAGTTCTGAGTGAGTGAGTTTTACGCTGCACTCAGCAATATTCCAGCGGTATGGTGGTTGTCTGGAAATAATTGAGTCTGGACCAGACAATCCAGTGATCAACAGCATGAGCATCGATCTATGCAGTCGGGATACAATGCCCTGTGTCAACCAAGTCAGCGAGCCTGACACCACCTGATCCCGTTAGTCGCCTCTTACAAGCATGGGTTACTGACGATCAATTCTAACCCAGATCTTCACAGGTTATTTAGTTCTAAGTTTCACCTCCAAAGCAGAAATTTTTAAAAGACTGGTTGTTTTGTCACAAAATCTAACCCTTTCACTTTAACCACCTGTCCACAATGTGTCAAGCTGGGAATGACACATGTAAAATGATTAATCAGTTTTCCTTCAGGCATGCACAAATCCACTTTCAATTTTCCTTGGAATTTTGAATGTCTTGCTTTCCAAATGTTGTACATGCTTATGTTTGTCATTCTTGTGGAATTTGTTGTCAGCTGTATACTATGTTGGGTAACATATTTCAATGTATTGGAATTTGTTGTCAGGTATATACTATATATGCTTCAGATTTGTCAGTGAAATGGAATGAGTGGTCAGTTCAATACTAGCAACAGCTGGTGTCGCCATGTCCTCCATCTTCCCATTCAATATGCTACTTCCAAAAATATTTTGTCAATAAACATCAATACACCTCTGTTAGTTTCACCCATACTTGATTATATTATTCACATAAACATATGCACTGATTTTGTAGTTTCCACTTGGATTCAGGGTTAGAGAAGACAAAATGGATCAGGGGGAAGACATGGTCACAGCTTGTCATTGTACCCAGATGATGTGAACAGTTGTCCATGCTAATGTGCTAAGTGCTGACAAGCTAATTTTACATTAATTAATTCAGATCTAACAAATATATTTTGGATGCAGTTCTGTTGTAAACTGATAATAATAAGTGTTGGCATTACATATCTTGCAGCACAACACACTATATATACATCTTTACAGCAATAATCTATACTGCCCTAAGATCCTCTAGAGCCTAGAGCTAAAGACATTTCGAAAAAATATATTTCCTCAATGTGATACAGTATTCGGATTAAATTTATTATTTCTTTAAATAGTCTGTCACAAATTATTCGTGACAGCTTCCTGCTGGAAAATCAATACTCAATGAATTTCAAGGAAAACAGCATTTGAAACAGGTCAGGAAACATATTGACGAAAATAAGAAGAAAAATATTTTATTATTGTGTCACATGCTAATATACGGTACATAATGACACGATTAAAACATTCCCATAGCATTTGGACATTTGGTCCATGAGACATATATAACATGGTAAAATATTTAAGATAGACAAATAGTGTATATTACACATATATCACGCATGCAACATTATACCAATTTTATACATTTACCATTTAACATGATGCCATATTTCAGAAGACAGAAAACCAAATAGAAGATAGGTCGGGCTGAATCTGGTTAGACCTTGTCAGTTTTGAAACTAACCAACAGGCCCTTTTACAAGTCAAATGACCCAGCTCAAAAACAAGAAGAGTTTATGCAATTTTTTTAAAAGGTACATCCTACACTAGCATAAACTGCAGCAAGCACATGCATTTTAAAACTTCAAAAAGCTCCAAGACTACAAATTGGTCCCAAATGAATATTGCAATTTAGACAAATCTTGTGTGTAATAAAACGTAATGAAAAAGCCTTTCAGTCATACGCTGCCAATGCAGCCACAGTCACTCGGAATATTTAGTTCCAATCAAAATGCATTAATGCATTACTGAGCATGCACTGATCCACTACATACCAGCTGATCAATAGGTAAGGAATGTAACCATTGTCATTAGCTGAATCAATCAATAAAAATACTTTAATGTTGCCATGATTGTATCAGCATTATCATAGACTAAGGTTACATTTATTGCATTGAAGAATCCTAATATCATGTACAACCAGCGTGTCATCCACCAATGGAACCAATTAATTATTGAGGCACTTTAAAAACGACAACCCGTGACTCACAGTAGACATAGGTGTGTGCATGTACGTAATTACATGTGCACTGAACCATGCATACACAATCTTTAACCCCAGATATGCTGACTTTACAACAGAGACACAGCTGATATATCGCCCAGGCGACTCAGATTAGCTGCAGAGAAGTCCAATGTTTATGTCCATAAACGAGCATCTGTTAAATACATTGCACGGAAAAACAGATTCTTAAGAAATACATCTCAATTCATATTTACCACAGACACAATTATATCCGCAATGCGTCTTATGCATACATATGTACCAGATCCGATTTCAATTAAAGGGGTTATTTATGACTGGATATTGACAACTGCACCGACAAGTTGGGGTCACTCCCACTCGATAGCATGTCGATTTCAATCAGTCAAACTAAATACCTGAGGGCTGTCTTCTAGTGCCTCTTCTAAGTGTAACTTCTCTATGTCAGGCATTTTGAAACATACACAGTTAGTCGACCACTGTTACCGCGCTATTATCTGAGAGCAATATATCTCGTAGTTGTTTACTGTCTTCGGTAGTTTTCATGACATTCTACCGCCGACTGCTCGCATACTATTTGTCTAACAACTAATCGACGGTTAATCCTATGGGTAACCTCCGTTGTGTGTGTTTCATGCCGACATCCTGTTTGTTTTAATTGTTGATTTCCAAACAACGGAATAAAGCTTGTTTCTATGCTGTTACTGTGTAAGTCGTTGTTTCAGGTCTTAGATGCATAACTTAAATACAATTGGGTCGACGTAACGGTTGAAATATTCCTATTCGAGTCGTATATCACAAATTGTTTGTTTTACTGAGTGTAAAGTGTGGAGTGGTGTTGTGAGAAACTGTTATGCGTGAAATACATATTACCATTACTGACTATGTTAATTCTATCAAAATCCATATTGAATTACTAATAACTAGTCACTGACTGTTTTTGTTATAGTTTCACAAGTCAGAACCTTCTAAAAGTACCTTACCTTCAGGCAGTTTCTAGGACTCTGCGATAAAGTTTATGTGATCATGCCCAAGTAAGCTGAAACTTAGTTACAATTTATGCATATACCGTATTTCCTCTAAGAGACGTTGGTACCAAACAGACGACTCAAGTTCTTCTATCAAAAGACGCTGGGGTCTCTTGTGCAGCTCTATATTATACTCAGGGGCGGATACAGCTTTTTAAGAAAGGGGGTGCACACTTCATTTTCTCCCGAGTTTCAATGGTCAATTAATAAACTTTCAGGACAAAGGGGGTAGGGGTGCTCGCGGGCATCCCTGCACCACCCCACCCCCTCTCTGGATCCGCCTCTATATGATACTGCGAATTTCAAATTTGGAGATCCTGTAATTTCAAATAGTCTCTGTATATCAAAACGTTTTACTTAATTTGGAACAATGTGCTTTAGCTGGGTATCTAACATACAGTCATCTTTAAAAGCACAGTAGGGCCATTCCAATCTATCGTGACAAAATTAAACTCCAAGTCTTTGGTGTTAGATGTCGAATGAAGCACTATGGTTTGAGTTCAGAGTTTCGTGTAGGTTTTTTCAGTCGAAATGAAAAAAGCCGATAGTAGTAGGTTTAGTTTTCTACACCGTGCGTAACTATTATGACGTCACACCACCCATCGTAATGCAACACAAATATGACGTCAAGCAGTCAGTTGTCTCTAAAACCTGAATTCTAAAATACCTCTCTACCAGATCAAATGTTCCGATTGTACTTTATCCTGAGATAAAATACACTTTTGCGTAATAGTTCGTAGCTAAACTGTACTTTAGGACACTTCACATTTTGGTACAGCAAACTTTAAATACACTGTCACAGGCTATATCTATCGTCATTTCTACCCGAGATTTATTGCCATACAAATTTGAATAGTTTAGTAAACGTAAAGCTGCATATTGGAATCTAAAGTTGTACGTAATCATCTGAAAATTCCTATTGCTTGAGAAAGAAGTGCTTTTTAATCTGATTGTGATTTGATACCCGTGATTGCTCAATCAGATAAATGCACTGTCCAAATTTAGCGTTGATTTAGGAGATAAGCATACAGGAATTTGCATCAGTGTTGGTAGCAATTACATATAACAGTGCCAAACTGAATTTGGAAGCAAAGCACTGTGTTTGGGTTTAACGAATTTGCTAAGCAAGGCTTTTAATCCATAGGTTTGAAAAGAATGACGATTCCAACCCAAGAATCACTGATAATAACCTATATAAAAAGGAAGAACCGGTGATTGTGCTTGAACGGTTTTTGGCACTTCAATATGTGTGCTATACAGTTACTTTAAATGCCAGCCAAGCGTGGCAAAAACCCTTATATCCTGATTTGAAAGAAAACGAAAAGTTTTTAATTAGTTGACGCAATATTAAAATGGGTAATATGTATCGCATAAACGCATTTTTCTCCCATTGAAACTTGAATGCTCAAAGCTTTACAAAAGTTTGCTTATTGGTTTTTCGATTCATACCTCAATGAACCGAACTAAATATACAGTCAAACTTGATAATCAAACTGGACAGCAAAAACAATAAGATATCTACCATAGTTTCATTAAAAAATCACAATTATATCAATTAAAACAGAGATAAATGATAAACTTTCCAGGCGAAAGAATGCATACTGTGATGTGACGTGTATCAGGGGATTGTTTGATTTATGCACATAACTTTACACGCCCACAAAGTCTGTAGCCAATCGACAGAGTGTATAGCATCAAAACAAAGTGCACCGAACCTATCAGTCACGGTAAAGAAGCCAGAGGTGAGGTGAATTTGGGTTTAACGTCGTGCTTGAGAATATTTCGCCTGCGTGTGTATGTGTATGTGCGGCTGCTTGTACTAGCCCAGACTTAAGCTGGTGTTATAGTGCTAGCCCAGTGAGATACCATGCCGCAGTGAAGCACGAATACCCCACTCAGACACATTATATAGTGACTCCGAGCCGACCAGTCCTTGTTGTACCCATTAATGCCGAGCGCCAGGCAGGGACCAACAAGTACCATATTTTAACGTCTTTTGGTATGACGCGGTCGGGGATCGAACCCGCGACCTTCCGCTCTCCGGACGGACGCTCTAACCACTACACCACGGAGGCAGCCTAAGAAGCCAGAAGTTGGACCACAGTTGGATCCAATCCAGTTGGATCCTACAGTTGACATGTATCAACAATCCAGTGATCAACAGCATTGGCATCGATCTACGCAATTAAGATACGATGACATGTATCAACAAAGTCAGCGAGCTTGGCGAGCGAAATGATGTTTTTATTATTATTATTTTTCGTTCATTTGTGTAACACACAGGAGAGAATACATTATGCAAAACGTACCCGGCGCTTATTAGAGGCCCGGTGCTTATTTCTTAAACCGCTGCTTTACTCACGGCGCTTATTGGAGGAAATACGGTATGTTGTTGCTTTCTTTCTGTACCGACAGGTGATTTGAGCGATCCTGAATATGTAGGAATGTTGATAGAAATATCATATTCACGAATGTAACGGGTCAACAGAAACGAAATTCCCTCAACTGTGGATGGGATTCTCCGATAATCCCTCGTGGTGAAAATAGTTCGCTTTGATGGTGGCTTAATTTTTTTCGCTCATTGGGAAATTGATACAATAACACGTGACCGGTCCATCCAGTCAAAATGCAGAAATTACAAAGAACACAAAGAAACATTATTAGTTATTTCGTGTAAGGTTGCCATTTGACAAGAGTAGGCAAGCCTTGCTAAGTGTCATAGTCTTCACTTTATGACGTCACACCGATAATTGTGACGAAAACGATATGACGTCACAGTCGGCTATAGAAAAGGGGCATACTCTGTAAGCTGGTTCCCGGCTCCCTTTGTGCGCTATATATATATTGCGATATGCGATACGGGGCCCAACTTACATACTCTGAAGCCCTCTACTGTCCGAAAATTTTGAAATAAGTCTCTTATTCGAATTCTGCTGTGTTCTTCGCACTAGATTATGTGCTTGAAACGTCTGCCAAGTGTTCGATTATTCTTTCTACAAGGTTCCTTTCTGTCTCTCCTACATCTTCCATACCTTAACTACCCGTGAAGGTCCGGGTTAGAATATTGATCTTCAGTAACCCTAAACTGGGCCCCGTCTCGTATATCGTAAGGTTACGCGCAAAGGGAGCCGGGAACCAGCTTACAGTAACCCATGCTTGTCGTAAGAGGCCACTAACTGGATCGGGTGGTCAGGCTCGCTGACTTGGTTGACACATGTCATCGGTTCCCAATTGCGTTGATCGATGCTCATCCTGTTGATCACTGACTTGTCTGGTCCAGACTCGATTATTTACAAACCGCCGCCTTATAGCTGGAATATTGCTGAGTGCGGCGTAAACCTAAACTCACTCACTCCATACCTTGACATTGTCTACATAACCACATGCTTGAGAAATAAAGTTCGCTTTTCTTTTCTAAGATGCTAAATTTAATACTAACCAACGATTAATCTAGACAGAAAACAAACAGAAAAGCGACGGTTTCGGTGACCTAAATTAACTATCCTCGTTCAGGACAAACTGACGTGCTGTTGTGACGTCCGTTACCAAGGGTACGCTTGATTACGAGGGGGCAGACGAGAATAGCGAAGTGACGCCAATACAACGTGACGTAATGCAAAAAGTGTACTTTATCGTCTGATAAAGTGCTGTCGGCGCCTTTGATCTTTTAGCTAAGCATCTTAGAAACCACATTCCATGTTTCAAATCCTGGCCATTATCTCATCTTCTACTTCATGGCCCTGAGAGGTTACACTAAGTCCATGGACCAGAAGACGTATACCTTGCAACATTTCCTGGAAAATGCCTGAGTCTCTCTTCTGTTCTGTCTTGCCACCAGGATGTTATTGAACTTCGCATGCACTTCTTCATCTCCAATGTCCCTGTGTGCCCTGTCTGACAGCAGTGGAGATACATAACAGCCACACTCGACAATAGTCCAGCGATGGCGCGGTCTGTAAATAATCGAGTCTGGAACAGACAATCCAATGATAGACATCATGAGCACCATATAAGCAATTAGGATACGATGACATGTGTCAATCAAATCAGCGAGCTGAAGACTAGTTCTGATCCAGATCTTCACGGGTCTACTACACTTTATCACACAGGATATATGACATGACGTCTTGATTCTTTATTTTCAGTACAGATGTGGGCCAACGGCCCCTGGTACAACATTGATTGGTCCATTACATATAAGTATGTACATACGTGTATGTATTCCAGAGAATGTACATGAGGTATGAGGTAGTTGGTTCACTTTACTATAGTGTGTCTCGGTTGCGAGGCATGGTAAATATAACAGGCTAAGTTTCTATGTTTGGTTAGAAGACATGAGCATATTAAATTCTGTCACATAAGGATATTCGTAGTATTTCTTGGCCATATATCGTTGACGTAGATTATCAAAAACTGTACCAGATCAATAAAAATGATATTCTGTCTCAATATAGCCACAGTTACAGACTTTACAAATTCTTCCATTCCTTGATACATTAAGATACCTGCCTTCCTCAATACATGTATATGTGTTACATAGATGTACAAGAGGTGAGCAATGAGCAAATACAGGTGAGGTGAAATGGGGTTTAACGTGTTTGAATATATTTCGCTCATATGACGACGTGCATGCGTATGGATGTGTCGCTGCTTGTACTAGCCCAGACTTAAGCTGGTTTTATAGTGTTAGCCCACTGAGATACCATGCCGCAGTTAAGCATGAATAGCATTGTCCTTGTTGTACCCATTAATGCCGAGCGCCAGACAGGGACCAACAAGTACCATATTTTAACGTCTTTTGCTATGACGCGGTCGGGGATCGAACCCGCGACCTTCTGCTCTCCGGTCGGACGCTCTAACCACTACACCACGGAGGCAGTCCTGCGCAAATACAGTTCCACCAATGAAAAAGTGCGGTGCCCGGTCGTTTGGTTGTCCGCGTGTCATCATACCCAGCGGCTATAAACAATTGTTCATAAGATTAATCACTGGGTTGTCTGGTCGGGTATGTACAGACCGTCGTATATAGTCTCAATATAGCCCGCTGCGGCATAAAACAACAAACAAAATTCATTTTGAGCTATGAAGGGAATGCTACTGATCCACAGGGGCGTGTCACGCTTAGAAACAGCGTTAGAAAGACATATAGGTATATAGACCCTACCCTAGTACTATATAAAAGGATAGTACTAGGGTAGGGTCTATATACCTATATGTCTTTCTAACGCTGTTTCTAAGCGTGACACGCCCCTGTGTACTGATCAACGAATATCACAAATCAACAAATGAGTTAGCTCCTTGAAATCTGGAGCATGCACCTCAATCTATAAAATCCATTTTTTCATCTTCACATATCATAGTCTTCAAATATATTGTTAAAGTGACTTAACGAGTGGGAATTAAAACCGAAGTTTGTTTCATATGCAAATCACAGTTCTCAGAAAATAGAGTTTTGAAATACAATGCAATAATCTCCTCACCTGAGTGCAATGCTGATCTTACTTTACGTATAAATATATAATTTCATCTGTTATTAATAATAACATAAACAAACAAAAAACAACCCAACAGACATATGTTCATAGAAGGATTTACATTTTACATTTACAACACATACATTAAACTTTCAGATGAATATGTGCTATCAGAGACCTATATGGTCTCTGGTGTTATAAATAAGAAAATGCGGTGTTTATCAACACTGGAAAACGAGAGAGGCATCAATTAACAATGCTAATTGTGTACTGAACCCTCAGAATTATCTCCCGCCCTGTGATGAATTCGCAAATCATTGATTGATTGAATGGGAGAAACATTTCGGTTTGGTTTCATTTTAATATTTGTGATTGACAAAAAACGATTACAGATTTGCTTTCAAAATATATTCATAAGCAGGATTGTTTTCCAGTTTCATTTAAACACGTCTTTCAATAAATTTGACAACAACATGACTTCTGTTCGTTTAAATTGCGAAATTCGACGATGATCAGAACAGATCAAAATTGTGTTAGCCGTGTTAGGACGCGCAGAATGCAGACTACGGTAACTGGTTGATAGGAAGGTAGTATATTCATGTTCCGTATCGCAGCGGTGAAAACCGACCAATTTCATTTGTGAATAACTCTATCATTTTCTGATTTTGAAAAAGGGAATGTTAATTATATAATCTCCCGACAAAGAAATAGTAATATCTGTTGAAAATTACATAGATGATGATAGAACTATTTATATAGTAAAACATATTTCGTCCGTATTCATTTCGTGACGTCACTTCCTTCACCAAAATGCCGGCCGAAAATCTCGAGGAGCAGGGTTTACCTAAAAACCCTAATTTAGGGCTAGCACAGTTAAAGTTTATGTTAGGGTCGGATAAACATAAACAGGACAAGAGTATACAGGACAAATTGCTTGAAGCTATCAAGACAGATAGTGAGTTGATCATATTTTCCACCTTCAATTTTGATGTGTCATGTTCATGGTGCGCATATTTATGATAAAGCCTGAATGAGATTGTACCCTAAAATCGTGAGGCTTTTGTTGTCCTTTAAATACATTTAAAATTGGCAATACCCAGACTTGATAATGCTTCTGCTGTGAGTTCCAAATAAACTATGGTTCGGTTTAGTAGCCATCCTTAGGAAGTTATAACACAGTAGTTTGTAAGAACGGCGATCGAAAACAGGGTTGGGAATTATGGAAATAAATATCATTTATGGCCACTTTGTCTGAACCTGATGTTTGACCTAAATCATTTACTGAATCCAAGACTAAGGAGAACTTGAGATAAAAATCCTGCACTATGTAAGTAGCTGCATTTGATGTTTTGGTACCCAGAGACATTACTCTGCGAGTTCTTGTCTTTGGTACTATTGCTGTATCCAGCATTATGAGAAGTGGTATCACACTTTAACGTGTTTAAGACCCCCTTCACAACTCTAATGAACCCAATTAAATGATGCATAACTGATCATTTCGGAACCAATATGTGATTACCTGCAATGCATTAAGACAGGGACAAAGTACATTCTACCCTGGACACCCAAGGTGTATACCTTGGTAGGAACAAGACGTTTAGCTGGCTGAACTAGGTGGACAATAAATATTTGACCCTGGAACTGACAAGCCAGTGGTTAAAATTCAGGGGAGAACAATTGCATCATTTCATTGTTGGGATACAATGCAATTATCAGCCAGGTCAAAGAACTCTTCCACCCATCAGATTCTAACATTGGTCCGCAAAGAGATTGTAAAGCCATGAGCCAATTAGTGTAATTAGCTGATTCAATTACAAAATGTCTTATCATTCCTCTGAACATGCTGTTAGAATGGTCAGCTGAATGTGCTTTAAACTTTATGTATTTTCTTTTGAGTGAGTGAGTGAGTTTGGTTTTATGCCACTTTTAGCAATATTCCAGAAATATCACGGCAGGGGACACCAGAAATGAGCTTCACACAATGTACCCATGTGGGGATTCGAACCCGGGTCTTCGGCGTGACGAGCGAATGCTTTAACCACTAGGCTACCCCACCGCCCTATTTTCTTTTGTAAATCGTTGGTCAAGGCACATTCTTGTTTTGTGCGTTTGTAAAAAAAGTATGATCTGTATGATGTATTCTTGCATTCTGTTTTGGGGACCTGTAAACAAGGCCAACATAAAGAAAATGTCCATAAGTGTTATTTCTGTTGCTCAGATATGGCTCCTTACTACGAAGAGGTCTGTAGGGATTTGGGATGGAGCCTAGACAGCAAACTCCTCCAGCAAATGAAGGCAGCTAATGCTGACAAACTGAAGAAGCTGGATGAGGCTATTGAAGATGCTGAAAAGAATCTTGGCGAGACAGAGATCCGTGATTTTATGTTGGAGAAGGCTGAATACTTAAGCAAGATCGGAGATAAGGTAGCCAATATGAATGACTGATAGGAATCATTATTTGAGAGATATGTATAGGTTAGACCAATCAGCCCCCGTGTTTAACCGTTGAAATGCTGAGTTAAACACCGAGGCGCATAGCGCCGAGGGATTTAACTCAGCATTTCAACGGTTAAACACAGGGGCCAGAGTGGTCTAACCTATTTAAACCATGGCCATCTTTAGATGGTATTAACTTCATTAATTATTCTGTAAATTAAAGTTAAAATAGCGATCTGTATTTTGTGTGTAGGTATGTTTTGCGTTCATGGTTGTGAACAGGCTTTCCCATCGAAGCCACTGACGTCAGACGCTGGCTAGCATGTGGTGCATGACCTGCACGTGAATTTCGAACTACTTCAAATTCTTAACGGTTAATTATTCTTGTTTCGGGCTGCCATTGGTTTCACTTCGGCCATTTGACATGAGTGATTATTTGTTTTCTGAATACCTCAAGGCACGCGCATGCGTATCGCCATTTTGGTCAGAGCACATGTACAGTATGGATGCACACATATTTGACAGTAGCATTGCCTCCATCTTCACAAATAGGAAGTGATGAAGATATAGCCAGTACCTGTGGGTACCTTGTGCAGGGTGTCCCGGCAAAATGTACGAAAACTGTTACAATCGACATGTTAACTCCATCGTGCACAGAGACTGCTCCGTCTGACGGCAGTGTTCACCTCGTGTTAATATCTCCCTCAATATCCATTTCAAGTGAAAAAAAACTCGCGAAAATGTAAATTATCCCTAATATAACTTTATCGCAAATTCCTTGTTTGTTGTTTGGAAAGTAGTTCCGACCCGGGGTTTAACTGGTTTGGCGGTCAGTTAAACCCTGGTCTGGAACAAAGGAGCCATGGTTTAAGGGTGTTTAGGAGATTACATTATTCATTTATTGATACAACTATGTTAATGTGTCCCCAGTTTTGGTGGTCTCAATCATTTTGTGTCCAACTTATGTAACTTATATAACTGTATAATTATATAACTGTACCTCATTGAAATAGATTCAGCATATTTTGGTATGTTTAGTGTTAAACGTAAGATAATGCTGGACATTGTCAATGTAACATTTAGAAATCAGTACAAAATTAGACATGAACTGGTAATTAATAACATTTGGAGGTGTGTCGTCATGATCGACAAATCATGTTACCAACCATTAGTAGATTTAGTCTTACTCAACTGCCAAGCAGCATGTTGATCAATTGTTGTTACAGTTTGGTTGTACTGTGTTACAGGACGAATGCCTGTCCCAATTCCGCAAGACATATGAGAAGACAGTGACATTAGGCTACAGACTGGATATTGTATTTCATCTCATTAGACTAGGCTTATTCTACATGGACCATGATATCATCACAAAGAATCTGGAAAAAGCACAAAGGTAATCCTTGATTTTGATTATACGTCAGACAATCAGCATGAACTACGTCATGAAGCATTAACATGATTATTTGTGGTGGTGTGTGGTGCAAAAAGCTCTAGTCACAATACAGATGAACTTGAGCATGTTAAGTTATGTTGGTTAAAGAGAGTCCTTGGATGGGTGACCATGTTTCACAGTTTGGCAGCTTGGTTCCTGAGAATTTCTATGACTTAAATCCAGCTCCATAAACAAAGCACATGTAACACATGTGGTCCAACCTTAGGCAAGTTTGTTCAAACTTCCATTTGTTCACTCAGCAGCAAATGGGTACCCAATGAGATGTGATGGTCACATGACTGTTAACCTTCTGGGGCCTCACAGACAGCTTGGGTTGTAGCACATACTGATCCATTGACCACAGTATATATGTTAGCACAGTATATATGTATACACCTTGAATGTGGATGCTAGCACAATATCAGTACTCTCATTATTATTTATCATTATTACTATAGCTTACCAAAGTGAATCCATCTGACTTTATAAGACTGCCTCCATAGTTTACTGAATAGATCCCTTGCCCGAATAGCAGAAAGTGGTTTGATTCCAAACTGTCATGATATGGTTAAAGTTAAAGGATGGTTTCGCTGTCCTTTCTGTCTGGCCCCACATTGTATGTAAATGCAGCATGGAAACCATTTCATCTCACCCTACTCTGTTTCATTTATTCAGAAATGACATGGCCCACTATTAAAGTATAAATACCACTATTAAGTGGTGCAATAGGTTAACAGCACACACTCTTTTCAGAAGAATGAACCAATAATGACGTGATTACAGATTGGATTGTTACAGAAATCACAATGTGCTACAATCAGCATGTTCAGACACATGCCCCATCTGTATGTGAACAATTTTCCATCAAAGTTTGCTATTTAACAAAATACTGGATTCTTTACTGGCTGCACTGATATTTAATATTATCATGATTGGTATGTTTTGTTTTTGTGTCAGATTGCATGTGAACAAATTGGAATATGTTTTTGACACTCTTTAAAGTTCACTGTATCATTGTATATTGACAACATACACACTGGCATCCTTGCTAATGTCTCTTCTTTTTCTGTAACATTTATGATTCTTTGAAACACTGGTAAGATCTTAAATATAAAAGGCAAGCTCATTAAACCTGAATATGGCAAGTTGAAGGTATTGGGCATAAACATTGTCCGTTGTTTCAGTTTGATAGATGAAGGTGGTGACTGGGACCGGCGTAATCGACTCAAGGTGTACCGTGGTATCTACAATATGTCAATCAGAGACTTCAAGAGTGCAGCCAACCTGTTCCTGGACACAATAGCAACCTTCACGTCCTACGAGTTGATGGACTACCACATGTTTGTAACCTACACAGTCTTCTGCAGCATGATAGCTTGGAGAGACCCGATCTCAGGGAGAAGGTATGAGATCTGATTACTATCGCAATGTCTTTCCATCAAATCCAATATTCTGTAGATAGATGCTGCATGATAATAAGTTTATCCTCAGCATCTAAGGATTAGACCCATGAAAATCTGAGTTAGAATTGATCTTCAGTAACCCATGCTAGTAGACTAACTGGTCAGGTGGTCAGGCTCGCTGACTTGGTTTACACATGTCATCGTATCCTAATTGCGTCGATCGATGCTCATGCTGTTGATAACTGGATTGTCTGGTCCATTCTTGATTATTAACAAACCCTGCCATATAGCTGCAATATTGCTGAGTACGGTGTAAAACTAAAGTCACTCACTCACTGTAAGGATGAACATGGGGCATGAGTCACATTGAGTGGCCCAGTCATCTGAGATTTAGCTATTTGCTCTGCATAGTTGTGTCCCTTGGGTATGCCACTTAAGAATGAACAACTTGTTTACCTCATACAATAGATATACAGTGAATGAAATGTTAATAGTCAGCATGGTGAGTTGTTACACTGAAAATGTTGTTTTGTTATGATTGGACTGTTTGATCAGTGTTCTTTAAGAGGAGATGGGTTCCTTTGATAACTTTATATTTGAATCTTGGAACTCCATAAATCTTCAACTTTGAATTATATCAGGGTAATGGCTTTATGCTAAATTTGGAACACTGTTAAAATATTTAATGAACAATGTTCAGGAGTGGAAATAACTTTAAAATTGCTAGTGTACTCCGGTACAGTGGCACACGTAAAATCACTTGCCCTGATAATTCTTCCACTATACCGGCCGATTTTCTTGTTGATTTTTTAAATAAACAACATAATTAACATTGGAATGTCAACTGGACACCGGTACAGCGTGACATACAAATTTGCTAGCCCGACAGAAAAAAACACTGGACTGGGGCATCGGGCAATGGGTTATTTCCACCCCTGATGTTACTTCTTTTAAGTTCAATTAGTGTTTGGTTTTTATCATGATTAATGGGTGATGTTTTGTTGGACAACCCCTTGATGATTCTTGATAAAATTGGTATCAGATAGTTTTTGTTTGGCATAAGAAGCCAAAATGAATTTGGTAGTAATTTGTAGGCATTGTGAGTACAACTGCTTTGGATGTAGCTTGTAACATCAACCACTGTTCTGTCTGCATAAAACTTGATTATTCACAGGGCTCCATCATAAACTTACAGCATAAAACACCATCCACACGCTGATTGGCACAACACAGTTATGATTGATGATATTGTAACTGATAGTTGAGACTGATAAACTGTAAGTTGAGTGTAACTGATGTTCTGAACCTTAAAATGCAGCAGTACTTGATAACAACGCATATAGGTTTGTATGTGTTTGTGTAAATTAAACAGAGCTAATTCTTGCAGGTTGTTAAAGGATCTGAGATATTAGAAGTACTCCACAGTCTGCCAGACATCAGGTCATATCTCTTCTCCCTGTACGACTGCCATTATGGAGATTTCTTCAGGGCCTTGGGTAAGGTGTTACATTTGCATGATTGTTTTATTTTCATTAATATCCTGTCAATTGTCACTGTGAGTGAGTGAATATAGCTTTAGGCCTTACCAGCAATTTTGCAGCTATTCACAGCCAACTGGGAGTGAGAGAGCTGAAGCATCATCATCAATATCTCAGCTGTTTGAGAGTACTCTCTTTAGCATGTTTAACTGTATTGATTTATAACTGATCTGCTGTCTGTTTCTCTAACCAGATACCAGTAAGCCTGCCTTTCAAACAATAATGAATGTTGACCGGAATACAAGGTGACATTATTCTGTTGGGTTTTATGTCAGTATTGATATCTCATTACTAGGGCTGTGCAATGTTACCGGTAAACCGGTATATACCGGTACAGTATCTCGTGATACGATTATCGCAATATGGTTCAGATTCTGCAATATATTGGGTCATCCAGAGTTAGCTCCCTTTGAATTATCTGCCCTTGATTTCCATAGCAAAAATGTGTGCTTTAAAAGTGTCAAATATACATTTATTTCTGTTGGTTTCATGGGACATGTGATATCAATTATCATAAAGGCCTGAATCTTATGCATTTTGTACGACATTATGACATTCCAGTCAAGGGTCTTGGTTATTGGAAGTCACATGCGATTTTAATCTCGAGTAGTTCACCTAAATCAGGATTTTGTTTCATTTTGCAATAGTCTGTGTTAAAACATGTTTATACTGGAGTTGAATCTGAATGAATCACTGACATACAGTAACAATAATGACATACTGCACTGAAGTACAACTTGGTTCTGTTAAGTCTGTATGTTAAAATTACTGAATATTGAATACCAGTGTGGCAATGAAACTGACACTGTACCCACCCACTCTCATCCTGTCTCATTCACTAACTTGCTTTTCCAGCTGCTGTTGAAGAATTGATGAAGTATGACCGGTACCTGTATCCACACTTCCGCTACTACGTGAGGGAGATGAGGATCATGGCGTACGCTCAGCTCCTCGAGTCCTACCGCAGTCTTACTCTAGACTACATGGCTGATGCTTTCGGGGTTACAGTAGACTTCATGGACAGGTATGTCTGGATATAGAGCCCTGTCATCATGCCATGGAATGTAATCTGCAACTCATGTTATTCTGTAGCCCAAGTCATGTAAATGAGCAAGGACAAGTTCTTATGGATAAGCAGTCAATGTGTATTTTCTAACACTTTCATCAAGCATGTGATAAAGCATGCCATACATTTCTCTGTGATACAGATGTTAGAATCTCCACTAAATGTCAGTGCATTTGTCTGTAATTGTGGGGATTGTGTTGACAGGGAGTTGGCTCGCTTCATAGCAGCTGGGCGTCTTCACTGCAAGATCGACAAGGTGGGAGGGATTGTTGAGACCAACAGACCAGACAGTAAAAACTGGCAATACCAGGTAAGAAATGTTGTACTTTCTCAGGAGACTGTACACAATGTGATGTTTGTAGCTTATATATTAGTATAAATATTATGTAAAATTGCACAAAAATTAAAATGATTTGAGATTTTCTTGTCAGATATTGAAGTCTGTTGTACTTCATGTTTATCAGTTTGTGGTGGAGTGCAGAGTTGTGTCCCTTGCGCTTTTTAGGAACTTATGATTCTGCGTTTTATTCCCAGTTACCCCTGATTAGTTACTGGGTTTTTCAGCACCAAACCCATGCTTGTAGGTATCAAAACAGTGGTAAACATCTGAGATCTGCATGACTTTCCTCCTACTTGAAGCTGACACTACCTTTCCAATAGAGTTATTTCCCTTGGTCTGTCAACATTAGTATATGTTCAGACTTAGAAATATGATTAACATGTTAATTTCAAACTCACCTGGTGCGGTGGGGTAGCCTAGTGGTTAAAGCCTTCGCTTGTCATGCTGAAGACCTGAGTTTGATTCCCCAAATGGGTACAATTTTAAGACCATTTCTGGTGTCCTCTGCCCTGATATTGCTGGAATATTGCTAAAAGCAACATGAAAACCAAATTTACTCACTCACTCAAACTCTCCTTGTGGTTTTGTCCACTGAACAAAAGTGTTATACTGTCAAGCACTGGTTTTCCAGACCAACAATTGATTATGTGCAGGCTTGGACTAGTCAATAATGTTTCTGAAAGTGTTGTGTTGAATGACATATCATGAAGTTACATTTTCTTTGCAGGCAACCATCAAACAAGGTGACATCTTGTTGAACAGAGTCCAGAAGCTGAGTCGAGTCATTAACATTTAATGTTAGGATCCAAGTTTTTGTACATAAGTCCACATCATCATGCCGTCATATTTATAATCATAAATACACCCTGTGCTTACTTCATGTCAGTCGATATGTATGCATTCTTTGTTTCAAGGTGTATTAAAGGCATCTCACAGTCAATTCTGTTAAGGTTTTGTTTTTTTACTGTCATGTTTGTTTGCTTGTCACTGCACTCAGCAATGTTCCAGCTATATGATGGTGGTCAGTAAATAATTGAGTCTTGATCAAACAATCCAGTTATCAACATCATGAGCATCGATCTACCTAATTCGGATACAATGACATGTGTCAACCATGTTAGCAAACCTGACCACCCGATACCTTTAGTCAACTTTAGACAAGCATTAGTTGGTGAAGACCAATTCTAACGGGATCTTCATGTGTATTTACTTGTATGAAACATGGACCGTTTCTTTGCAGATAGTCATTGTTATATGGAGGCTTAATAGATTATAGGTACTTTTGTTGCAATAGCACACCATTGATGGAGTAAATGTGTGAAATGTTTGATAGGATGGATTGTCCATGCCACCAGTTTGAGAAATGGCTGTAATATTACTGACTGGGATGACACTCGCTCTGTTATTATCCCCCGCAACACGTTTTGTGGGGGGTATTAAAATGGACTCTGTCGCCTGTCTGTCCGTCCGTCCGTCCGTATTAATTTGGTCTCTTTTCCAGAGCAGAACTCTAAAACCATCCAATGTTTCTTCACCAAACTTGGCACATAGATAGATCTGGTGGTGTACTGGTGCCTTTTGGTAGTTTTGGATTTCTGAATAAAATATTTTGGCATTTCCATGGCAACAAGTTTGACTTAGACTGAAATTGGTGGTAGTGTTCTTTTCTGGAGCAGAACTCTAAAACCGTTCACTGTTTCTTCACCAAACTTGGCACATAGATAGATCTGGTGGTGTACTGGTGCCTTTCCATGGTAGTTTTGGATTTCTGAATAAAATATTTTTGGCATTTCCATGGCAACAAGTTTTACTTGGACTGAAATTGGTTGTAGTGCTCTTTTCCTCGAGCAGAACTCTAAAACCATTCTCTATTTCTTCACCAAACTTGGCACATAGATAGATCTGGTGATGTACTGGTGCCTTTTGGTAGTTTTGGATTTCTGAATAAAATATTTTTGGCATTTCCATGGCAACAAGTTTGACATAGACTGAAATTGGTGATAGTGCTGCTTTCTGGAGCAGAACTTTAAAATCCTTTCAATACTCTCCTTCCACTTTTCTATATACACACCTAAATATTTGACATAATCATAACTCGTGAGACATAATCATGAAGAGTATTTTGCCATTGCGGGGGATATTGATGTCTTCTTGTTGCAGTTTGTTTGTGATGTAATTTATCTTGACATTTTGGTACTGTTCTACCATTTGGTGTTTTTCTTTGACTGATAGTGGAACTTGTTAGAGAGGACCATCTTATAGTCTGTCTGAAGACTGATAATAGATTCCTGATACATGAAAGGGGCTTAAGGCATTGAAAACACCCTGATCTGTTCTGTGGTTACTTTTCTTCTACAAAGTACTATATGCAAGATCTGGTCCTACTGTGGACAACACAGTATATGCCTTATTTGCCCGATATAGTTAAGTTATTTGTTTTCCAGGGGAACAATATATTCTCAGTATCCACTTCTGAGAGCTGACTCATGGATAGTTCGTGGAAGATCGGTGTCTCAATCGCGCGTGCATCATAAAATGCACAGTTTGTTACCCCTGAGCTCTGTTTCAAGGGAATAAAACATGGACCCCCTCTAAACTTTACTTCTAAATGTACAAAGTAGTGATCCCGTCCTGCAAGTCATGTACGAAATCATTGCTGATTTCCCCCTCCCAATGTTATATTAGTGAAGTTACAATCATCTTCGCGCTGTTGTCGTGGAACTGGGTTAAGATTTCCAGCTTGAGCAGTGCAAAGCATTACCGAACAATGAGGCAATCAGAATGTATCAGTTTCGCCCCACTTTGCACAAAATCAATGTGTGCTGGACCCCTGTAAATATATCTTATGTGTTTTTAACGACAGTACCCATTACTACTGAAAAACTCGCTTATAAAAGACTTGTATGCTGTTGGGTACAGTGAAGGAACACAAATTAATATCGATAGAACCACGTTTTTGGAAAATATTTATTTCCTTGATCAGTTGTTTACATTAACATACACCGGTATAAAATAATTTACAATGTAATATCATAATATATACAATGAGTATACAGGGCGGACATAAATATATTTTACACAACACCGCCAAATAGGCAGAATATTGTTGACTGCGGCGTTGCACAACAAACAACGTGATGAAGTGTCACAGGATTGTCACTGACGGTGCCAAAAACATTATATTATAGGTTCGCTAGTTGTTTTTTACCTCGAAGACCACAACCTCTTATGGATGAGTCGTGGATATGCCTGGAAGAATCAATTGAAAGGATTTCTCATCTTACATTATTTACGATGTTTATGTCAGTGATTGTCAGTTCTTAAAAGTGGAGCAAAACTACAATCACGGTGTTAATTATGATAGGTCTTTATGATTTTGAAGATTCTTCACCCATCCTGAAATGACATCGAGAAGGGTGAAGTAGGCCAGTGGTAAAGGTGCTGGCTGGTCTCGCCAAACACCTGGGTTCACTTCCTTGCATTAGTACCAGCGAAGCCGCTGAACCCCCCATTGGCTCCGCCAACGCAAAAAAAATCTTCAATGAGGTCTTAAGTCTTTTCAAAAGGGGGGAAGGGGTTCGAACCCCAGACACACACCCCTTCCCCCCTTCTCTGGATCCGCCAATGAGTACTATGTGTAAAGGCGATTTATGGTCCCACAAGACCTTTCGCTGCAATATGGCTGTGAGCACATTGCTATTAGCGATGTACCGTAAACAACGCTTATAACGAATTGACGGATATAACGAACTGGGGGTTCTGTTGTTGTTTTCTGTCCCAACCACAGTATATTTTATTCCTAATGCGTGTAACGAACTACGGTTATCCTGAACTATAATTAGTGATCCCGTTGAGTTCGTTATAACCGTAGATTACTCTCATTCACCACTTTACATCACTTACTCTATCCTATCTTACAATTAAAGTACCTCAAATTATTGGTCCATGGCGTTTTGAAAAATGCTAACGTACCAAGAAATGTATATCCGACAAGCTCCTTTCATCAAAAGGGTGTAGCGTAATACACACACGTTCTGATATAAGGCATAAGCTAAGCGTAAACATTCTGGAGGTCGACTGCCAATATGGCGATTATTCTTGTCCTTGTGGTTTTTGTTGTGCTTTCAAATTGTGGTGTACACGGCTACACAGTTGACCCAATAAGCCTACATCGTGTTTTGTAAACCGCCCCAAGCTACAACTTTATATCACAGTTCAATATCACTAGACGTGGAGTACATGGATTGCACTTGGGTCTGAGGTGCTGTAGGTATGCAGGTCATAATATGGTGCAGGAGCTTGACTTCTTGGCCCCCTTCTTCCACCTGTCCTGGACGATGTCGTGGCGGTCGCCCAACAGCTCCATCACCTCGGTATGCCCTTTGTCCGACGCCATGTCAAACGCCGTCTTGCCGAGCTGTAGGGGTATCAATGGGTAAAGTGAAGGTTTGGTTTATTTGGTTACACCACAATATTCAGCAATATGACGGGTATGTGTAAATAATCGAATCCAGTGATGGGCATCATGAGCACAGATCTTGTAATCGGGTCGCAATGACCTTCATGAACCACGTTGGCGAGTCTGACACGTGACCTGTTAGTCGCCTTGCAACAAGGACACGTGGTGGTAAAACATGAATAGCGGTCTTGAATCCAACTCGCTAAGCGTAACGTGTCATTATATAGCTGAAATATCGCCCATTTAAATAACAAATAGAACAACCATCCACACTCTCGGTGACTGAAATCATACAGTACACACTTTATATGGTATATAAGAGTATAACGCCATCTCGGTTGATTGGGCAAGTTTAGTTCAGCAAGGAATGCCTTTGGTTTTGAATCTACCCGTACAAGGACCTACCAGCGTCTTCTTGGTCTTGTCAGCACCATGTTCCAGTAGGAATTTCACAGAGTCGACCCTGTTCTTCTCCGCGGCCAGGTGGAGAGGTGTCGTACCAAGCTGTAACGTACCAGGGTGTGCTAAGCGTTAACGCAGTTTAAAGGTCACACACACTAAACGCCAAAAGAAACGTTACCCTTCTGCCTTAGTGGACGTCCACTTCTTGGTCTGTCTACGGTGACCCCAGTCTGACTGAAGCCCTGAATAAGCCTCATAACCGTGATACAGCGGCATCCGAGGGCGTTGGCAACAGCATTGTACGTCGACCCCATCTGCACCATCCCAATGGCTCTTTCGCTTTTGTCAGCTGTTAATCGTGGCATATTTCTCGTACTTGTGTATCATATCATGTATTCTAGGCTCTCTGCATACCCTATAGAATCATTCCACGTGTGAAATGGATGCAAATACTGCTTGAATATTGCTGCGTTTTGGCGACTGATATTGCTATGTGTACACAGAAACCGGAAAAATGTTACTTTGCAAGCAAATATGTTAACAAGGATAATTTTAGATGTTCCTAAACACTTTTTCACAATACCAAAGACACGTTTTACTTGTTTTCACTCATGCAAATCAGCAGAAAATGTTTTGAAAGACTGGAATCATAGGAATGATTATTTTACAATTTTACAAATTCTACAAAAGTTGTTTCTTGTTTTAATAGTTGAAAAATGGTGCCTTTAAATGCTTTATCTTTGTCTCAAAGCAGAAGTATATTTCAACCTTTCTTTTGGACATTTAAATCACTGTTGTTGGTTAATTTCGGCATGGACGAAAATAGGACAATTTAACTCTTCTGAAAAGGATGCATTTCACCTAAATATGAATGCATTTGAGATTTTTGTTTCGTGATTTGCATAAAGCTTTCTTGTAAACTAATACTTTCTAACATATCTTTGATAGTTTTTCAGTAATTCATTAAGGTAGGAGGGTAACGTTTCTTTTGGCGTGTAGTGTATACTCTAGGGGGGTACAAATGCATAAATCATTTATTGGCATCGTTATAAATCAAACCCTGTCATTAAACTACTCATTTCGACCCTTAATTAACTTAAATCGACCTTGTTGACAGCAAAATTGTACAAAACAAAGTTTATTCGTTCTTTAAGAATCATACGTTACAAAAGAACACTTGTTTGTTGTTTTACGCCGCACTCAGCAATATTACAGTTATATAGCGGCGGTCTCTAAAAATAATCGCGTCTGGACCAGCCAATCCTGTGATCAACAGCATGAGCATCACTCTTCGCAATTAGGCCTTGTGTCAACCAAGTCAGCGAGCATTACCACCCGATCGCGTCAGTCGCCTCTTGCAACAATCACCGGTTGATGTAGACCAATTCTAACCCGGATTGTCACGGGTCTAACATAGAATCAGGTCGTAATTATGTTACTCCATAACGTCATGCTGTTGATCACTTGATTGTCTCACTCACTCAACACTCTATAACGTAAACACAATCGGGTAATTTTCTTAACATATTCCGATACAATCAGGTATTTAACTAATAACTTTGGTTTACTATAAATACATTATGACCATTTCCTAAGACCAGTTACCAGCCGAAAGTACATGCGAGCACATGTAATGAATTATTTGCAACATTTTAATTATTTTTTTGGGTTAGACACAAAATTTTCGCATTTCCCACTGAGTAGTGAGCGAGTTTAGTTTTACGCCGCACATAGCAATATTCCAGGTATATGGCGACGGTCTGTAAATAAATGAGTCTGGACCAGACAATCCAGTGATCAACAGCATGAGCATCTATCTGCGCAATTGGGAACCGATGTCATGTGTCAACCAAGCCAGCGAGCCTGACCACCCGATCCCGTTAGTCGCCTCTTACGACAAGCATGGGCACTGAGTGGTGAGGTATGTCATAATATCCCAAGTAGTCATACAGCTGTAACGAGTTCAAGTTCTCCTTGTGACGGTGTTGTAGTTTGTAAGCGGCGTATATATAGAATTGTTAGAAAGAGAGACACTTAATTTTCATCTATCTGAACAGTCAAACGTCATGGGTCAATTAAATATTCATTAGGAAGCAAGCCGTACAGAAGTATGAAGATTTGATCAAGGAAATATCTTTGTCATTTGTCCCCAGCATTCCAGAAGCAGTTGTTATTCTATACACCTGAGGAACGACGTTCCTGGTATGTTTAGATGCCCAGATATCTGTCCTTTTTCCTCACCCCTTTGACTACAACGTTGACATCGGCGCCTGCTTCCGTCAACGTCTCCAACAACTTCTGCCTCTCGTCAGAGTCGTCCTTCAACACGGCCTGGTGAATTGGATACAGCCCGTCCTGGAATGTACATACGTAACGTTACATCATCTGTTCTCTGGTAAATGTAAATATGGAACGATAATTTCGCCATGTGTGTTGGGTCTGGGTCGTAATGTACATACGTTACGATCATTTCGCCATGTGTGTAGGGTCTGGGTCCTAATGTACGTACGTTACGATCATTTCGCCATGTGTATAGGGTCTGGGTCCTAATGTACGTACGTTACGATCATTTCGCCATGTGTATAGGGTCTGGGTCCTAATGTACATACGTTACGATCCTTTCGTCATGTGTGTTGGGTCTGGGTCGTAATGTACATACGTTACGATCCTTTCGCCATGTGTGTTGGGTCTCTGTCGTAATGTACATACGTTACGATCATTTCGTCATGTGTGTTGGGTCTGGGTCCTAATGTACATACGTTACGATCATTTCGCCATGTGTGTTGGGTCTGGGTCCTAATGTACATACGTTACGATCATTTCGCCATGTGTATAGGGTCTGGGTCCTAATGTACGTACGTTACGATCATTTCGCCATGTGTATAGGGTCTGGGTCCTAATGTACATACGTTACGATCATTTCGCCATGTGTGTTGGGTCTGGGTCCTAATGTACATACGTTACGATCATTTCGCCATGTGTGTAGGGTCTGGGTCGTAATGTACATACGTTACGATCATTTCGCCATGTGTGTTGGGTCTGGGTCCTAATGTACATACGTTACGATCATTTCGCCATGTGTGTAAGGTCTGTGTCGTAATGTACATACTTTACGATCATTTCGCCATGTGTGTTGGGTCTGGGTCGTAATGTACATACGTTACGATCATTTCGCCATATGTATAGGGTCTGGGTCGTAATGTACATACGTTACGATCATTTCGCCATGTGTGTAGGGTCTGAGTCGTAATGGACATATATGATACGATCATTTCTTGTAAAGGTCTTGCCAACGCACCTCATTCGGTTTGTTCACGTTGCCATCGGTCTCACGTGTGTCCTCCAAGGCTTCCATCACCACGTGCTGAAATACATGTATTGTAAAAATGTTAAGGAGAATCTGTCTGTAAAAACATGGCCACAGAGAATACGTGTGTTGTTTCCCGTCATTTGAAACGACTGGATAGTTAAGGCGGCTGTGCTTCCTTGTAGCTACACATAGTGGTTGATTGTATTCGTGTGACACCGCACGTTTCCAGCAATGTAATAGCGAGCTGTAAAAATCAAGTCTGAACAAAACAAAGCAGTGGATGATCTCGTTATGCCCACAAAATCAGGGGACCATCTGATCTCTTCTGGTCTTACGAGCATAGGTCATTGTGGACCTGTTTTAATAGGGAGTCACTACAAACAGCAGCAAGTGAAATTCCTGTGTGACTAACGTGAAGATGACGTTTTTAGTCTCAGTATATGCTGCAAGTGACAAGAGGCTTAACTAAAGACATGCCTAAGACGTGTGGTATTACGTGCTCAGACAATCGATTATATTAGAGATATTTCTCTACTTTACTGATCTCGTAGGATGAACTGAAAGTCGTTATACAGCTGAAAAGGTCTTCTCGCTTGATGACAATCTAACCAGCATTAAACTGTGCTATTGCTGAGTTAGAGTTGGTTTCAGTATATGACCCGTTGACAACCACTTTGGGTGTGTTTTGAATAGTTTTTTATCAATTATAGAATTATCTGCCCAGCTAGAAGAATGTCGTAGTTATGTAGAGGTTTGTGACACCACTACGATCGGTTAATACTAACATACACGGGCCATATTCGGGATACAAACCCACAACACGCGGATCCGCGAAAGGGAAGCAATTACGTACAACAAATTATTGAAACACAGCAGACCACACGCCCCCAAATACACAACACTCAGACACAAATGAAAGGTATTCAAATCGGGGAAAGCGTCTGGGGCTGTCACTCGAAAGAATATAATTCATAGTAACTGGTCTTTTAGAATATGTTCAGAAAGCAAGTAGGATAAGCCGTTTAGGTAGAACTACAATCATACATTAATATCTGCAAAATAGGTTAGTCTAACATATCATGAATAAACGAAAAGTGCATCACTTCTACATAAATAAATATCGTGCATCACGTTGTAAACAAAAACAATTATACAAGAAGACAAAGTCATCAATATCCCCCGCAATGGCAAAATACTCTTCATGATTATGTTTACGAGTTATGATTATGTCAAATATTTAGGTGTGTATATAGAAAAGTGGAAGGAGAGTATTGAAAGGTTTTTAAAGTTCTGCTCCAGAAAGGAGCACTATCACCAATTTCAGTCTATGTCAAACTTGTTGCCATGGAAATGCCAAAAATATTTTATTCAGAATTCCAAAACTACCAAAAGGCACCAGTACACCACCAGATCTATGTATGTGCCAAGTTTGGTGAAAAAACATTGAACGGTTTTAGAGTTCTGCTCCGGAAAAGAGCACTACCACTAATTTCAGGCTAAGTCAAACTTGTTGCCACGGAAATGCCAAAAATATTTTATTCAGAATTCCAAAACTACCAAAAGGCACCAGTATACCACCAGATCTATCTATGTGCCAAGTTTGGTGAAGAAATATTGAACGGTTTTAGAGTTCTGCTCCGGAAAAGACAAACGTGCACGGACGGACGTACGCACGCACGCACGCACGCACGGACGGAGTCCATTTTAAAACCCTCGCAAAACGCGTTGCGGGGGGTAATAATAAGTACAGTATATAATTTATTATGCATAGACAGTGCATTCTTCTACATAAATAAATATAGTGCATCACACTGTAAACAGAAAACATGCTTTCAATTTAACTACAGTATATCATATATTATACAAAACAGTATGTGCAATGCTGCTACAAAATAATGTGCAGCACACCAGATCTAATCAGATCAAATATAAAACACATACACCATTTATTAAGTAAGTGTTAATTACTCTGTTACAAATATTCAGAGGTCCTTCCTTTTCAGTAGAAGAACCCAAACAAAACACACGGAGTGAGAAGGTTAGACGTCGCAGGGGGTTATTCATATGCACCATACTCACTTCCGGTTCCGGTGATGACATTGTTTCCGGTTTGGGAACCGGAGAAGTACCTGGCACTGGTTCCGGAGATTGCTCCGAACTACTCTCCGGCAATGGAGTACCTGGCACTGGCACTGGTTCCGGAGATTGCTCCGAACTACTCTCCGGCAATGGCTCGGGACTCTGTTCTCCTTCCTATATTACGCATGCAGTGCTGTATTTTATTTGAGCTAACTGTATTGTGAACACCTTGTGTTTCACATGAAGTACTGTATGGTTTGTTCATCATGCATAGATTACATGAATCACAGAGGATATTGAAAAGATTCTTAATGGAGTTCCCTATCTTAGCACTGTATTTTGGGGATTACCCAAAGAAATTACCCAGACTTTCCAACGAGACTACTGAAACATTTGTTGTCGGTCTACAAAATACTCTTACGGATATGATGTGTTAAAATTGCTTGGTTTTGTTTTTACGAAAACGGTTTGGTATCAACAGGGTATCATTCAGGAACATCTAAGACTGTTTGGGGGACGAATCCACTACCACGTACCACTAAACCTATGGTTCTGAAACTAGTTGACAATAGAAACCTGATAGGTACACGATTGATGTTCTCCTCGACTCTTGTTGTAAATAGGTGCGTGAAGACAAAGATTTGGAGTAATTAGTGCCTCTGCCGACACTGACCTCCTGTCATGTTAAGGCCCTTTTAGTCTTCATTAATTATCAGTCTGTAAAGTTTGATGTAACAATTTGGAAAGAAATCGATCACCAACGTTGGACTTTGAACCATCCAAAAAGGACAAAGCCATATGAAAATGCATTCAACACGGACCAATAGTGCAAGGATCTACCACTTTTAATTGTTAAATAATATATATTTCTGATCATGCTTTGTATTTAGCCCCTATTAAGATTATTGTTACGAGGGAACCGTTTTTAAGACCTTGACTTTGGTTTACAGTTTTTTATTTTGTTCAAATTTCGAACGAAAGGTTTTGGGGCAAATCCGTAAGTCAAGTTACTACAAAGAAGATTTAACTTGTTTTACCTTGACGTGTTCCGACTTGGACTTGTTCAACACCGCAACAACATCGCTGTATTGCCTCTCCTTGGCTAGCGTAAGTGCGTCCTTGCCATCCTAGTAATAATCATAACGTTTTACTGATCATCGCGATGATGATAATATGATGATGATGACGATGATGATGATGAAAAAGCGACAAAACCCTTAAGTTTGCATAATAATCATAAGAAATGTCTGCTAAAAGAGTCTATTGTACGATACTGGCCATATCAAAAGCAGGCATTCCCGAATCACTACCTGATGATGTCAGGTGAGCGTATCCTACCTGCCGGTGAACCAATGACAACACATTGGTACGTTCGAACTAAATATATGAATTAATCACAGCACAATTACTCGGAGGTGCATTTGTTCAGTTGGAGTAGTTCCTACCAGATCTTTAAAGGTGACATCGGCGCCACACTCAAGGAGAAGATTGACCACTTGCATCATCTGGCCGCTCTTGCGAAGATCCTCGTTCTTGATGGCCAGGTTAAGAGCACTGTCGCCTTCCTGAAATAACTCTCCGATTATCTTGGGGTCACATGGCATTGGCACGACTAAGGAAACGGAGAAATACGGACCCCAGCGAAAACGGACCCCAAAAATCGAGAAAACGGCCACCGCGCTGGAACGGCGTCCGAACCAAGAGAAAACGGTCCCTGTGCCTAGAGAAAACGGCCAACATAGTTGCACCAAGATCAAAGGAGATTATATGATTATATATATCCTAAATAATAGAGATTTACTTCATTGCGGATAAGATTTAAAAAAGTCATTGGTTGTTTTCATTCGATATCCATAGCGGTTTAACCTTTGAAGATTGATTGGTTGTTTCGATAGTTCGATGAACAAACCAATTTGATGATTGATAGATTTTATATTGACGAGCGGATTAGTAGACTAGTTCTTGATTCTGCCATGTCCTAGCTGTCACAGACAAAACTCAATGTCTTGTTTTATTGACACCTGTGTGTCTGCCTGCCTGTCTGCTAATGGCAATATTCAATACACAACTGCGATCACTGACCACATGCAATTTGAACTTAACACCAATCAGGCTATACACCATAAACAAAACGCATTGATTTATGGCCCGAGTTCGGTCTCTGTCACATTATGTAATTACACAGACAGGCAGGTGTGATACTTGAACACATGACATGTTATGATGTCTGTTGATTGCAAAATGTTATACACAAAAAATGAGCATGTATTTACAAAACATAACTTTCTATATATACACACACAATTAGCCGTGAAGGCGGCATCTGCTAATGAACCAGCCGTTACACTTGAGTGCACATCCACCCGCTCTGACTGGGTTCGGTATCCCGGCTGCTTCGTTTCGAGGGAGGTAAACCCAAGTACAAAATATTGCACTTTTGATTTGCGATTATACGCTTATAATTTTGTTTATTTGTTTTTTTCATAATCAGCAATGCATATTATATGTCATGAAGAAGTGATAATTGTGTTATAATTATGTTTGATTTTTTGGTTGCATGTGACCTTTAAAGATTCCGTCTATGTTTGTCTTTTAAATAATATCAAGTCTACAGTTTAGCATGTACACTGGTTGTGTTATGATACTTACATCATCTCGGAGATCAACATCCGCCCCAGCGGAAATAAGCATGTCCAGCACGCGCATGACAGGAAGTGTACATCGAGTGAGTGCATAGTGGATAGCGCCGGCGCCATACTGAAGACACACATATCAGACAGCATTATGGCAATAGTTGTAACCCGTACATTACGACAACAAACACTTACATATTGCATGTGAATTTTAAATACAAGAATATCTAATCGTGGAGACAGTTACCTTGATAAGGTAACTCAAGACGTACGTTTTCTCTTTCATCAAGAATATGAGTTATAGACAGTTTCCTGATTTTTGACATGCGACATATCTTTCTGCATTTGTTTCTTGTCCTTTTCCACAATAAAGCGTTCTTTTATAACATAAGCAATAACCTGACACTGACTGAAATATATCCTTACGTCTCCCATATATAGATGAGTGAACGTGTCAACAGGTTGTAAGGCATCGGCGCGCTCTATACTGTTGCCATGACGACGCCTGAAACTACTCCCTATCAGGTATGTTGTGTATTGTAAGCGTACCTTGTTGATGTAGTTGGGATCTGCACCCTTCTTGATGTACTCCTTCATAGTGTCCTCATCGCTCTCCAACACTGCCTCGTTCAGGATGGGCTGCAACACGGACGCCAGGTACAAACTGAATATTGTTTCACTCCATAGTCTACAACATTCCAGCCATATCGTCCTGAATTATGTAAATAAGATACTCTTGGTCAGGTGGTTGACCGGTGGTTGAGTGCATGAGCAACGGTCACAAAAAGGGGGGAGGCGCACCCCACCCCACCACACCCCACCACACCCGCCAAGTCTGATTAGTTTGTTAGTACGTTCTTTAAAGCCGCATTCGGCAACATTCCAGCTGTATGACTGCGGGATGTGAATAATCGTGTCGGGACCAGACAATCCAGTGATAGATTCTATAATCATTGCCGTCGGGAACGTAATGAATCAGGTCAACACGCCTTCCTATCCGAACTCTTACGTCACTTCTTACGAACTTGTTCTGACCCGGAATCATCTGGGGTGACGGGTAATTTCATTCCTCCAGTTGCGTTATGGTCAGTCGGGGATAGGAGTGTATATGACTCATCAGTTAATGCTATCGTGCGTGAAACAATCCCAAATGAGCGTCAATCAATGAACATCTATTCAAGATCATCAATACAACAGTGAACTCGTCTACATCCCTGGGCTGATTGTCTGGTTCACGCCATCTGGTGTATTAAGGGATACGATGTCTGTAACGGGAAACTAACTGCCTTGCACGGGCTGACCAGATGGAAGAGGTGTGGTGAAAAGCAGCTTAACGTCACGTGGGTGTGTTTGTAGATGATTCTTCTTTTAAAGCCATTTTATAGGGTGGGTGAGTGAGTTTAGTTTTACGCCGTTTTAGCAATATTCCAGCAATATCACGGCAAGGGACGCCAGGAATTGGCTTCACACATTGTACCACTGTGGGGAATCGAACCCGGGTCTTCGGCGTAACGGGCGAACGCTTTAACCATTAGGCTACCCCACAGCCCCGGTTTTATAGGGAGTGTTACCAGCCAGATATACGTACATGCAGCTTACCATGGATACCCTACACAGTATACGACCGGTCCTCGTTTTATCCCCTCAATGACGAGATTCAGCCTGGGTAACAACAAGTACCATCTTTTAAAGCGTTTTGGTATGAAGCGGACGGAATCGAACCCCGACCCAGGGAAAGGGGCGTTGGAAAATTTCCCACTGGACCACAGGACCGGCGAGTGATTAGTGGTCCTGTCTGTACTTCACTGGTCCAAAATAACATTCGTAGATTTACTTAGAAAATTCACTGGCCACCATTACCACTGCAAACTTATCATTTAGTGGTCCTGGTGAGTTTTTATTAACCAGGGACCACAGGACCAGCATAAATTTCGCACACTGCGACCTAAAGCTCCGGGCAGACACCGTATCCTCTAGGCCACGGAGGCCTGATGTGAACGAAGATAGATATATCTCCACACATTTTAAACGGACACAGCTTCCCATTAAGATACTGTAACCCCGTTTTAGTTCTTCCGAACATTTATATCTCTTGGCGTGTGTCACGCTGTTGTCCATAAACTGTTACTTATTCTCATACGAGGAATTTCGACACTCAAAGTAGGAACGCCAACTCACAGCATACTTCTCCCCGTATCGTTCACGGTAGGAATTCTGCACCTCGTTGGTGCTTTTGGAACCGTCCAGCGTTGAGGCAACCAAGTCGTGGCCTTTGGCCAGTGCACAGTCATAGGCGGAACGGAGTCGCTGGAAAATATAGAAAGTGATAATGTTCTGCTTGACAATCAAAGGCATGTGTCATTTTTCAAATCATGATGGATAACCCTATTATAATAAATATAATATTATGACTCTATTAGTGAAATTTCAAACCATCATTTGTGTTGTTCTTTTACTTATCGATGTGTTGTTCTTCCGCTCTTGGTGCTTTAGTGTTGCCATAGCGACTGATTCTGGACCGCCATTGCCACGATACACATTTCCAAAGGCCAAATACTATATAGCCCAGACATGCTATTCTCCATTCTAAATCGTCATCACCACTGCATTGTATAATGACCTGTCTGCCCTCCCGTACCACTCAGCCCCTTTCATACATTACTGCTATTGTCTTATGACATTTATATTGAAGTTTATATAAATACTACGGTATTCCGGCTGCTTGTATAGGGACGGCCAAAGGCAGGATGTGACCGTCGTAGGAAACGCCGGAATTCCGCTCACCTCATTTAGGTCTGAGCCGGAAAGTAGTATACACTATGGGGCTACGGGACCAGGTCCCTCCCAAGGGCTCAATTTAAAAATTGAGCACTTGGGAAGTCCCTAATCCCGTAGCCCCATGACGTATACTACTCAACGTATTGTCGTACTTGTTACATATTAGCGAGGCGAGAGGTGTTTTCAGCCGAATGAAACGCAGCTCTCGGCAGTTCCCCCGAGCTGCCTTGCTACCATCTCGCTAGGACGTACTTGATGTAGGAGAAACGCCCAATATTTGTTTGTTTTACGCCGCCCTCAGCAACATTCTAACTATATGGCGACGGCCTATAAATAATCAAGTCTGGAAGAATCCAGTGATCAACATCACGGGCATTGATTAATGCAATTGGGATACAATGACATGTCAACCAAGTCAGCGAGCCTGTCCACCCGATCCCGTTAGTCGCCTCTTGCGACAAGCATAGGTTGCTGAGATCAATTCTAACTCGGATCGTTTCGACGCTGATGCCGATCTTACATGATTACCACATAAAACCGCCTAACACGTGTGTGGTGCTGACAAAGCTCGGAACATCATTAGGGCGAATCTTGGATTCGAACCATGATCATTAGTTCCTAACGCGTCTAAGGGACACAACTCTGTTAAGTCAAAAGTGGCGGGAGTAGACGACTGCGCCAGACACTGCCAAGTGAGATGCCCTACAGCCCGATGTTACTCGGTAATCCTTGACAGTATTTCCTATTGTCTGTGCGGAGCGCCACCTGACGTCTCCATGCGGGCAGTTCCTCTCACCTTATTGCGGATTTCAGCATCGGCCTTGCAGTCGATTAATTTGACTATGACGTCATAATTTTGAGGAAACTCTCCGTTTTCTACCGCTAGGTGGAGGGCTGTGTCTTTATTCGTCTCTGTCTGAGCATTCACGTCGACGCCATTGTTGACGAGGACGTCTATCACATCGATGACGTCAGTGCGGTCACTCAGTATCGCAACGTGCAAGGGAGACAACCCTTCCTGTTATCAATGCATAAAGACATTCAGTAAGAAAAATGAACACACATGTCTATGATATTGTTCGGTTGTTCGGATCTACTCTCTGCCCAAGCACCACCATTCCTTGACTGAAATATGAGTATGTTTTAACGCCGATTTGAAAGTGTTTGAATGATAAGTTTTGAAATGGCAAGATGACCCAAAGTGATTCAGGCAATTGAAGTGTACCATTTTGATGAAACTCGGAGCATGGTATTGTTCTGACAAACATGGAAACACATCCAATCATGGATTCTAATCGACGACCACAGGTTCCTGTCACGCTAAAGGGAAACAACTCTTACGGACAAACACCGCGCTTTGCATGCTTGGCCCATCACACAATAAGTGAAACGATGATGAGTTTTTCTTAAGATGGGGTTGCTTTTAAGGATGAAGTACCAACAACTCTATACATTCTTGTAAACCCGTGAAGGTCCGGGTTAGAATGAACCTTCAGTAACCCATGCTTGTCGTTACTAAACTCACTCACTCATACATTCTTGTAACATATTGCTGTTGTTGACAGTAACCATTAATTCTGCATTACAAGTTTAGGCGTCATCAAATGAAATGAGAAAAAAGATCAAGAGGAAAAGGTTAGGTGAACGCCACTTACGTAGAAATGGTCGTCTAGTTTTGGATTGCTGTTGAAGAAGTCCCGAATGTCGTCTAAGGATCCCAGCGCACATGCGCGATGCAGCGGTTCCTGTGAAGTGAATGGTCACGTCGTTATGTAAAGTGTTTATATGTTAAAGTAGAATATTTCTCTCACTCCGACTGCCCGAAGACAAATTTCTTGAAGGGAAAGTGTTATTCACTGGGTGCAGTTCCACAAAGCGACGTTAGTACAACGACTGTCGTATGTCAGTGTTACAACATAGGAGTCAGGAACATCCTAGAGCTAGGGGACCGTTCATAATTCATGGCTACGGTGTGTGTGTGTGTGTGTGTGTGTGTGTGTGTGTGTGCGTGTGCGTGCGTGCGCGTGCGTGTGTGTGTGTGACCCATTTTGTTCTGGGGACGTAGGGAGGTCATCAATTTTGTACACATGCATCTAGTGGAGGGGGGGGGGTCAGCAGTTTTGTACATAGAAATATTTAAAAATTATGCTTAAAAAATATTGGAAGGAGAAGGGAGGGTCATTGATTTTGTACATGACATGCAGGGGGTCACTTACTTTGTACATAAATTGTAAATTCATTGTACATGCTTCTCCATAAAATTATCATCAACCACCCCACCCCCCCCCCCTCCTTGGCCATAAATTATAAACGGTCCCTAGGATCGTTTTGTGGATCGTGACCTTGTTTCATTTTTAAGCCCATGGGTTACATTCTTTTCTGTTAATGATCAGCATGTTGTAATTTACGGTATGTGTTGAATTGAGTCACTTTCTGAGAGTAACCTGTAACCATTAACTGCTTCTTAAAAGCTATGCATAACAATATGGCCAGTAAATTGGAGAAGTGTGGGGGTTAATCAAATGTGCTGGGGCTGCCAATAATTCAGGGCCAATGCTCCTTTAAGTGTACGTGTAACACAGATATACTCATGGAAACGAATAAGGGAACACAGGAAAGTACAAATGTTCTTTTTTTCTTTTCCAGTGTTCTTCACAAGGTATGTATTGCACTGTGGGTGAAAATCTGAGAATAAATAAAGGAACCATTTGTTATGAAGAGCTTATGAAGCAGAGAATTGGGAGCCATGAAGACGCATTGACACTTACACGTACAGCAACAAACTTTGCAGCAGTATCACGCTAGCGATAAATTTGGTAGAAGCAGTGTGCGAAATAGTTCCAAGATTTTGCTAGCCAGTCGGGCTAGCTATGCCTGACTGACTGACTGACTGAGTTTGGTTTTACGCCGCTTTTAGCAATATTCCAGCAACATCACGGCGGGGGACACCAGAAATGGGCTTCAAAAAGCGGCGTAAAACTTAACTCACTCACTCACTTTGACGCCGCTTAGAACAGTATTCAGCTATATGAAGACGTTACGGGGAGGAGCATATAAACCTTTGGTGGAGGAAAACCAGGATAGGTCTGGAATAGCGTTAGAACAAATTTAGAAGTATCCGTTTCATGTCTTAATTCTACCATGACTTCAGTAAATACTGGATTGTGATTGGTTAACTAAAGTCATTCCGAGGTATATAACCACGTTATAAACCTCTGATCTTCCAACACAGTATTTTTTTAAGTGACACTTAATAACACGGTTATGGTAGATTGGAGATATACATACTCTGTTGGAAAATCAGAGGTATATAACGTAATTATAACAGTATATGTATCTCCTAATTATTTGGTAGAAGAATTAATATATCCATGGTATCGTACTGAAATATGGCTTGAGTGTGAGTGAGTGTGAGTGTTGTGCCCATGTGCGGAATCGAACCCAAGTCTTCGGCGTCATGATCTAACGCGTGGACCAATAACCAAGGAATGGAAGGATATGCTTGTTCATTTGGCCTTGTGTAGGGTTTGAACAGCTGACAGTTTTACACAACTGCTCATAGCCTGGGACAATCAAATAATTTACAGTTAAAATTACCGTTCTCATATTATCGGAAATGTCCATAATTATGTCTTCAGAAACGAGCAAATATTGTTTCATTGTATCCGGGAAACAGGTCCAGTGTTTATAACAGTACTAACACCTTCCGTTCACGCCATGTTGCCTGCGCTCGTTCAGGTGTATACAGTGCCCCGGACTATTGTACTGGGCCGCTAACATGTAGCGATCACACAGGTAGACGATAGACCCTGTCGGTTATATGGGCAGGATACATAGACACACAATGAGGGACACCTACATACTGACCTAGATTAGGAGATTTATGTTAATTGTATACTGTAATATACCGTTATAGGACGGACGTAATGAACACTGTAGTATTAAAAAGAGGGTTCGTGGAGTAGGGGAGAGTGGGGAGGGAATGAGGGATTATTGAGAGAGAGGGGAGAAGGTGGGTTTCTGAGAGAGTAATAAAGAGTGAGACACACGCAGAAAGCCTGCCAGGCATTTCCCGAACCGCCATTATTTTTTGTCGCCTGTTTCCATTTCTACAAAGAGCGGGGATCCTAAATGAAGCAAGTCTAGATTTCCATCACGGTCCGAATCTCCAACTAACTCGTTTACAGTTTAAATGTTGTTAATCGTTTTTATCAAAACAATATAAATTCAGTGACTAAGCGTAAGTCTTGTAAGCCGTAAGCCAAGTATAGGTAACAGGTATTTCTCGCTGATATTCTATATTGCTTCCTAAGCCCTTATTTACTGATCACCTCATACCATGTATAATAAGATCTCGCACACTCTGTGATCTCAGGCTCGAAAATAGTTCCACTTTGACCATTCAAGATGGTATGCTATTGCCTTATATACCCTACCCATAAATCTAATCATTAATAAATCAAATCGAATTAGTAGAGGCTCGCAACAGTGGTAACGTTCGTACACAAATAGTCGTTGTTCCGCCAGTCTATAACAGCATAAAACACAGTCTCTGACATAACAAAATACCTATCTAATCCGTCGTTGAATGACAGAGTATTAATACTACAAGTGGCTGACAAATAAAACAGGTTCCGTGTCGCATTGTCTTATCAGCACTAATGTGATCGTTCAGCTGTATACGACCAGACAGGGTTGCCTACTTACAACTTGGCTGTTACTGTCATCCTCAAACTGTACCCGTTTCGTCATTTCTGTCATTTCCACGAGCTGTTGGGATTATATCACTCCACATTGCACGTGAACAGTCCCAGATCTTTCAAAGTGTCATTTTGAAGTCTTTGGAATATGTCCATATTGGTTCCTTCGCGTGGGCTCGGAAATTAAACCCAGCCAGCACATGTGCGTGCTGATTGCCTGTATGATTCGTGGTGGCTACAATGCCTTATCAAGTACTGACGGGGCTCTGTATGGGTGAACAATGGAACTGATCTCTGAACCCAGACTATGGTATAACTCAGTTAATTATATTCTTATGACATAGTACCCTGCCGCTTACCAGACAGCTAGTCAATAATAAATCAATGACATGTTCTTTTTAATTAAAAATATATGTAGTTGCAAGCTCATGTTCTGTTTGTTTTAGGGCCAATGTGTGTTTAAAGAAATGATTATACTGTCGGAAGACTTGCTGGTACAGGTTTAGCTGGGAATAATCGACTCCCTATTATCAGTTATTGATCAACTATTTACCGATCAACCAATACGGGTTGCCCAAGATATCAAAACATATTTTATGTTATTTATGTTTTACCGTCTTATATTATTTTTTATGACCATAATGGCCTTTTTAAGATGCCCCTTTAATGGATTAACCGCTTGAACGATGGGACGGGACCGGGTGTACAGATCTGTGCAACCCTGACAGGGCCCCTCCAACCCGCTACCGTCCTAATGGATAAACGGGGGCGTGAGTCGAACACGCAAATCTACTGGTTGCTATGATCAACAATCTCGACGGCAGCTAGAAACACGATCAGTGTGACGGACGGGAGCCCACTGAATAGGATTAGCCGTAATCCCAGTCTCGCTTATTGAAAGCAAACCCATGTCTTGTTTATTAAGACACATTAGACTCGGACAACTGACAATCTCAGTGCGTTTTGCTGTCCAACTAGAACGTGAGGCTCAGCTCTTCACGACACATAACATATGACGCTATTTATGCTAATAGCTACTGCTACAACAATACTCCTACAACGGTTTTGTTTTATCGAGCAAGGGCTCACCAATCTTCCAAACAGATGGCGATGATCTTTAAAAATCGAACTTGGGCCAGACCACCCAGTGATTGACGTCATGAGCATCAGTCTAAGCAGGTTACGATGACATGCCTTTTACGACAACTTGCCGAAGACAAAATTCCAACCTGGATATTTACGGGGCTACTGCTTTTACTACTACTACTACTACTACTACTACTACTACTACTACTACTACTACTACTACTACTACTACTACTACAACTACAACTACTACTACTACTGCTGCTGCTGCTGCTACTACTACTGCTGCTGCTACCGCGACGGCTACTACTACTACTTTTCCGCTACTGCTGTTACCACTACTGCTACTACTACTACTGCTGCTGCTGCTACTACTACTACTACTGCTGCTACCGCGACGACTGCTACTACTACTGTTCCGCTACTGCTGTTACCACTACTGCTACTACTTCTACCACTTACATCGTTACTGCAAGCACAATCGCTACGCTACAGTGACAAGTTACAAACGTCTTGCTAAGGCTGGAGAGGCTGGTGTAGATGTGTATTTTAACAATACTAAATGCAGTGGGGTCGCCTTGTTACTATGGCTTCGCGTGTCACGCTGAAGGACGGGGTTCGATTCCCTGCAGTAACCCATTTCTGTTCCACCCACGGTGACATAGCTATACAGAAGGCGGGCTCAGAAACTCAGTCACACATTCACGTGCACTGTATTATTGCTGTCCCTGAAGTGACTTTGGTTATCAACTTTGAGTGGTCTAAATACTGCCGGTCTATACCAGCAGTGAATGCCTATTCTCAATACACGATGTTGTTTCCCATCCCCCACCAGCCCTGAATCTTCATTCTGACGTAAAATAATACATTTTAAAAATTCAATTCTCCCCGCCTATGTGGTAATTTATGCCCTGGAGTAATAAATACTAATATATTCTTAACACAAATACTCTTAACACAAATACTCTTAACACATCATTGGATGTTAAACGTTGCACCAAACAACAAACAGAATGTTGGTGGAGATTCTCATGTTAAGGCAGACTGACTGACTGAGTTTGGTTTTACGCCGCTTTTAGCAATATTCCAGCAACACCACGGCGGGGCACACCAGAAATGGGCTTCACACATTGTACCCATGCGGGGATTCGAACCCGGTTCTTCGGCGTGACGAGTCAACGCTTTAACCACTAGGCTACCCCACCGCCCCTCTCATGTTAAGGAGTAATGTTCGTCATAAAATATATTCAGATTAAACGGTGCGTGTTTCTGTAGAATTCCATCGTCATGGTATATATAATTAACTTGTTATCGCTCTTTATGGTCAGATATCAACAGCCAGGTTATATACATAGTACATATATGTTATCTGCGAAGCGCACATGGAACAGCGCTGTAGTGACGTCACTTTTAATACTTTCGTGTAACCATGAAAGGCAACATGAGATTTCAATATACTTCGTGGTGGTAACGAGGACAATGAAGAGTGTGATGAAGAGTGTGACAATAACAATGAAGAAAGTGATTCACTCACTACCAACCTCACATATCCAAAGGTTCTAGAGATGCAGAGGGAAATAAAACATTTTGCCATGGTGCAAAACTCACCTGAACTGTTGAACCCTGTGGCTACACTCGAAGCCAGTACAGAAACCCTGATTCTAAAACAATCACTTAAAGGTCAGTCACAGTCTTTGATGACTGATTTCTTCACAAACTGAAGCTTTTATATGCAAGTATGTAATAAACAAATGTACATGTACTTTGTCAGTGTTTCGTCTTTATACGCATTCATGTAACATGTGTTTCATGCACAATCGTATGTTCGTCAAAGGGAGATAACTCCATTAAAATCTGTGTACTTCGGACTACTGTATAATTCGGACTTTTTAGTCGGTCCCAAGCTTGTCCGAATTAGACAGAGTGCACTGTAATATAATACTGATAACACAAACAACAAGGCAAACAAACCGTCACTTTGGAAGGCTAGTATTTATTTGGCGGATGTTTTTAAGTTTAAAGTAATATCATTGTAGAATGTCAGGGACATGCAGGAACGGTAGTGATATTAAGCCTCTTCCTACTTGAAAAAAGACATTATCTAAATCGTATGATGCAAATACACCCGTTTGATAAGAACAAAACCCAACAACAATCATGCAGGTACCGTTGTCCGTTGAACATGTACTCTAACCGAGTGACGCCCACTTTATACTCAACGGACTATACAAAACATCTAGCAGTTTCTCCAAAACCCTGTTTAGCTTCATTGCACCCGGGTAAATATACCTTCGTGGACAAAAGTAAACAGAAGATACGGAGTAGTTCATTGAACTATTAATCAGTTAAGGTAAGTTGAGTTGAGTCAAAACAACGGAGATATTTGGAGGTTTGTCTACGAGAAAGAATAATCTGGAGGAGCTAAAGAGTAAAAACAATCAAAATTAGAATATACCACAGGCATATCGCATGCATGCACGCACGCACGCACACACACACACAGAGTTGTGTGTTCCCTTGTCTGACCCCATTCTCAAATAGACTTAAAATTACGGGAGACTTTACTACCTGTACACCGGTTGTGTCAACATTGCTCAATACCTGATGACAACCCTAAGCCTGTATGGACATGGGTATCAGTTATTTAGCTTTACTTTCTATCTCTCTACTTCCTTGACCATGTTACAGGTACGTTATTTTTGATTCTAACAGCACCTGGCCAATGTTGTTGTCATGTCAACTGACGGTCTCATGGCTGATTGCTTGAGAGAGGCAGTTGTGATGGGAATAAATGGGTCATCCCGATATCTGCCAAATCGTCCGTTATATACCGTATGTGAATATAAAAGTTGAATATTTACTCGCGTACTTACTTAACAATTGTAAAAGCACTGAGCTAGATTTGGTGATAATTTTGCAATAGGAGAAATTTCGTCTTACAGATAAACTCAGCTTTAGTCTAAACCGGTGTCATCTATATTTTTTGCTCATGAAATAGGTGTTTTGTCTTGAAAAGGAACACTCGCGTGTACAGAGCTTTTTAAGAAGTCTTTTATCATTTCTTTTACCTTTTTAGTTTTGTATAGTCGTTATTGATCACGTATAAATATTTTGTTAAATTGTTGTAGTGAACCAGGCGGAATCATGCTTTCCCAGGAGCAGTACGCCAGTTTGTAAGTGTTGCTCTATGTCCGTCTTGTGTGTTTGTTTGTGTATCCTGTGGTCAGCAATATACCAGTCATGTCATTATGGTCATTGGGTTGAACCAGTGGGCTACCACAACGCCACCATGTAAATGACTTAGCAATCTGAGACTTCCTTCAACCAATCAAACTGAAACGTAATTAAGCAATGCCTTTAAAATCCCTAGGATTAAACTGGTGCTGTTTGGGGCTGGCGTAATGTCTGCCGCTTGCCTCCGTCTATCCATCTCTCACCTATCATGGGCCAGCGTTCGAAATTAACGTCGGTCCTTTGGCCCGTGGCGGACTGAAAACCACTCGGACCCACAGCTTTTGTTTTCTGCAGGTCCTTATGGCCTTGTTTGCTGGGAATTACATATATTGTAGCTAAAATATAGGGCCTACACATTCTGATCAGGACCCACAAGCTTTATGGTTCTGGATAATAGGGCCTACGGGTTTTCAGGGTTAATGGCAAACTTAATGGCCTTAATGTGAATTCGACTGACACAATGGCTGCAAAACATGTGTAGGATGAGGAGGCGCGCGCATCTAATACCGAAATATTACACCTATGACCTGATTGATTGCGGTGGTTGTAGCGCGATACTGTTGATCAGATAATTGTGGCACTATTGGCAAGTTATTTGATTGAATAAAGTGATTCCTTGTTCATGTGATTCAGATCACCAGCTGTCGAGGCCATGTTGTAAGGAAACCAGTTTTAAAGGGCGCACTACAGTCCGACGTTTCCCCTGCGAGGACGACGGCGGCTGTTGCGGTGACTACGGCTCCCAGTACTGCTGCGACGTTCCCGTGTAAGTCAGCAAGGACGTTTGTTATGCCCTTTAACCACATTGGGGAGTCTCTGTAAGCTGATATGCAATTAATGTACATTGTGGACATCTGTCATAATTCCTCTGTACACAAAAAGCTGCCATCGAGCTTTTCATCTGCTTAAGTTTAAGAAATTCGTTGACATGTGGGCTCTCCGACCTCATTCCAGACGGTAGCCCAGTCTCTTGGCAAACTCAGTTGGGTCACACCAGAGCCGAGTGCACCTTTAAGATTTGTATCCACATTAAACTTGTTGAATTACGTATCCTATGATGAATTTGTGTGCGTTTGTGCGCGCACGCGTGCGTGCGTATGTGTGTGTTTATATGTAAGATCCTGATGGAAGATGCGTTGTTAGTTCCAGTTTGTCTGTGGGTCTGGGAGTTGGCCTGACTGTCTTCGTCCTCGTCCTTCTAGGTATCGTAGCTCTCGTCATCTACTGCTACCTGAACATCAGCTACCACAAGAAGGGCCAGGAGATCTACTGTGCCGCCTGCTGCAGGTGTAAAGGTCAGCAGGGTTAACTCAATATTCGACTGATGTTGGTGGGGTGTGAAATTGGTGGGATGTAGAGAGAGTGTGATGTAGGTGGGTGTAGAGAGGGCGTTATGTTGGTGGGATGTAGAGGGTTAACCAGCGTTTGGTGAGACAAGTTTTGCCGAGGATTAAGCAAGGATGAAGCAGATGAGACGACGATGCAGAGTGGATATGCTGAAAGTTTACGTATTTTGAGTTTTCACCAACAGTGTCAGGATAGACTTGTTGCGTGTTGCTAGGTAACTTTATTTAAAGAACCACTAAACTTTGTTTTTTTTGTTACTCTTTTAACCATTACATATGACAGATTTGTGGTTAGTCTTATGCGGAACACCAAATTTATTCTTTAAAAACTTGTGGTTAATTAATACCGAGCGATTAAAAGTGGCTAAAAAGTCGCCTGCTTCCCCTCTCGCCCGCCAACGAAACCACAGACAGGTTACGTAACTCTGTCGCCAGAGCACTGCAGTGACGTCATATGAGGAACGATTTTCAGTTAGGTGTATAGAAAGTGTGTAGCACGCTCATCATTTTGATGATTTCTCGACATCAACGACGACATGCCGAATCGTTGCTTTGTCGTCAATTGCTCCTAGGGGTCGGGTGATGGTGTCACCATGCACAGATTTCCACAGGACCCCGCAGTTCGTGCTAAATGGGTTATGTTTGTGAGTGCGAAGCGAGCGTTGTGGAAGCCTGAAACGATATCTTACTTGTGTTCAGATCGCTTCACGGAAGTTAAAGAATCAAAACTACTTACTAGTTATAGTAAAATATGTATATGATTGATGACCATAAAGATTTTCCATACGGAACTTGTAACATAACGATTTCTTCCTCGGAAGTGAGGTTGTGGTCGAAGTAACAATAATATTGTAAGTAGTATTATATTGACACCCACCTCGCTGCCAGGAGAGAAATTGTTATGTTATACGCTATGTCATGCAAAATCCTATTGGCCATCAATAAAATACATATTTTACTACCAGTAGAAAGTAGTTTTGATTTTGTAACTCGGTGAAAACAAACCTAAATAGCATTTATCCACAGACTGGCGAATGTTCCCGACAGGGCGCCGCCATTTTTTGAAAATCGTAAAGTCTGTTAGAATTAATGAGATTATAGTTTGTTTTCATCAAGTTAGAAAATCAAAACTACTTTCTACTCGTAGTTAAATATGTATTGGAATCATAACCAAAAGGATTTTGCATGACACAAGTTATAACATAACGATTTCTTCCACGGAAGCGAGGTGGGGGTCGAAGTCACAATACTGCGCGATAAATTTCTTGCTACATTCACATGGTTAATGTCCACTCACCAGTATGTAGATACTAGTCAATGTGCGTCTTTATATTTGGTCTTATAATCCTAATTAGTTTACTATCATACTTTTATGCATTTTGAAACTAAATAAAAAGCTGACGATCTGCTGATACTTATAGTGAATTTATAACAGAACTGTAATATCTAGACATTTTATAGTTTGCCAATGTGAATCATAATTCGCACACACACCCTAGTGTATGTTGTCTGTCTCATTACACTTCACGGCGAAAACAATGATTCTGTTGAATGCTACGACAAATGAATAAAAACAAAATGCAAATATTAAAATTAAAACAGATTAAAGTTATAGGAACAATATCAGGCCATTACCTTGTTTGAGGAATGTATCCATCAATATCCACAAAACTGTTCCAAATGATGTGTCTTTTAACAGTTTAATATACGAAAAAGTGATAAATCTTTTCAGGTATTGGTGTATAGTCTCATTGGTCACCCAAGATAGCACACCTGGCAACTAATTGCATAATGTCCGCCTTTCATTAAAAACAGTAATTTAGTTAGCCAATAATGGGCAATCAATCAATGTATTGCCGGTTAATCCTTTGAAAGAAGGACGTTGTTTTTACGCAGACACCGACACGGCAGAGTGTACTCAGTATAGATTAGTAAATCTACATACATAAACACTACCTTTTGACAAATCCGCTGTGTAAGATAAAAGTAATTAATCAATCAGCGTGTTATCGGTTAATCCTTTGATCGATGTTTATAATGTTGAATATTTACTCCAGACACAAGAAATGCCAAATGGGAACCTTTGTCGGGTAATCTAAGTGTGTTACCACTAATTATACCTGTTATAAATTCATTAACTGACCATCAAGTGAATGATGACAAATAACATGTGTAGGTTTATACCACCGAACACGGGTTACAACAAGGGAGTATTAATTGCTGTATTGCATGTGAAAACTTATGGGCCGACACTGTTTTGAGAATACAAACAGATTTTTACATGACATGATTAAATATCGAGGTAAAAAACACAGAAATGGGATCAATTTGGATCAGTCATTATACAAATAGGGCCTAACGACACCAATCAATTGTGACAGAAGCGTCTATGAAAACAAGTTGTAACTCGGAAACTAGGCAAAGCAGGAGACAAAATTAAATGCCAGTAGATTGTGAGAACATATAGCTTTCATTTTCCACAACAATTGTCACGATTTCAGGTTTATACAAGCCTGTAAACAAGATAATTTACCCCCTAAAATGTAGATGAATTCTGCATCGGCCCTCAAAGCTATTCCTCATATGACGTCACAGAGTCGCGCCGCTCTGATTGGTTGAAATTTCGTTCGCGGGTGAGAATTGTGCACTGTTGTCAAAAAAGGTCGATTTAAGTCAATTAAAGGTCGAAATGAGTAGTTTTAATGACGGGGTTTCATTTATAACGATGCCAGTTAGTGATTTATGTATTTTTACCCCCCTAGGGTTTATGTGACCTTTGCTTATAGGTCTTTTTGTCATTGATGTCTATATCTGACCGCACATTATAATGCAATTTGTATGTCAATTCCCACAATAGTTCGAGATTCAACGAAACCGGCCATGCCGTTCAGCAGCATCCCTGTTAACGTGAGCAACGTTGAGTCGACATTCGACACAGAGGTGTATGAACACCGCCACCAGCCCTACCCAGATCCAGACGTCTTCAAGACGCCAGTGACGCCTCAATGTCAGACCAGTCCAGACACAGAAAATCATATCCCGCCATCATACACGGATGCCGTGTCTCGTCCAGAAATATTCGTCACCTCTCGACAATTTCCGTAACCATCAAGTGATTCGGCTTGTCCCGAAAGTAGTAGCTATAGAGCTGGTTTCAAATGTTATAGTTTTCCGATAGGCGCAAGAGTCAAGGTGATGTTTGAGATCCACGAAGGACAACCATGACAAGTATCAATCACTGGATTGTGTGCTCCAGACTCGAATATTTACTGGCAGGACTGACTACTGCTGGAATATTGCTCAGTTCGGTGTAAACAACTAACAGTCTACCTCGTTTATCCAGCTTTGTGATACCCACCTCTATTTCAAAGTTGCTCTCTTCAGTTTATGACATCGAGGCGCCATATTGTTCTTCGCCTAGGAACCTACCTCATGAGGGCAGCATGTTCTCTGTGTGTTTCACGTAGTCACAGTGATGTAATGTTGGACCACAGGCAAACTGTAGCGCAAAAAGTGTTGCGCAACAAAGAGAAAATGACCAGTCTTCCTATAAGCGAACGAGGCGAGCAAACTTCCCTCGCTTCGGTTCGAAAAATATTTTTAATATCAAAATGAAATATCGGCACCATCAACTGTAGACACCCATTTGTGCTCTCAGATTTCCAACCTCATATTTAATAATTACTCACGTAAAACATATTTAATTCACCACGTTCTTCGCCTCCATTACCCCTGCCAGCTTCCGGTTCAACGATTCGATATTTACAGACCGCCGCAATACAGCTGGAATATTACTGTATTCGGCGTTAAACAACAAACAAACAAATAATCCGCCCGGGAAGTTCTCAACAGGGGAACACCCGACGCCATATTTGTGTGAAGTTGTACAACGACGGTATCAGGTATACTATCAAGTCAGCTTACAGTAACGACATTCTTTTAAATATCTCAAGCATGGCCGGGAAGAAAACGCTTGCGTTCACTGACATAATTTAAAGGGCCTAAACAATTACCCCTGTAAACATCCGATTGCTGAAGATATTTGCCCCCGCTTGTTGTAACAGGCGACTGACGGGATCGGGTGGTCGGACTCACTCACTTGGTTTATGCATCAAAACTGCATAACTGCTCAGATGGAAAAGTGCTGAGTATGAATAACAAGGGACCTCCCCATCTCCCACGCACACACACGCACACACGCACAGACAGGGAGAGAGATTTCTTCACACACAGGTTTTGCAATAATACAGTGTATATGTTAGAAAAAGACCATCTTCAAGCAGGAAGGAAGACCATGATAGAGTATGGAGATGCTGTTTCCCATCTTGTTGGACTTTAAAGTCAGTTGTGTATGAATCATCATTGTGGACATGATTGTGATCGTGATTAGTGCTTTATCAAATTCTTATATTTACGCAGTTACATAATGCTAAACATTGTGTGCAGTTATGTATTATGTATGGTTGTGATTAGTAATTTATCAATTTATGTATGCTGAACATAAAAATACAAATGATAGTCATCTTGTGTCTTTCTTTGCTTGGTCATCTCCTCCCCACCCTCCCCCACCATTGTCTTGCTAATAAACATGGTCTGGTGATCCTCTTACTCCTTAAATAAACAACTTGCCCCACTGGCAAAAGAGGAACACCCGTTAAGTTTTATAGGGTTTACATACAATGTAGTTTCCACAGTCAGTTCGTCCAATCACAAAAATCTGTAAACTGTAAATGAATAATTATTCTAAACTTTTCAAATGGAAGAATTTAATGATATGTTGTGTGTTACTTTTTTTCGCCATTTGTTTGCGATCGAATCTGTGGAAACAGCACTTATATTCATTACATGCATGAAAGGAATTCCATGTTCCATGATTGTAGTGTGGCCAAGATCCACTTTTATTGACGCTATCGTATGTACATGTATGTGTCAGTATGGATGGGGTGCTGGGTGAATGCTAAACAGGGAACAGATGTCTTATGTACAGTTGTGAGTGTACGTGCGTGCTTAAAAATACGTGAGGCATGTTTCCCCTGCACACCGGTCAGTCACATTGCTCAATACTCACTGATAACACACAGGCCGCACGGATATCATTATCGCAGTCATTGAACTTTACTGGGACTTTTTTGTCATCTTCCGCCATGGTCATTGTGCACCATCCAGTTAAAGGTTTGTTAATTCAGATCTTAACCCCGTGTAGTCCGGTTGTGTGTTGTTTAATGACGGCTTTATTGCTGCAAGCTTGTTGATGGGCGATTGTGACCCAAATTTGAGTGGGTCATATTTGTGTAACCAATGGGTTGTGGCAATATCTGCCGACATTTTCCAACATGTATGTGTGTATATGAAAGCTCAATATTTACACACGTAATTACTAAACCACTGGTGAAACAATGTCTTTGATCTGACGATTATTATTTCTTTGTAAACAAAGAAATAATGAGACACAAGAGACATCTACCCTTATCTATACCGGTGTGTTCTTAATTTTGTTTCTGATGAAATTCCGATTTTATCAGGTTCCGTTTAGTTCTGTCAACTTCTATTCTAATGTAGAATTTTGAAAGGAAGTTTCTTAATCGTTTCTTTTGTCTTTAAGCTGGCTTTAACAGTCTCGCTGTCAGTTGAACCCATATACATATATTGCTTTTTTTATTGATAGTTGTGGTTCTGAATCGTGCGAAAACCTGTTTTACAACCGTTAATGGGATAAAGAGACCGCTTCCTTGTAAGTATCACGATTATTGATTTGTTCTTTCGTTCATTCATCAATTCATTTAGTCAAAATCAACAACCATATCACGGCAGCCTGTTTAGTTTATGATAGTACCCATGAAGATCCGCGCTAGAATTGGTCTTTAGCAACCCATGCTTGTCGTAAGAGGCGATAAACGGTGGTCAGGCTCGCTGACTTGGTTGACCTAGGTCATCGTATCCCTACTGCGTGGATGCTGTCAATCACTGGATTGTCTGGTACAAACTCGATAGTTTTTAGTCCGCCGCAATATAGCTGAAATATTGCTGAAATATTGCTGAGTGCGGGAAACGAACAAACAATCATTACAGAGCTCAGGAAGATCATCCGGGGACTCATCGTTATTCTCGCAGTTATTTTTTACTGAATATTTGTAAAACAACAAAGGAGGCAGTCATGAATATCTGAATGAAATATATTCCAGAACAACTTTACTTTTATCTTCTCTAATTCTTCTATTTATCAGAAAGATCTTTTTCTGCAACCTATTAGGCTATAACTGTGGTATATACCACGAAATGTCTACAAAAGATCAGTTGTTTAATTATTTAATGTGCTTGTCTGTTTGTATAATACAGATGAAGGGTTGACGAGGCCATGTTGTATGGAAACCAGTTTTAATGGGAACACTACAGCCCGACGTTTCTCCTGCGAGGACGACGGCGGTTGTTGCGGAGACTACGGCTCCCAGTCCTGCTGCAACGTCCCCAAGTACGTCTGCAACAACGTATTTGTTATGCTCTCTGTCTCGCGTCTTTGTCAGTGCATCAGTTGGCACGTAATACATTTATTGTACATTCTCAAAAAAAGCCATTTTTAGAAGAAAAGAGCAATTATTTCATGTAATTTCAATGGTAGAAAGGTGAAGATACACACGTCTATAGGCAAAGAGTTCGCCAACACATGTGACAACAGCCTTTATTGTTGTGTTTTAAAACTTGAGTCCACAAGATGGCGTCAAAGTCAGTTCTTTGTATGGCTGCCATTGGCAGCAATTACTGCTCGGCACCGTCTCGGCAAAGACTGGATAAGTTGACGAAGTCGTTCTTGCGGACGTCTTCCCCACTCTTCCTTCAATACGATGGCCAGTTGTGGAAGTGTCTGAGGAGTGTTTTGCCGTTGACGTACACGTCGATCGAGTTCATCTCATAGGAGTTCTATAGGGTTTAGATCTGGTGATCGGGGAGGCCAAGGCAAAACACTGACGTTAGAATTGGCAAGGTAGCGGACCATGACGTGTGCTGTACGTGAAGTAGCAACTCCCACTGTCGGTCCATAATCGGAAGCATGTGACTGCAAGGACTTCGCTGGTGTACCGATTTGCTGTCAAATTCCCCTGAACCACCACTTAATCAGACCATTGTGTGCTGGATATCGCACCTCACACCATGACACTGTCTCCACCGAATCTCGAACTCTCGAATTTAGGGCAAAACGTTCATTTCTCCGACGGTAAAAAGGCAGTCTTCCATCTCGCCGGTGAAGAAGAAATTGTGATTCATCACTGAACCAGACTCGCTTCCAGCTTGTAAGGTTCCCATGCACCTCCTTACTTTACGACACCACCGCGAGCAATTGCGCCGTTGTTCCTTCTTGAAGCAAGCCATCCTGATCGTTTGGTAGGAAATCCTTCTCAATCCAGAGATGTGTTGTGCAGTCAACACGGCAGTTAGAAGACGATGGCGTAAGTGAGCCTGGATAAAGCGGGCCTGGGCTTGGGTGGTAACTCTTTGACAGTCGTTTTTCGTTCGATCTCGATCTCGACTTGGTCTGCAGGAAACGATCCCAAAGGCAAGATATTGTGCTCTGATGAACGTTGAAATGTCGGGCAACTGCAGACTGCGACTCCATATCTTGAAGGCGGCCTATGGCGATGTTTCGATTGGCGGCACTCAGTCATGGCATGATGATTTCCACTTTTCCAGGCAAAAACAAAACGACAAAATTAAACACAACGTTTGCTTTTGTATAGTGATCAATACCGCATGCTTTTCAGCTTACTTTGCAATCACACAAAGATGATGTTTTTGAAAGAAATACACGCTTCCCCCAAAATAAAGAAATAATGAAACGCATTGGGGATTGTTAGAATATGTATACAAAGCCAATATACTACACTCTTGTAGAATAATTCATTGCGTTAGATTCCGAGCAATTCTTTCATGTGATTTCAATGGTAACAAGGTGAAAATTCACACGTTCATAGATAAAGAGTTCGCCAACACAATAGCAACTGCAGCTGTTTACAGTCACACACAGATGATGCTTTGGAAAAAAATTAGTATATCTGTATTGTTTTGCCACAGCTATATGTATCCAATGTCCTCAAAGTCATCTATTCGTTTCTTGTTTTAAAAAGTGTACTCCTTCACCACTATGGTGGGGGTCTCTGTCAGTTTTTTGGTTTCAATTAATGTACACTTTGAACGTATTATTCCTATTAGGCATTGCTATGTCACGGCGATCCGACATAACAGAGTCTGGACTAGACAATCCCGTGATTAAAATCAGAGCATCATTCCGCATAATTAGCATACAATGACATTTGTCCACCATGTCATCGAGCCTTAGATAAATACGATGATGAAATGGATCGATTGTCGGGCTGGCTGACTCAGCTGACTGCATGTGATCTTTACCCCACTGAGTGACTTGATGCTATTTTATGTCGATCACTGGATTGTCTCGTCCAGTTTTATTCATTTTTACAGGCCGGTATTGAAGCAGGGATAGCGATGGGTGCGGCTAAATAACTCACGCATCACTCACGCACACGCACACGCACACGCACACGCACACGCACACATTAAGTTCTATTACCTGAGAGGTATACAACCTATCTATACAGCTTGTGTTATCTGCACGATCCTGATGGAAGATGCCGTTTTTAGTTCCAGTTTGGCTGTGGGTCTGGGAGTTGGCCTGACTATCCTCGTCCTCGTCCTCCTGGGTATCATAGCTATCGCCATCTACTGCAAACTGAACATCAGCTACCACAAGAAGGGCCAGGAGATCTACTGTGCCAGCTGCTGCAAATGTGAAGGTCAGTGAGACAAGGGTAGTGTGAGGCGAGGGTGAGACAAGGGTAGTGTGTGGCCAGGGTGATACAAGGGTAGTGTGTGGCGAGGGTGTGGTGTGGTTGGGTGAGGCAAGGATAGTGTATGGCGAGAGTGTAGTTGGGTGAGGCAAGGATAGTGTGTGGTCAGGGTGAGGTTGGTGAGGTAAGGATGGTCTGTGGCGAGTGTGTGGTTGGGTGAGACAAGGATAGTGTGTGCCAGGGTGTGGTTGGGTGAGGCAAGGATAGTGTTTGAGGTTGGTGAGGCAAGGATAGTGTGTGGCCAGGGTGTGGCTGGGTGAGTCAAGGATAGTGTGTTGCGAGGGTGTTGTTGGGTGAGGCAAGGATAGTGTGTGGCTAGGGTGTGGTTGGGTGAGGCAAGCATAGCGTGTGGTGAGGGTGTGGCTGGGTAAGGAGTGTGTGGTTGGGCGAGGGTGTGGCAAGGGTAGTGTGTGGCGAGGGTGTGGCAAGGATAGTGTGTGGCGAGGGTGTGGTGTGGTTGGGTGAGGCAAGGATATAGTGTGGTCAGGGTGAGGTTGGTGAGGCAAGGATAGTGTTTGGCGAGTGTGTGGTTGGGTGAGACAAGGATAGTGTGTGCCAGGGTGTGGTTGGTTGAGGCAAGGATAGTGTGTGAGGTTGGTGAGGCAAGGATAGTTTGTGGCCAGGGTGTGGTTGGCTGAGGCAAGGATAGTGTGTTGCGAGGGTGTGGTTGGGTGAGGCAAGCATAGCGTGTGGTGAGGGTGTGGCTGGGTAAGGCAAGCATAGCGTGTGGTGAGGGTGTGGTTGGGTGAGGCAAGCATAGTGTGTGGTTGGGTGAGGCAAGGATAGTGTGTGCCAGGGTGTGGTTGGGTGAGACAAGGGTAGTGTGTGGTGAGGGTGTGGTTGGGTGAGGCAAGGATTGTGTGTGTGGCAGTGTTGCATATGTATATATCTGTATTTTACATATTTGTATATATTCACTGTTGTAATGAAATAATGTACTAATTTTTACTGTGAAGTACAGAATAAAATAAACTTCCTTTCTATTTAGCTCCTCGTTGACTTGTCTTTAATTCACCTTTAATATTATTTAACTGCCTTTGGGTAGCTGTGGGGTTAGAGTGCATAGCTTGGGTCACTCCTTTGTTTAAGATAGCTTACGCTTAATTGGCCTTGTTTAAAATACTAATGTTGAGCACTTCACCAGCACAGCACACAAGCCACTGTAGACTGGGACTGAACAGACATTATTACAGATGCAGTTGCTATAATCAACTGGTGCAGTCAGTCCGCGCCCCAGTACTAACCACAGGGGCGTTTGTTCTGACGTATACTCCTCCAATAAATCCTTTAAACTTAAAACCCGACCTGTGTGTCGTGTCTGAACACCCCCGGTTACAAATGGAGCCCCCAGTGAGGAATTGGCAGTGAGTGAGCACCAACGCTGAACGAAGTACGCACCTACGCATCTCTGAATTGGCGCTGAGCACGCGGTCCACAGTGTGCATTACAATCAAGACTTCATGAACTGTTGAGTACATTGGCATTGTCTTCATCAGCTGTGTACATTACAAACGTGTAAATATCAATTTACATACAGGCCTATCAACAACAGCATAGACACTTTATGCATTTGTAAGCTGAAACGTGTATGCCGGCTTAGTTCTCGTCGTGTACTTTAGTTTACTTCAGTTCAACCAGTTTAGTTTAGTTTAGTTTAGTTTAGTTTAGCTTAGTTTAGTTCATATTTTCAAGTTACCACACAACAATACTTTGTGATCCATCCGTCATCCTAATAAAAATGCAATTGATGTTGATGTATGTACATGTGTTTGTGTGAATACTTTATCGTCCTTGATATATAAACATTTAGTTAGATAAAATTTGCTGTTTATTTATTTCTTTAGTTTGAAAAGTTGAGTGTGAATATGTGGTCTGTGTGAATTATTCTCTACTTTGCCTTTTGCACACTTTACCTAAAAGTACGTGTAACTGCTTTAAATAATCATTTCTACAAATCAACTTAGTCAACAGTTAAGTTAACTTAGGCACTCAGATTATCTGTTTAAACAGTTAGGCCAGTTGGTTACCAAATAGTTTTTCTTGATTAGGTAGGATACCTTTTTGTGTGTAGTTTGTTAGGGTTTTGACTACTTGACGAGCACTTTACCCTGGCACTCACCATTGTTTATTCCCTCACTAAACTAATACGCATGTGACACTGACTTATCGCCTCACTGTAGCTTACCAAACGTCATTGTTAGGAAATAATACAATCCGTCCGTGCGCGTATATTATTTCTGTCGGCATTTACGCGTGCATTACACATCCATGACCGATTGATATAAAACTAGCGTTGATTATTTCGTTGCTTTACATTGATGGTAACCTGTTTACAGGCTTACCGATGTAAGATATTTTTTTTTTCGATTCTACCTCTCCCTGCCTTCGTTTTCATTCCTTCACCTGCCTACTTTAACTATACTGTTACTCGTGGATCCTGTTCTCTGGGATCATGGAGTTTCGGGAAGAGGAATTGGAGTCTGTAGCTAATCTATTCCGGAAGCTTGGTATGGATCCAAAGGATCAATCACCGGAGGACCTCAAGGCCTGGATCCAAGAAATGGCTCAGCAACCTGGTCCCTTATTAAAGCAAGAGCCCGGTCTAGACAGCAAGACAGTACCACCTGCTCCAGTTGAAAGCAAAGCCCAGGCAGTAGCTTATCACCAATTCCCCAAACTACCTCTGTTTAGCGGGGATGAAACAGGAAAGGATGCTCCTTTTGACCTCTGGTCCTATGAAGTTGATTGTTTATTTCAGTCAAAATGTTATACCTTAGACGTTATGAATCAGGCTGTCCGCAGATCTCTTAAAGGGGAGGCGGCTAGAGTGGCCATGAGACTTGGATCCACAGCTTCTACCACAGATTTACTATCTAAGCTTCAGAGCATCTATGGCACAGTTAGGAATCGGGAAGCCCTTATGGCACAATTCTATAGTGCAACCCAGAGGGAGGATGAAGATGTTGCTAATTGGGGCTGCCGCCTAGAACATTTATTATCCAAGATCACAGAACATCATACTATAACCGTGAACGAACAGGATGAAATGCTGAGGAACATGTTCCGGAGTGGCCTGAAGCCAACAATGAAATCTGTATCCGGACACAAGTTCGACACACAAGCTAGCTTTGATGAGCTACGAATCTCATTGCGTGAAATAGAGTATGACATGAAGCGGGAACTAACCACGTCTGAGACAAAGAAGTGCCATGCTTCTGCTAAGATGGCCATACAAGATGAATCAGTTTCCAAGCGTGATCTTGAGACTTTGACGTCTGCAATAGACCAGCTACGAGTGGAAGTTTCGGACATCAGGAAACGACAGGACACAGCTCATGTATATCAACATCAGACATCCCAGCAGAGATGAGACAAGTCTTTTTGGAGGCCAACAGCGATGGAGGAGCCGAGCCCAGTCATTTCATTGCTCAGATCTGCCTGGTAACTCTGTTCCTACCAACAGTCCTTACACAGAACGTAGGCCAAGGGATGAATCAAGGAATGATTCTTGCCAGCCTGGTAGTTATGGGGTCAGCAGACCAAGTTATAGGGATAGAAGAAGCTCATCTGGAGACTACCCAAAATATGCCAAGGACACCCACAACAGCGAAGGAACAACAGCCTGTCCCGCACCACCATATTGGGATCAGGAGGACCGCCAAGACCGGTATGCTTTAGATGTGGATACCCTGGACACATAGCAGTTGGATGTAGAGTGACGCTTGACCACCTTCGTCGACCTTTAAACTGGCGAGGGCCTATGGAAAGGGGTCACCCTTAGGCTCATCGAAGCACCCCAGGGACACACTACCAGAGGGACTTGTTGGCCAGGCTAATGAAGCAAACATTACAGTTGACAATGTTCAGACCCAAGCCTTATTGGACACTTGGGATACCGTCTCGGTAATTTCAGAATCATTTTATGACAAATATTTGTGACACATTCCCTTGGAGTCCATCGGCAGTATGTTGGACATTGAATGTGCCTGAGGAGAAACCCTACCCTACAAAGGTTTTATTGAAGTTGGAGTTAGATCCATTGGCGGTGGAACAGATAATGTAGAACCAGTACCATGTCTTTTCCTAATTGTACCTGTCACCAGATATAGTGCACAAGTACCAGTACTGTTAGGAACAAACATACTGAACTGTTTAAAGGAAAACTGTAGGCAAGTCCATGGAGTCAAGTACTTACAACAGGCAGCCTTACAAACCCCTTGGTATCTTACTTACAGAGTCATGAGCTTACAGGAACGCAATGACTGGAGATTAAGTTTCATTAAGAGTGTGGAGGACAAGAACATCCTGATACCATCTAACAGCACTGCACCAATTAGAGGACAAGTTGCCAGAGGAGTTAGAACGCCCACACTTTGTGCTTTGATGCAGCCTACTCCAAAGTCACGTATCAGCAACGACATTGACATTGCCCCAACCGTTATTTCTTATGATGGTCATCCAGATGTGGTAGAGGTTCATCTCTTCAACGTGACAACCCGTACCATAGTTGTTCCTCCACATGCTCTGTTGTGTGAGCTTCAACCCGTAACGCTTCAGGACCCACCCTGTGGAACAGCTATTGAGATGGAGCGAGAAAGACTCTCATCTGATGAAATTGGTTTGGGACTTGATTTAATAACCAGGTTTAAAGATGTGTTTTCCAAGAATGATGAGGACCTTGGACATACTTCCCTTATTTGCCATCGAAATGAGCTAGATGATGAGCGACCATTCAAGCAAAGACATCGTCGGATACCCCCCTCTATGTTTGATGAAGTTCGGACTCACTTGCATCAACTGTTATCAGCTGGAGTAATTCGGAAGTTGCATAGCCCTTGGGCATCTAATGTGGTATTAGCTCACAAGAAGGACGGCAGACTGAGGATGTGCATTGACTTCCGACAGTTGAATAAACACACGATCAAAGATTCTTATACTCTACCAAG